TGCCTGATAAGAATTTTCAAATATTGATTCTGAAAATGAAAATGACTTTCTTCAAGTGTACTCTATTCATGCTCAGGTAAGCCTCTCTGTGGGGGTGTAATTGGAAGATTGTACTTTGGACAGTTCCAACTTGAAAGTTTAGACTGCACCGTGTTTTCTTTGAGATTATACTTCTAATTATCTTTCTAACTGACTTTGAACAAAGAGACCTTGTGGCAGATTGCTAGGCAGCAGTGAATTTTTTAGCCTATAAAAAACATATTTCAAAAAGAATAATTTTGTGTGCTGTGGCATAGAAGCATGTCAGACATGACTTAGTTATGAACAAGCTTAAAATGTTGAAGTGTATCTAATCCTCATCTAAATGCATGTCTTAAAGACTAGTGTACATTTGGAAATTTTTCCCCCTCAAAATCATACTTTTAAATGACATTTATTAAATCATTCCACCTTCTTTCTTGTAGATGAACCCTATGAAATCTGAAATGATTTTTCTTATCTTCAGTTATGAATAATTCATAACAAGTTCATTAACATTCATCATGTATATACAAGAAGTGAACCATGATGTGTAGAAAGGATTCATATCGTATCAATATCAATAGGGAGGCAGCCCAACTATTCACCCACCACAAAATGACTGGCACCTGCTTTGACATAAAGTTGAGGGTTATAATTGCATCTGTGACCTACCACAAACAGACAATAAAGTCCCGACCCTCTGCACAAACCCCCATCCCCACGTGGCTGCAAGTTGCCCTGGCCCAAGCTGGAGTGGGGGACTTGTGACACACGAACCCGCGGCAATCTGGGTCAGTTCTTTACCTGCTGGCAGAGAGGCTGTCACCCTACACTGCTCACCCAGGCACAGTGTTACCGCAATCAGCACATGGTCATTAGCTGCTTGCTTCGGGAGACTTGGGCTCGGTGCATTAAAGGTATAATCTTGTAGCTGGACAAGTATGATGTAGGCCTGGATGCAGTTTGTGGTGTCCTGAAGATGTGATGAGGCTGTAACATGGAGACATGCTTATATGATTTATGGAACTGTCATCAATAATTTGCGTTGGTGTTGGAAGTCAAGTCATCTTTGTATACTCATGTGACAGACTTGCTTGACTCAGACGCAGCAGTATTTGCAGTGGAGTACCTGTGGTTTTTCCATTGAAGAGATTACATCAATGTTTGGAAAAATAGAAATGGTCTACATTCTTTTCTTATCTATAAACAAAGACCAATTGTGATAAGATGGAATAATGACAGCTTGTTATAGAGGAGTGTGGACCCTGATTTCAAGGTTTTCCTGAAGGAAATGCCCTACAAATGTGTGTGTGAGTGAAGTGGTTGACTGTTTAAGGGGGCTGCCGTTGTTTGTAAATGAGCGTTGTGTTGTGTGTGGGGGAGGGTATCTGTGTTGATCGCCCTATCCTGGTGTTTGTGCTGGGCTAGCAGGCAGACATGACTTGAGACGACTCCTCCATCCTACAAGGGATCCCCACACAAATAATAGCCTGGTAATGTACCAAAAACAAATTTCCTTGCCTGTATTGATTTTTGTTAATTTTGGTTAAATTTTTTCTAGGTGAACAAGTTTTCTAGAATTGACATGTTATTGAACTGCCATTATGTTTGACTTCTTTTTGCTTTATAGCTTTTTAACAGTATGTGAAATAATTTATTGGAATACTGATATTTTTATGGAATTGACATTGAAATGTTTTCAGTTCGTGTTAACTTTTTGTCAAAGTTGTTGCTTCATAAAGAAAGTCCTACATATTGTTTATTTGATATATAACTTTGAAATCTGTTTCATTCTTATGTGAAAATACCAGATGCCTTTAAAACTGGTAACGCTGAGGCCATTATCAGCCTGAGTAAAAACAATGCGCTCAAACCAACCATTGTTTCAGCGTGGAAAAAAAAATCACATTAATGTTTGATCTTTCTGTCACACTACCTTGACCTGCTGGACCTAAACACGCAACAGGGAACAACAGCCTTCCATGTTGCACAGCATTACTAGACTATGGGGACTATTTGCCTCATTAGCTCAGAGGCCGGGTGATGTCAATGTAGGTTAACCTGGGCATAAATCCACCTGTCTCGTGGTCTGATATAACACATGATACTTACTAGGTGGAAGGGTAATACAATCCTTTATTCTATAGTATGTGGACAAACGATCGCAGAACGAGGACACACAATGTTAAAGGGAATTCACAAGTGTTATTCTTGTAGCACCTTGATGTGTGTGGAGAGTGGGTAGTGAGAAGGGAGATTTTATCATATGTTGACCTACAGGACAATAAGAGCCGTATCATGAGATCGCATTGCTGATAGAACAACTGTTTAACAATGTGTTCTTTTGTTGGCTTTGGTTCTGTACACACCATCACACAGTGTTGACCGAGATATTTGGCCTGTTGCTTGGAAACTTTGTATGGTACAGGGTATTCAAGAAGCATTTGCATGTTGCTTTGAAGAGGATGCTGTAATAGTGTCCTAGGGGATACAATGCTTGGACATTTATATGTAGGTTAATTAACATGATATATGTTTTGTATTTAGAACTGAAGTGCTCATAGTCATTATTTTGACTTAATGCCCAACATTCTTACGGGTTGACGGTCATGCCCCTCCAATTTTGTCTTTCTTAATTCTTTATTCAGTACTTGTGTAGGCGTACGGACCAAGGTACAATTGAGGGTCAACAGAAGACAGTTCGACCAAATGGCAATTCATTGTGCGACGTACAAACATGGCTATATTTCTATTTGAAGATTTTTCTAAAGAATATTAAACTTAGATAACTTTGGATGGACATGAAACTTTTCGGGAATAAACTGCTGGCGAAGGTTACCATATGTGTGACAAATTAACAAGAAATGATATTCGTCCTCCACATAGCCCATGTTACATGCCTTACAATACCTTGGGTCTCTGGGAGTAGTAGTGTATCTACCTGTTTCCTATGTAAAGTATGCAAGCTATTGGGCATTGAGCCCTTGCCAATCTAAATTTATCTAAGTTTACAACTAATAAATAGGTTGAAGGTTGATTTGTAAAGTGCATAATGCCGCAGTGAGGGAGATGATGTACTTTACGGGGTGACCCTGATAGGACTTGTGTGTCTATGAAAGAAAGGCTAGTGTGACATGATGACATTAACCACGGTTATAAATTGACTCGGTACATCAATAAAAGCCACGACAAATATCCTTGACTTTTTAGGCAAACAGACAATGTCCATTATTTGTTGTTCAAGATGTGATGTTTTATGTTTAGCTATCTGTAAGGACATGGCCATGTGTGACAAGTTCTGTGTCTCACCCCCTAATGCACATGATGAACATTATGTTATATTATATACAGGAGTTGGTGAAACAGTTAATATTACATCACACTTACTGGAAAATATTTTGAGTGTCCTATTTTGAGGTGAATGTTTAAAGTGATTTTGTTGTACACTCTTACTTATGTATTAATTTATAACCATATTTCCTTTGTTAAATATGATATCCTCTTCATTTATTTTTAATGTATACATAAGTCAATATTTTAATTTTTAATAATGATCATATATCCTTTCCTTGGCCAAAATGTATTGATACGTAATGATATTTCGGGTTTCAAAATGTTTGTATGTAATTAAATGTTAGTGGTCAAAATGCCGGACCCTTTTCCTCCATGGAGCTACGGACATTCATGTTATTTAGTCATGCTTATAGATTAATGTCTTCAAAGTTATGTATGTCAATGAAACAGAATTGTGTCATGAGACCAGGGAAAACGTATCATATAAATTCCAGGTTCCAATGTGTTGGCCGAAACGTATTATGTGGTATGTTCATAATGTCATGATGGGGAACTCATTACGAAAATTTACAAACCAACAAAAAATGTAGAGAAAAGTCATTACGTTTAATCCTGGATTGGTTGCTCTCTCTCTAGAAAAAAAATACTAGTGTTTTGAAAACCAGTTTGTAAATACGTTTGAATATGATCTGGTTGAGTGAGTAAGTTATGGTTTTACGCTGCTTTTAGCAATATTCCAGCAATATCACGGTGGGAGACACCAGAAATGGGCTTCACATGATCTGGTTGACCTCACGAGAATACATGCTGCCTACTAAGGATCTGTAATTCATGATTATTTTGTGAAAGTGATACAGTCAGTTTATGAAGGTTAGATTAATAAAACATGAATCACAGACAGGTGGAACTGAAAGTGCTGATGAATAAACTATTTCTCAGAGACCCATACCCAAGCTCATGGGTTTCACCAGAGGAGTAAAGTTCTGCATCACTTCATGCTTTCGTCCCACATCAAGCTGACTCGCTTCTGATATAATTAATCTAATTAAAATCAGATCTTAGTTCTCGCTTACGCTAAACAAAGATCTGAAGACATCCAATTACAGGTCACGTCAGAACGGCCTTTCATCCATCCAATCAGGGCATCACTTACCAGATCAGGAAAGTGACAGTCGCAAAATGTTTTATAATCATGCAACCTTGAAAAGGGTATTCCAAACGACAGCTAATGGCTGTATGACTGAATCCCTTAAAATCACTGCATAGCTCTTGCTACAATTGGATAAACATTTGAACGGAAGAGACTTTGCATTGCTATTAGACATCCTAGAATATTCTTAGTTCAGTTTTTTAATTTTGAGTCAATATTTTTCACGGCAAAGTCTGGAAAGCAAGTCACCAGTTAGAAACTAGGGCTGCGAAGCTCAAAGAAAGCTACTGTCTGATTGGTCTATGTCAACTTCTTGTTAGTCATTTCACTGGTCGGTCTAAGTTTGCGAAAGGTCGTTTTGATGTGACCTGTAATGGGATGTCCACAGATCTTTGCTTAGCGGTAGTGTGAATTAAGATCTGATTTTGATGAAAATGTGGTATAACTGAAACACTGTTAATAAACCAATATACTCACTCACTCTCAGAGAAACTTTCTACACTTCAGTCTACATGTAACCTTTATTGTATTGCAGAGCCACCACATGGAGAACCCGTATGTGAGCGGAGGGCGCTGGGGCCAACAGTCATCACAATATGATGCATCACAGGTACGTTGAGAAATCAACTGGCTCCCTTGAATTTACTCTGGAGGAAGGTATTGACTGTATTTGTGTGTGTTTAAGTTTTTTTGGATGGTCATTGAAAAACAGTTAAATAGGAAATAATATTCCCATTTTTAAAAATCCATATAAATACAATAATGATTAAATAATGTAATTGTTGTAATAAATGCTTCTATTCAGGAGGTAATAGTTTTGTGTGACTTGCAAAATTTATCTCATGATATTCTACTTTAAAATATGTAGATAGAAGTAATTAATGAATGGCATAAAAAAATATGTCTCTTTATTCTAAAGTTAAGCCAGGCTGCTAATAATAATCTGCGAAGCTAGGGGAAGTCTGCATCAATAAAACTTTGTATTTAAAGATAAAATGTAACATTTTGTCATTGTGACAAGAGGCAGTCTGACGAAACCGGGTTTTCAGCATTCATGGAATCATTTTCTCAGCTTGGAGTTAAACATTTACTTACAGTTTCTTATTGCCTCATTCTGCTCACAGGTCCAAGGTATGAAGAAACAGATGAAGGATGCCAAGGACACTGTCCAGAAACAGAAGTCCGAGATTGACAACTTGAAGTCCAAACTGGACATGTCGGTTTCCAAACTGACAGGGACGGAGAAGGCTCTGTCAGAAGCCTTGAAGAACCTTAAGCAGGAGAAGGACAGGTTCATCAAGCTGACTAGTGAGTGGAACCGACGAATCAGAACCCTGGAAACTGAGCTGAAAGATAAATCCTTGAAACTTGAAAGAAGTCGTGAGAGCCTGTTGTCAAAGGAGCGTGAATGTCAGCATCTTGAATCTGATGTAAAGAGCCAGCAGCATAAGAGTAGAGAAAATGAGAGGGAGATCTTGAGAATGAAAGTAGTGGAATCTGAATACAAACAATTGAAGGAAAAACTGGATACTAAGGAAAAAGAATTGTTGGCTATGCAGAAGCTGCTGAAAGATAAAGAATTGGAATGTAAGAAGGTGGCAGAAAAATTTAAGAAGCAAATCGAAGAGATGGAGCAAGATTATGGTCATGAGAGGGATGATCTTGAGAATCACCTTGAGCAGATGAAAGCTCAACTGTGTCAAGCTCATGAGAGGCAGACCACGATGAAGGATTCTATCACCAGCAATATTTCTGATCTCATGAGAGAGAAAAATGAGATCATTTCGCAGCTCGAGGAAAAATTGATTGAAAATGAGAAAAAGATGGAGGATATGAATGAGAACTTCCAGGCAATGATGGCTGAAAACACAGAGTTGGTAAATAGTGTAGAGTCTCTACAGGATGAGAAGACAAGGCTTCAGGACAAACTTGGAGAGATGGAGAAATACCTGGGTGGACTTCATGACAAGATAACACACTATGAGCCAGATAATGTGTCTCTCAGGAAACATATGGATGAACTCAGGAAAGAGAACCAACTGCTCTCAGAGAAGCTCAGCTCCGAGAAGAAGTCTTATTCTCTGCACCAAAGAGAGAAGGAGGAGCTACAAAAGACAATACAAGATTTGAACAAACAGATTCAGGGACTTCAGTTGAGGCTGATAGAGAGGTTCGAGGACATCGACCAGGCTCATTTGAGCAGGTCTTCCTCAGGGGGAGATTGCCAGGAGCTTCTCCACAGTGTACTTATCATGGACTCAGAGCTCAAGGAAATCAATACAATGCTTCTTGAGCTCAGGCAAAATTTTGATGCATATCTGGACTCTCTTCAGGGTGAAAGTCGGTTGAAATTTACGAGTTTGGCTGATATGATTGAAGACATTGGCAGAAAGTGTCATTCTGTGCAGGAAATTCTAAAGGACTCTGTTGACCCTTCGCTTACAGAGTCTGTAGGTTCTGATTACAAACATGATGTTAAGGTAGACTCTTCTTCAGAGAGCCATGTGATAATGGATGAATATGGTAGCCTCAAGGACAAATTTGATTGTGCTGTGGCAGAGTTGAAAAAGTTGAGGAAGGAGGTGAATGATGTGTACAGGAGTTGTGATAAACTCGAGTCAGAGGATAGGAAGCTGAGGGAAAAAGTAAAGAAAATGGAAGAAAACTACAAATCTCAGTTAGAGCAGGTGATTAAGAAGGCTGATATGCTTTCCTCACAGGTTGATGTTAGGGGAGGTGGCAGATTGTCCCAATCTTCCAGCCATGAAACCATTCCTTCAGATCTTTCTGCCAACATTGAGCAACAGCTGAACAATCTTGAACAAAAACTTTTACTTGTTGAAAAATCTCTAGCTGATAATGAAACAAAAGCTAGCTCAGGTACTGTAAAGACTCAGAGTAGCTCAAGGCTGTCACTCTCTCCTGGTGATAGTCAAAACATTGTGCAGAAACTAAAAGAAATGAAAGCTCAATTAGAAAAGTCAAATTCTCATTTATCCTCAATAGCCAAAAGTATCAATACAAATACAGACAAAATGGACACTAGCGACAATGCAGGTGCAGAGTCTTTACAATCACGCATTGAGAAGTATGGCAAAAAGATTGACAGTTTAGCTAGTAAAATAGAACAAGGATCAAAGCAAACGTCAGGGAACCCACATGGGTTAGCTGGCCCACAAGATGGTGCAGCTGTGGATGAGTGTTTCAGGGAAATCAAGGAGAAGCTTCAGGAGATCAATGAGCAGCTAGATTGCTTGGAAGATGACTCTGATTCTGATGATGAGGAGCAGGAGAAAATTGCTGTGGATGATGTGAGAGAGAGGGTGGCTAATCTCATGGGCTACCTCGAACAACATTCCAACATGACTCAGGCAGACTGGAACATTCTTGGAATGTTGCAGAGACAGCTGGTGTCTTCAGATAAAACCACAACCATAACTGAGGAACTTAGTCATGAGGACAAACTCCTCCTGTACTCTGATCGTCTTGCCATGGAAGCTGTGATCTTGCAGGAAATGTCAGTTCTTCTTTCAGATGAATATGGTGATGAGAACAGGGACCCTGTGTTAAAAGAAATTGATGCTCACAACTGTCATATGCTGTTGACCCAGCAGATGATAGAGAAAGAAACACAGTCAATGCATATGGAGAGGAAAGAAGATGTGATGAGATCCTATGCTTCTCTCCTGGCAGAAAAGATAGTTCTGGAGGATCAGTTAGTGTCACCAGCTCCTGAACAAAATGAGTCTATGGAGGATGACTCCAGTTTGGGACTTAGTCGTCCCAGAGTCCTTGCCAAAGAGGCTCTGGTAAGATCTCAATTGGATGCCCATATCAATAACTGCTTGGAAAGGTCTCTCAATACCCTTGATCCTGTCTCAACTCATGTGATCACCAAGTCATTGATTCAAGGAGAACTCACTTATGCGCTGAATACAATCAAAGAAACTCTTGTGTCTTTCGATAGTCAAGGTGTTGACATGTGCAAAAAGCGTAGAGACTTCTTGTATAGGCAGATGAAAGCAAGGGAGAGAGTTTTAGTGAATTTGGTGGAAGAATACCAAATGCAGATGGTGAAATCATTAGCTGTGATTATTGCCAAGGAAGGAGAAGAGGTGACTGTTTTCCAAGGTGCTGAGAGTGTCCTTGAAGATGTCTGCTCTGAGATCTCTACAGTGATGGAGAAAGACATTCAGAGCCACAAGGAAAATGTTCGCTATGCCGAGGACACTGAAACGGCTCACAAGCATGATATAATAGTAGACACCTTAAGGGCAGATAGGGAAAAGGTGTTGGCTGCAATCAGGGTAGAACATACCAATTATGCAAGTCAGGAGGAACCCAGGAGTGATGATGTTGAGCTCCCTCTGCAGTCAGTTGATACTACAATAGAAAACTTTGGACAAATCATGGTACAAAATGCAATCGTGAAGGCAACAGCTGTGTTTGTGAGTGAACTGTATGCAAAAGAAGACTTGTCTTTAGATGTTGATTCTAGTGATGATGAAAGTGTGGATTCTGAGGTTGAAGCTGATAAAAGCATAAACATTTTTGTAAAACATTTGAGTGACATTTTGGTAAAGGAGGCTTCCTCCAAAAGAACTTTGGCAGCACAAGTTGGAAATAATGGCCCAGAAACACCAGGGAATATAGTTGGAAGGATACCTGATGTGAGTAAATATCCTCCACGATTATCCAAATATGCTGACTCTATAGTGAGAGAGTCAGTTTTCCAGGCTCAATTAACCTACACACTGCATAAAGCAAAACTACAGCATGATAGTGAAGTTGAACAACTAAGGCATGACTACCCATTGAGGAAACCAGAGTTGATGCATGAGGAAAGTAGAGACTCAGAGATCGACTTCCATGGAGTCATCCAGCCTCTTGAGGATGTTCTGGAGAACAAGTATGAGGATGAGATGGAGGTCCTGCAAGTGATTGACAAGCAGGTGACCATGCTTAAAGATGTTGTGAAAGATTCAAAGTCTCGGAACTGGTCTCAAGTTGAGGACCAGTTGCGGCAGCTTGAGGAGACCTTCCAGCATGAGATGGTGGCAGCTCAGGAAAGACATGATGTCCACATGGAAATGTTCAAACAGGAGCTGACCAAGGTGGAGAGGATGTGGGAGGACCGAGAGACCGAGCGTGTTGGTTTCGAAGGTGAATGTGGCCAGCTCCATGACTACATGGAGTCCATGCGTGCCAACCATGATGAGGAGGTGGAAAGAATGAAGCAGGATGTGATGACCGCTGTCAGCGCCATCAGGGCAAATGAGGAAACACAGATGATTGCTCAGGTCCAGAAACTCAAGGAACAACTGGCTACACAGACAGAGAACCTCAAGGTGAGTTGTAGCTGCAGTTACGTCTTTCATACGATCGCTTACAACATGAGTAGATAAGATGAGTGATGAATTCCTTTTTGTGACTGTTTCTCTCAAAGGGCTTTCACAGGAGTTGTCTTAATAGGTTAATGTGTGTATTTATTCAGTTTATTCATATAGGAAAAGTTTTCAGAAGATATTTGGATGGTATAAGATTATCATGAAATGGTATTGTTGTAGACCTTCCTTGAAGATGTGAAAAAAGAATCTTCAAAGGCCAGTCAGCCTGACCTTGTTCGCAAAGTGGAACAGCAGCTGATTCAACTCCATTCAACAGCAATGTCACTGGTAAGTCATGACACAGATTCTTACTTGGTAGACTGACTGAAGACATTTCATGTGAGCACTTGCCATCTTATTATGATACTGGTGTAATGGCTGTAATTGAAGTTTGTTTTGTTTTGTCACTAAGGATTTGGAGACGATCCCTGCGATTCCAAAATCATCTGTTTCTGACTCTGGCGAAGGAGATCATCCTGCTGCAAGTCTGTCTCCTACAGTAGACTCAGGGGTAAGTTCTTGAGGATCTCATCAGGCAGGTCTTGATTTCCTGAATTTATCTTGAAACGTAAAGTTGTTTTTTTTGATGATCTCTCAAAATAAATGTTTGATCTGATCATGGAAACTGAGATTGGATATACATTACATAATGGTCAAGTCTTATTTTGCTCATCTGGTTAATAATTGTTTTAATGTAGTGCTATTAAGTGTCATCAGTATGTTAATGTTGAATCCAGCTTTATGTTGCATTACACGTCACTGCGCCCTATTGTTGAGTGCAGCGTTAAACGCCTAACTGATTCTGAGTATTATCTTTGTCATTGACTATCGGACATGACATAACTGTGCTGTGTGCTCCACAGAGAGCTGAGAAGGTAATGGACCTGTGCCAGCATGACAATGAATTCGAGCAGCTGAAGCGTGAGAAGGAGGAGGCACTGGCGGAGGAGATGAGGAACACTAAGGCTGGTGAGTGATTTGTTGGGTTGCTGCAGTAAAACTAGTAATTCAGGGATTGGTTGATCATCATTTGGGTGGCACACTGCACCACAATCATTTGTGCAGAGTGGTGTCCTTTAGGTATGTCAGCCAGAAAACTATGATCCAACGTTGACCGTGTTTGTCAGAACCCATGCTAATGATCTGCTTTACTTCTGGTTTCCTATGACGTTAAGCATATGCTGTGATATAATTGGTCACAATTGTGTTAAGGCCAACTCTCCTACACATTCATCATTTGTGGGAAGGTGGAGAAAATTGAATTAGGTAAGAAATACCAGGAAGGTCTTGGAACAATGCTGTATTCGAGAGATTTCTGTTGTAACAAACTGCTGTGACATTCTAGGACGAGTCATGACCCAATCTGTCTGTTATGCATGGTGATATAGTGTTTGGGATTCATGTCTGTTATGATGGACGGTGATTTTTTTCAGCCTTGGATGCCATGAGGAAAGCTTATGAGGAGGAGCTCGGTGAGGAGAAGGAGAAATACAGGGAAGCTCTCATGACCATGTACACTGACGACTATGTCAGTGAGTTCAAGAACAGGCATCAGTGAGTTCACCATCATGTACACAGAAGTTGTCGTCTTGTTAATCATACATCTTAAACAAATGGTTGACTCCAAAACCCAATCCACATCAGATATGATAGGAATACTATTGGATTGGTATAACCAAATTCTATATGTTAGTATTATGTGAAGCTCATTTCTGGTGTCCCCCGCTGTTATATAGCTGGAATATTGCTAAAAGCAGCCTAAATCCATACTCACTCACTCACTATATGTTAGTAAGTAATACTACTGGTTCTCAATGTTTCTTTGTCCAAAGTCACGCCGAAGACCCGGGTTCGATTCCCGACATGGGTACAATGTGTGAAGCCCATTCCTGGTGTCCCCCACCGTGATATTGCTGGAATATTGCTAAAAGCGGCGTAAAACCATACTCACTCACTCACTCTTTGTCCAAAACAGTTTTATATGGATGTTAGACTTGTTTGAACACCACTCACTCTCTCCTCCCTGTTCCTTCCTGTAGACACGAGATGGAGAAGATGGGTGACGAGCTGGGGCAGATACAGATGCACTACCAGAGCAAGTGTGAGGACTACAAGCTGCTGGAGGTGAAGCTGCAGCAGACCAAGCAAGAGTATGAGAACCACTACAAGCAGCTCATCCTCAGGTAGGTGCAGCATGAAGGGACAGAAACAATCACTTGAGGATGAATTTCATGGTTTATTAGTATGTGATAAGTATGAACATCTTAGAGAAAAGTATATTCCAAAGTTTAACAATAGGCATAAAAACAAGATGTTAATGATCAGTCTTATAAAATCCAACAGCTCTGCTGTTATCCCTTCATTAGCCATATTGTTGAAACATATATTCTGTGTCAGATAGTTGTAGTATATCAGGTATATCACATGTCTGAAAACTGAAAATGCCAACTATAGATTGGGCCATATGGCCTTAAATACCAAATAAAATATCTACCTATCTATCTATCTGTCTGTCTGTCTGTCTGTCTGTCTGTCTGTCTGTCTGTCTGTCTATCTAATAGAAACAGTTTGGATTGTCATATGGAAAAGGACAAGTATGTCTGTGTACTGTTGATAAAGATCTGTTTGAAGTAGGAGGTTGGTTGAGAAAGCGCTTAAAGTATTCTCTTCTCTTAAAGTCTCTTCACCCAAAAGGACTTATCACCCACTTGGGTACAATTAATGAAGGCATTCTTTGTGTGGAGCCACACTCAAAATGCCCAGGCACAAATACATGTTTGGAGGTTAGAAAGGAAGGTAATGTTTCTTATGAATAGATATAAAACAAAACATTCTAAGGATATAAATGTTCATTGTCAACATGACCTGTCTGTTCCAGTAATGACCACCTGAACATGATGCTGAACAAGGAGATAGATGGCCTGAAGGATTTCATCCGCAACAAGCCCAACATGTCCAGCGGTGGTGGAACCATGGAGGAGGACCTCTTTGATGCTCAGGTGAGACACACGATGGGGTCTCTTTACAGTCTCTAAACGAGAGAGAGAGAGAGAATTATGAAAATATATTTATATACATCTTGGGCATAAGTTTTCAATGTATGTGTCCTGCCCTTTGGTCTCTCATGAGTTTAATGTCATTAAAATGACAAATAAACTATTTTCATATTGTTAGGCTTAAATTCATTGTAGTATGCCAGTTTAATATTAACCCTGGTTTCTGCTCCAGATACTGATCCGGGTCAAGGATGCTGAGCTTCAGAAACTCCGATCTCAAGTGAAAAACTTTGAAAACAGCCTGCAGAGAAGCACTGAGGTAAGCTGGAGAACTGCATTGAAAGAGTTGAAATTATGGAAACTGTGACAGGATTTGGTAACTGTCTGGTACAATACATATGAAGTCCGGGCATTTTATTGGACAATCCAGTTTTTGCCATTACAGGGTGCAATGCTATGTATTCCCTCTTTACAAAGCCATATTGGTAATAACGCTGGACAAATAATATTAGGACATTACATGTCTAAGAGTTGAATAAGGACTTGATGCAGTGTTATATATTATCTAAGAGTTGAATAAGGACATAATGCAGTGTATGTGGGATCTAAGACTATATATCTGCCTGTCTTCAGGAGCACCGCCAGGCTATGACCCAGTACCTGCAGGTGCTCAAGGAGAACCACGAACTCAAGGCTCAGGTGCAAAAGGAGAAACACGAGGAGTCCCAGGAATCCAGCTCCAAGCGACCAATCAGGAGAAGTGAGGACTAATCTCCTTTCATTACTGCCGTTCATGGAAATAACCATTCTCAACATTTTATTATCATACAAGATATCGGTATCATTTTTTCAGGGAATAATTAATTTGTTTGTATTTTAGTTATAAATTTCATTTCAAGATTTTCTATTTGGAAAATTAATTTGCATCGTGACATAATGACCTAGTAAATCTGTTAATGAAAGTAAATTGGCTTGGCCTGATGAAGATATGAACTTATGATATCATCCTAGTCCAGAGTTTTATGTCTGTAAATAGAGCCGCCCTTGCCAGTCAGTGGCATCCTCTATAGACCCAAGACTCCACTCATAGATGCACTGACCCTACACAAGAGTGGAGGATCGGCTAAATAAGATGGCACCAGTATGGACCTCTGGTAATTTGATCATGTTTGTGTGTGTTCCCCCACCTTCACACCCCCTCCTGTTCCAGCCCCCTCCTTCCACCAGCGAGCACGCAGCCCTAGCCCCCAGCCTACACAGACCAGCAAGAAGGACACGGAACACTCCAGTAGAGACTCACACAGGAGGCGCAGGATTGGACCCCAAGGTGAACACTCGCGAATTTAGTGTTGAAACAGGTTTAGGATGCTCTGTACATAAAGTAGTAGTGCTTGGGGAAGATTAGACCCATGATTATAGTTAGAGACCACTGATGGCATCAGGTGATCAGGTTCAGTGACTTGGCTGATTGTGTGTCAATAGTGCCCAGATAAGGTGGATAGATGCTCATTCTTTCAATCACTGGTTTGCCTGTGCCAGACTCTGTTTTACAGGCCACCATGATATTGCTGGGTCATTGCCGACAGCTGTGTAAAACCACAAATAAAACACAACTACTTCTGTAGTGCTTAATGCCCTCTTCTGTTTTATGGTTATTTCAAAATACTATGGGTTCCGATTTTGTATATTTTCTATGTCGCTGTTCTACTATGAGAGCAGAACTTATCAAATTCTGTGTTATGCAGTCACGTGGTGTCAGCATGTTTTTCATTTCTCAACGTATCTTCAAATATTGGACGAAGCATTTTATCACGCTGATCCACATTGAGTTCAGCCAAGTTTCTGGATTAGATCGCTTTCTTGGTAATTTTATTGCATTTTAGTGGCATAAAACCCTACATTACCACTTCTTTGCATGTTGCCACTAACATGGGAAAGGTTTGAACAGTAACACCCCATTTCATTGCATACTAATTATACAATCAGAACAATCATGTCATCCAAAATATATTGATGGTAAACTGTGTTATGTCGCTTCAAGTCACATCTACTCATCTTTCAGTTGATGAAACAAAGATATATTTTATGATTATTTGATGAGTAATTTTGTAGTTATAACATTAAGTGGTATTGTTATTTCTGAAACAATAATGACAATAATAACTTGAATCCAGACGAACGTCAGATTCCAGTGGTCAATGCTTGTTGTGACACAAACAAGGTGTCAGGTGAAACAGAAGATTTTACAGACTCTTCATTCAGTACTGCTTTTCAACTTGAGTAGGGCGGCGGTCGGGTAGCCTAGTGGTTAAATTGTTAGTTCGTCACGCCGAAGACCCAGGTTCAATTCCCGACATGGGCACAATGTGTGAAGCCCATTTTTGGTGTCCCCTGCCGTGATATTGCTGGAATATTGCTAAAAGCGGCGTAAAACCATATTCACTCACTCACTCAACTTGAGTAGGAGAGAGTGGAGGTTGAAACTATCAAGCTCCAGATGAATGGGGTCTTGATTAACAAGGTCTAGACAAATGAGTTAAGTATTTAACTGACAATATTTCTTGAATTTGTTTTCAGATTTAAGAAGATCTAAGAGTAGTCCATCCCTTCCATACGTCTTTGATGCCAAAAGCCTGCGACCAAAGGATGGTGCGAAAGCTGCTGGTAAATTAACAGGAAAAGAAGCAGCCGGGCGTTCCCCTCGTGGCGTCAAAGTGGGGAAACACTAGTTCTCTGGCTATCTACCCTGCAGCAAGACCTCTCCATTGTTCAGATGACCACGAGACTTCTTTTAAACTTGCATTTATATAAACGGTTTTATCAAAATTTCTACATATTGAAAATAATCTAGCTCTACCGATTTATTCAATCCAGATTTTGTAACAGTCTTTATTCCTTTTGACAATTATGGATATATTTGTGTTTTTCGTTGACATTTTGAACAAAGGTAAAACTGGTATTGTAGCCTGTTTAGGAGCATACTTTTGTATCCATCGAACAAAGTCGGTTGATATTTGTTTTTAGCTGTCCAGATGCTATGTTCAATCCTGTTCCTGTGTGTTTCATAGATAGAGCAAGGTACTAATATTTCAATTATTTTATCCATACAGTTGCTATGCATCATTTTACCTCCAAGCAAATACATCACTGTAACTGCCAAAAGCTAATTCTTGCATTTGCAGATCACATCATGCAATAGTTGAAGTGTAAAAGTACAGAGTTTTTGTATGCAATTTCAGTGTGTTTTTTGCGTTTTGATTGTTAATTTAGTTTGAGACACATTTCAGCAGTATTGTACCGTTGTTCCTTTACTGTAGATTAGAGAAGTTTACACCGAGAAGACAAGAAATTGCAAATAATGCAATTTGCACACTATTTTGCAAAGGCTCCTTTTTGAATTTTGCAATACAATTGACACACTGTACTTGTAAGATGTTGCTGACTAGATTAGTAATTTATTGAAATTAGAATGTTTCTCTAGAGCCAAAGATTTTTAAGTAGACTTATTTATGTGGCCATGAAGGTGCTCATGATAAAAATCAAAATGTTCAGCCGAATTGTGAACAAGGACATTAGTCTTCCGATGATGAACCAAAAACACTTCCGTAACTTGACATTATTGGCTTCTTCACCATGCAAATAAATGTCTTCATGCAATAAACAACTGAAGATAGTTTGATCCGAAGTTATTGGTCCAGACTCGAGAAGGAAACTACATCACATCTTCCAGTAAATAATCATTCATGACACTGTGCACAACATTGCATCCTGTCTGTACTGAAGGCTGATAGGAACCACAAGGTATAAACTTCTTCCACGTCAAACATCTTATTGGTCGTTTGAAATATGACTGCATCGAAGCAGGGATCAACTCCTTCTTCCATCCTAACAATTACCAAGAACATCGGTCAGCATTCTACTGACACCCATTTAGATGTACCTTTCCAATAATCTATACTGGGTACCTGTAGTAATCTCCTGTGAACCAACCAGTTACCACACATACCATTTGTATGAGTTGACTGGTAGTTTTGAAATTTCTTCATGAGATGATTTATGTACTTAATGAGTTGAATGCCAAATTTGAACACACTACCACCGTGAACAAAATTGTGTCTAATGTAGGATTTTGTTGTCAGATCTTGCCAAACAAACTATGAAGTATTAAGACAAAAAGCTATAGGTCAATATCATCTTTAGACTATGGTCACTGATTGTTTGGGCTGTCTGAAAGTAACATGAACTCTGAAAAGCGCAAGGGCTGTCATTTTTGCAATAGTTTTTCAGAGAACTGGGAACTAATTTATTTTTGTTATGTTTGTGTATTTTGAACAAGCTAATATTAACATAAGGAAACAATTTAAGATATTATCAGATGGTGAAATGCATTTATTTGCAAATGCATGACAATATACTACAGGATTGTCGTATTTGAACAATGTTAAGTTGAGTACTACCGGGTATTTGATTGTGTCTTGAAGGGTTGTATTTCGCTTGTTGGATATTTATCCGAAGTGTCCGATCAGCATTTAATGACCTTTACGTCCTTTTTTTTAGCAAGACTATGGTTGTGAAACAAGAGTCACAAGATTTCTTTGTGACTGACGTATACAAGATTTGCTCATTATCGAACTGCAATACAGACTGTGACCGGCATACAGACATATGTGTGGACTACTCTAAGTGAGCTTTCAATATCCTACATATCAAAAGGGAAAACAGTCAACTTGCCGTTAAATTATTTTCAGGGAAACAAACTCTTAATGATTGTAACATAATGTAGATTTTCCTATTCACGAACTAAACCTATGTAAAATAATGGCATATTTTAGTAATTTATTTCAAAATAAATCTCAATATACAGTTGTGGAGATTTTAATTCTGAATAAAGGTATGTGACCCAACTTAAGTAATTGTATCAGCTGTTACCCCATGTTTATTTTGTATAGATGTCTTTATACCCTGTCAATATTTAATATTTGTTTATTTTGTGTGTTACCAGAGTGTTATTCCCTTGTATGTCCAATGTTGCCATATCCCTTGGTTACTGCTGTGAGTACAGTGAAGAGTGATAGTTGTCAGACATTTTCCTGCTTAAACTTCAGGGACCGCCTTTTGTACATCTAACAATGCTTATTGTTCCACATATCTGTACATTGTATAATATTTGTGTAATTTCGTCCGCATGTTTTACCATTGTTTACCACTTATACATATTTGCCATAGTTAGACTTTCACAAGCCTGTTGTAAACAGCATGTACAGTGAGGGGGAAGGAAAATGCAATCTTTTGATTTTTTTTTTCAATTTTGCATATATATACAGCTATACATATCTATGTACTAACTTGTATACAATACAGCCAAATACATATATTTTGGAAATGAGAACTCTGTTTTGTTATTTGTCATGTTTGACCACTTCTGGAGATTCTAGGTGTACAGATGCTACCCCATTAAATGAATGCGTTAACGATGTTCGGTTGACAGCATAATCAATTTCACCTTCTGCTGGGATATAATGACACACAATCAGTCAAGTCAGAGCTAGATGATGCAATCCATGATCTTACAACATGCCAGGACATACTGGGACCTACGCAGAATCCCAACTGGGTTTAAATTTAACTTCAATATTTTGTTCAAATATTCAACTTAACATGAGTATAATGTGAAGCCCACAGGTGTACTCAGGAATGATATTCCTGGAACATTGTTTAAAGGGCATACAACTCTACTCACTTAATATACATAACAAAATACTTACTAGTTCATAAGCAAACTTAAAAGTGTTAAACTTCATAAGGATCGGTCTTCAGCAACCCATGCTGGCTGTAAAAGGCAACTATGCTTGTCGTAAGAGGCGGCTAACGGGATCGGGTTGACTTGGTTGATGCATGTCATGGTATCCCAATTGCGTAGATCGATGCTCATGATGTCAATCACTGGATTGTCTGGTCCAGACTCGATTATTTACAGACTGCTGGAATATTGCTGAGTGCAGTGTTAAACAACAAACAAACAAATCCTTTTGTCAAGTAAAGTCTATCCAACTGACACTCTCAACTGTCACAAGATCCTTATCTTACAGCTATGGCAGCCATGTTGAAAATCCGATTCAAACCGCCTTGAACAATCTGTAGTGTCATCCTTGCTGGGAACAAATGTGAAGTTTGAGCTTCATTGTTACACTCTTTCTGTGGACAAACGCCATGACATTTTGTCAGATGAACACTCTTCCATGTCCATTGTATCCTATTTTTATTCAAACGTTCATCAATCCAATGGTTTCACAGAAGATATCAAAGTGCATATGCATAAAAACAGTGAATGTCATTCCCACGTACAAACTATGATAATCTTCCACATCAGTATATGGAGAAATGTCCTTACTGAGCTACAAATACCGGTACAGGTTCAAAATGGCTTTGGACTTCACCACAAATAATAATGGCTGTGATATCAGCAGCTCAAGTATTTTACGCACATTTGAACAAATAAGTCATGTCCTCAACACCACCATTCAAGGAATTCACATCCATTTGTCTTTGCTTTTATTTTGGTCACTTAAAAATATAAGATTAGGAACATATCAGTCAGTATTACCATATCCTATTTAGAAAAAGATCAATCATTTTTATTCAGCTCAAATGTTTTTATACATGAACATACATACTGGCCATATTACCTGCATCCAGGCGGAACAAAATCATAATGTTTGTTTAAGGAGGTCTCCACATCCCCAAGTCTTCAAGTGGATAACGACAACATGGAACAATCCACATTTCGACTTGTTTCTGACTTGTCTCAACAACAAGCTCCATGTCCTCCAGATCAGAACAAGACCTGCAAGCTATACATGTGGACGACCTGTCATTGAATTGGGGTGTATGTGTATGGATTTCCCCCATGGCTGCTACTAGACCGAGTCCTGAGACCAGTGGATGACTCGGACTGTTTGGTCCTTCTCATAGGTTAGGCTTGGCCAAACGGGGCATGGTTTCCCAGGTTGTTCCCTCTCCTCATGTAAGATCCACTTCCACTGCCATGTCATGATCTATTTCGTCAGCTCCGGCTGAATGTATTCTATGGCAGTCTACACAATCTTTTTGTCTACATGCCTGAAAAATATCACACCAAAAACTGCATGCTTCTGGTTTCTCTAAGTCTGCCTCTGATGCTGTGTCACAGTCTTGGAGACCTTCATCCTCCATCATCTACAACTGATGGGATGAATTGTTTGATAGGCATTACTAAGAAGTTTAATTACTGTAAGGTGACGTTTCGGTATAGCAGTCTTGCTTGACAACGGTATAAGGATCTATACTGAAACATCACCTTACAGTAATTAAAAAAGTTCTTATCCACAAATCGTGTCTACTTTGTCAACTGAGGGGACGTAATAGAGGTAGTGTTCCTAGAATTATTTCAGAATTAATTAATATCAGCAAGCTCCATTACAGTGTGACAACACTCTTATTGTTGCCTCGTGTGGGTGAAGCAATCACAGACATTTAGAAAAGTACTTCCTCAAGCCAAATGTAGTGAGATGAACACATTTGTGAAAATAGTTGATGCAGTTAATGACTTACTGGTTCATGACTGCTCGACTATCTTGCTAATGGAAAAGCAACTCATTCCTCCCTTACTCATTGGTCACCTGATATTGTAAAAAAATATGTATACTGTCAATTAACAAAGAAAACTAATAAACCATGGAAAGGTACTTGGCCATCGTCCCGGAGGCAAGGGAGGTAACTGACTGTAAAAGTTTTCACCCTTACCAAACTAGGCTGGAATTTCTGGGATGAAAAGATTTGGAAAATTACAAATTGGAGCTTACAAACCGGATGTCGATTTCATTACAAGATTTTAATTGGACTATGCATAGACTCTTTAGTCCAGCCAAAAAATAATTCCTGCCCAGTTCAGCAAGGATGGAAACTGGACTTTAATACTCAGTTAACTCCCTTGCCTCGGGAAGATGGTACTTGGCATGGCCATAACAACGATAGTCATTGCTCATTTACATAAGTGAGTCTTAATTCTTGGCAGTCCTGTAGCCTGCCTAATGCCGTGAAGAGTTGTGACCAGTGTCAGTGATAGTACTTAGGGCTTTGGGAATGAGGTATCACTGTGAGGAGCTTGCAATGCATCATTTACAAATAAGAGACACACATATGTTATATATTATTTATTAGGCTAAATGTTCTCATACAAACACATCCATACCTCAACAATGATGAAAAGTCAACAATCACATTAACAATATCTCAATTTCAGGAGAGGTTTTCAGGAAAAATGACTGCTCTTTTCCTGGCCACCATAAAACACATCAGTAACTGCCGTATCTAAAAGTCTCATGGTGCCAATGGACTTGATGCTTATGAGATGATGCTCTCGTGGAATTTTTAACTGATATGTTACATATCAATGAGCATGTAACCGACTTCATGGGTTAAAACATTGTGAGGGCAGTACAGTAAAACATTATTAGTTTGGACTATGGTGCTACTCGCAAACAATCACAGATTGGAGTCGATAAAAAATATCTTTATCAGAACCATATGAAACTACTTTGGAAATCTCTAGCAAAAGCATGATAAGCATGAACACATACAAAAACTATTTCATGTTGAAAATGTTTACCTTGAGTGGAACATCATGTCACACCAGTAGTAAGAGCTACTAACCCCCCAACTAATTGGTTTTATCTTTTCGGCCTTGTGCAGACAGTCTTTTTTTTCTGCCCAAACTACAGTCCAGATTAACAAAGTGCCACTGTACATGAAGACAAAACAGTTTTCTGGTTAAACCACACCGTATCACAATGCTCTTCCTTTCTCCTCCCCACAACGTCTGTGATGACCTCCACATAAATGCATACACACACACACTGTACGGCAGTCACTACTTCGGTCCTGGCATCATCATCCCTGCCATCCCTGGCATCATGTTCTGGCCACCTGACACTGCAGCGTTTGGACCAAGCAAGATCTGGAACAGGAGTATTGTACATCTATTCAGCGCATGATTACAACATATATACTCCATATAGGGTGATATACCATATACAGTGTGATATACCACATACAGTGTGATATACCACATACAGGGTGATATACCCCATACAGGATGATATACCACATACAGGGTGATATACCACATACAGGGTGATATACCACATACAGTGTGATATACCACATACAGCGTAAATTTAACCGGAGAGACTGACCTGTAACATTAAACCAGACCAAACTAAGGTCAAAAGCCAACAACATGAATAATGGGAGAAACTGTTTACATGTAGTTTTCACTGTTTGAGAAAAGCTTGAAGTTTAAACATGTTAAAGAAAAATGACAAGTTTGCTCTTTCATTCAGAGTTTCAAATTAAAAACATGCTATTACAAATGCAATCTAAACTCACTAAAACTACAATAAAATATATTTAAAATAAACGCGCTTATAACTAACTACGGTTATAACAAACTAAAATTAGTGGTCCCTTTGAGTTTGTTATAACCATAGTTTACTGTATGTGAAAAGATTTCCATGGTTTGGTGCCCATTTGCAGCCTAGCTCTGACATTGAAATAAGTCCCCATGTGACATGATGTGAAACTGAGACTTTGGCTGTGTGATTGGGGTCATTAAGTTGAGGGACTGCCAGTTTGCCCAAGACTAGTAACCCTATCAAATTCAAGCATGGTTATTTTGAAAGACTCATAGATATACCTGTCGCTGTTGCTGTAGTTGCTGTTCATGTTGCTGAGCCCGCTCAGATTCAAATACTATTGGAAGTACCATGATAGCAGCTGATGAAGATGCAATCCAGAGGGCACTGCGACCCAGACTGAAGCCAACTTTGATTCCTGTAAATGTGAAGCTGCTGATGGCACCACATACAGTCCGCACAGGCTCAGGGAACATCTCTGTCAGGCCCCATAGCCTTTCACTCAGGGTCTCATCAATGTCCTGGCAAACACAAATGATCTGGCACATGAGTTATCTAATACTTAGTATTGAATTACTGTTATACATATTAAACATATTGACACATTAATCTAACAATGATCTAGGGATCTAATAGGATAGTAGAAAAATATGAAGTGTCTTTTCCGTTTCCTTCTTTTTGTGTTTACAGTGATCTCATTTTGTTAGTGTTCAGGGTTTTACACGACACACAAATGTACATCCAGTATGCACAAACATAGAGAATGGATGCAGAAAAAATACATCCTGCGTCCCTCGGGACGCACAATAATATTCATAGTACAGTGCATAAGGAGCAGCAATGGGTGTCTGTTATTTCATCCATCAATCATGACCACTGTCCACATGATCATTGATTCATTCCAGGTTCTCAAGTAATTAACAAAACGTACAGTACACTAAACCATTTCATTACTTTACAGGACCCTCATATTGCCTGCAAGGCCCTTTAAATTAATTGTTGGTCCCCTGAACCCCCACTTTTGCAAGTCAAGGTAAAACCCTGGTGTTACTGAACATTCTCTCCCCTTCACTGGTGGATCCACGGCATGTGCCGGGGCGCCACCCTCCTTTATCGGACACTTTATATGTTTACTGCACTCGGCCAAGCAACTTTGTGACATGGGTATTATGCATGTTATGTGTGCATACCACTCAACCCAACCCCTCTCTCCCCCTTTCAAAATCATCAACCCGCCTCTCCCTTTATCCCGTTCACAAGTCCACCACAGATGTTTTGGGGTCCAAACGTCATACTTATTTAAACTGAGACTATGTGGCATAATCTCAAGCAAAATTCTCAAGAGGATGTATTCATTGATAACCAACACAATGGAGCTGAAGTTTGTGTAATGTGTGAACTGGTTATATGTAACCTGCATCAATGGTTTGTCTCCCAAACGTTCTGTCTGCATTTTGGAAGGAAGGGGATAACTGCAGATCAGTGTATGTCCATTAAAGTATTAGACCCCATACAGGTATTTTCAGTACCTCAATTGCTGAACAATATCAGGATCAGGGTTCTATCTACAAAATCACTTATGTCCATTTTTTCAAGACGAAGAAACTGCCTCATAATTCTTTGTTATGTTGTAGACTCATGTGCATAATGTGTATGCATGGTGTAGGCCAATTCTTTTATTTTGAGTTTACACAAATTCTCAAAACTATATCACATATTATTTAGGAGGAATGTTGAAAATAGAAATTAACCCCGTAAATGTCTTCTAAAACATTTGTACCACCAAAATTCGGCACTGCTTCCCAACGAAAGGATTTTTTGGGGCATGGAGCAATTCATGATGTTCAAGATGAGAATTTTGCCTACAACTGAACAAACTTTTACTTGAACTGACAAACTAGATTTTTTTAGGGGTACAGCTACGAGATATACTTATACTTCATCATTAATATACATCCCGATCAGCGGTCATTCACAACTTGTTTATGAGAATTTTGTATGAGGAGTGCATTGAATGAGACTTGGTTGTGGGGAGAAACAGCAATATCAAACGCTGATACATTTATGTGAGATACCTGCAAATTCCAAACGGTGAGATTTTGAGTTAGTAATACGAGTATTGTGGGTGTGAGTGGACTATTAATCTTTTGAAAATTTTGAAATATGTGTGCTAAATGTTATTTATTACTTGCCCGTGAAGAGATCCCCCGTTTAATAAACATACAGCTTTATTACACATTGTGTAATACCAAAACGCGTGCTTATGTACTCTCAGAACACGTTTCACGAACAAATATTGAAAGCTCTCAACATCCCTTGGCGTATTCAACGACATTGTGTGTGGAGATGATAGATCACTGGGAGGAGCTTATGCACACTCGATGACCCCAGCAACCTTGTTGCTAGGCTGACGTCACATGGCATTGTTTCGCCGATGGATCTTGCAACAAAATTCAACAAATTACGTCATCGGGTATTGTGACGTGATTGTAAACTTTGAGGTGCAAGGCCCCGTTCCACAAGGCGATCGTACTCTAGCGCAACGACAGTCGTTAGTCTAAGTTAAATTATGTGAGTTGTGATAGCCTTAGCACTACGATAATTTTGTGGGACGAACGCCTGAATTCTAAAGGTGGATCATTGTATGATGTTAAATTCATACGTTTCAACTTTTGACGTGTTTAAAATATTATTCTGTTAAACTCAATTGGATTATGCCATGGATGGTGTCAGCCTATTTACACTCAACAGTATAATTCTAAAAACATTATAAATGACAAGTAATAAATAAAATACTAAACTCGCTCTCGTGTAAAACCAATTTTATGAAACTCGTGAATAGTTGTGGTATCTGACGAGCGAAAGCGAGTCAGATACCACAACTATTCACGAGTTTCATAAAATTGGTATTACACGGGAGCTCGTTTAGTATTCTATATGTCTTTATGTCGACTGAATGAGGATATTTCGGTGCCATTGCAAGCATGACTAGCAGACAAGCCGAGACAAATTACATAACCATGTCAACACAACGTCACAAACCTCATCATCTTCATCCTCATCGATTGACAAATCTGCTGGACGTTGTATCTTTTCAATTACACCTTCAACTTCTGCCATGTTTCAATAATTTGAACCTGTGGTAATAATAAATAATCAGAAAACGTAACCTTTCTGATTCTCTCAGAGGGTCAAACGTGCTAACGGAAATTTATTTGTTTCCGGTTTGGATTTTACGACATAATGAAATCAACATTGTTATCAATATAGCTGAACAAGGTACGAACGAATTCGACTTTGTATGATTTATAATACAATGCATCTACCGTTGTTGTATTAAATGTATTCGTTGAAAATTATTCTGTTTACGACATCTATACATTTTATTAGCGCATCATTCAATAGACCGCGGCATACTTTGATCCATTGAAATATTCACTGCAGGGAAATATGACTTTAACAGTTCTTTCGATTCGCGTTTACATGATAATCATATAACTTCCATGGAAGTTACTTTTAGGCAGAGAAATTAAAAACAAGAAACTCTTCATTTCTTATCACTTCAAACAGTTGGAAATATCCATTACAAAAAAAACAGGGATTCCAGTGGGTGTCAGCTTATTGTGGGAGGTAAGCCTATGCAGATTGAAGAGGTTAACCACTTTTGTGAAACCTACGAGAATAGGTGATGTAAAAAACTAGAAACATAACCAGAGCGAAATGTAATCATAGATTTCTGGCATAATTTACAATCAATGTAAATAATACATACGTTCTGGTGGAGGGATATATAATACTATTCCAGCTACTATTCAACACTATATCAGCTCTCGAAATAGGTTGGCCCTTCCTAACCCACGTTTCTTCTGATTTACCTAAAAATAAGGACTATTAATACTATTATTTTACAGGCAACACATTGAATAAAAGAAACACGAACCCAAAGTGCACTTCGTTCCCAATGTACAGGTAGGTAACACAGTTAAGACAGGATCTAGATCTAATCAACTATCAAACAAATCCAATATGTTTAGATGTCTATCAATTTCATGAAAAACCTTTTGATAAATCGTGTGTCAATTTAAGGAAATAATGTTCTCTGCGGTGTAATAATTGATTATGATTCCAATACCTACTTTCCAACGTGAAAACGAATTACATTTTCTTAAAAGAAATGTAGAATACATCAGTCGCATTCAATACAGTATAGTGAAACTTGTTGTCATTCTTTGACGTGATATTCATCATGCTCGGAACTATAACTAAGAATTGACTTTCACTTTGTTTGAGTTCATTGGGGTATGAACCTTCATAGAGTGAGGGATAAACTGTATGAACGTCGGAGCTTCAACGACGTTCATACAATGTTTGGCCTCCCATAAAATGAAAGTCAATTCTTATAATTTTTATATCAATATTTTTTACCTCGAAGGATGAAGCGCAAATCTAGATTTTCTACACAAAGTGGTAGATCTACGCGTGACGTAATGTTTACATATACTGACAGCCATACAACAACCAGCTGTATCGCGGAATAATTACTCAGAAAGAGTGGTGACATGTGCGTATGCATGCTCAAATTACCTTACAGGAACATCTGTTGTAGTTTGTTTGCAACAAATGTATTCAAACAGAGACCATATACCGATGTGTATATGGTCTCGGATTCAAGTAATATCATCATTGGATGAAAAAGGGTCTGTTAGGAACTGCCTCAGTAAGTCAGTCACAGTGACAGCGCGTCGTAATACATTTACATCAAGTACAGGACGTCAAAATGGCCGACACGATAAACGTGACGGGAGAGTTGTTCATAAACCTGTTGTGGTTACATGTGTTACACCATTGATCAATTGGCCGATCTTTGAAAGGGGATTATAAAGATTTGTCAAATAGATACTAAGGTAAATTCATAGGTTGCTATTGACTGTGCGAGCTGCCAGTCTAGTCGCGGATAGAGTCGATACTACGATAGGTTCTTCGTTTTGTTCACTAGGATGGGTCGTAGAGAGGATTTTCGTAAACGATCATGTGGTCAAAGTCTTTGGCGTAAATGCTGAGTTCAAGATTAAGGGTCTAAATTATCAGAAACAATGCTCCTGTACGTATTCGTGCCAGGGGGTTCCAGCGTTAGATATGGTTTGATGGTTGTTGTCTAACGCCACACGTGCTGAAGATCTATTCTTACCCGAATCTTCACAGATCTTCTAGCGTTAAAAACTGACACTATTCATGTACTAGGCCATGCCAAACTGCCCAATAGTCAAGGCATCATAAATTTTCCATTTTTAATTGTTTTGCTTTATGTTATCATTATAAGGACTATTGGACTGAAAATGTTAGTTTCGACTGCTGGGTTTCCCCAGGAATGTGTAAGTAGTCCGTCAGTGTTTACGTCATTTGACACGAGTGTCGTAAACCCAGTATGACATGAACACGAGTATATTACCGAAGAAGGTGTCTACATACAGAGACGAATTTAAGTGTGACGTCATTCCGACCTCACGTCACAATAAGATTCGAATGACGTCAACAATGCTGTCCGGATGACGTAAACAATACACTGTGTGACATATGACCGTAGGGCACATGTGATTTTTATGAACCCCGATATGTTTGCCCTCGTAGGTTTCAAATAAACTTATCATTTAACTAAGCATTTATCCATGACATAAGCTTATGACATAAAAACATGTATGTCATACCCCAAAGACATAAGTATGCAAATTAGATATGCAAATTAGATAACCGGAAGAGGGAGCGGTTTGATTTGAAACTATATATTATAAGTGAAGTTACACCAGAGATATAATCAGATTACACAGAATCGTTGTTGTTACCGTTATTAAAGTTTCAATTATTCTGCAAAAGTCTGTTCAAGTATTTTGTTTAAAATAATCCGAGGAACTTTTTTCTCTCAGCGAATTGTTTATTTTGGTTTACATGGCTATGGAAAACATGTATCACTACGCACGATCTATACGTAAGATTTCGACAAGTTGCTGATGTTAATGTTGAATGCAATTTTTCCTTAATTTGGAAGCAAAAATGTGAAAATGATAAATAGAATTCATCACTCGTGTTTTTTAATATGGGAAATATCAACCTCGTCCCGTTAATCGGTATTTGCCTCGCCAAAGGCTCGGCAAATACCGATTAACTAAGACTCGGTTGATATTTCCCATATTAAAAAAACACTCGTGATGAATCCTCTATTTATAAGCTGTTGAAATATGAACATGAAAATTAACCATATAAAGCTTTGAAGGACCCTGTCATATTTTCAGTTATAGGGACCGGTTTTTTTCCACATTTTATAGGAGAGGCCCCAGAAAAATAATCCACACAGACATACAGCTACAAAACAAAATCGCTACAAAGCGCATTCAATATGCAGATTTTATAGATCTAAATGAAATGAGTGTATATATAGGCATCATGTAGTTCCAAAATATTGAAATAAAAATTCCAAACATTCTTTTATTTTTCAGTCCATGCGAATATTCTCTTTCTGTATACATAGTTAGTAATTAAAGTGTACCTGTTGCGATGTACGACTATTACTATGTGTTATTCGAGATATCAAATCCCAACCAAGAACCATTAAGATCGGCGTTACCGTGGTGTGAAATAACACGCTACCATCGCCATTGCGTATGTACTCACCTGTTAATTACCCTGGTAGTGTTGCAAACTGACAAACACACACATCATAACGCATAGGCTTACGCTTGTTGACATGCGGAGGCTATTACAATTAAGTGTTATTTGATGACTTTGGGGTCATATTCGGGGTTACACACAAATATATAGGCCCAAATATAAGGGTTTACATGGCCGGACAGTGTACAGGAATTGATTTAAACGTGGTTTTATATTTGGGTTTTATTTTGGATTGTACACTATTTCACACTTTGATAAAATAACCTATTCTTCGTATACGCATGGGCAAAAGGTTAGCGCAAGGGAAATGAAATTGGCGGGGATTGAGTCCTGACTGGCTGATTCCACGAAGAAGCAGACGACGCAAGGTAAAGGGCGGGTAACTCTAATATCACTCCTCGCCAACCTCCACACAATAATGCCCTTGACCTGAACTAAAAACAAACGTGAGCCGGATCTGGTGCCATCACGTATACGTCAGTTCAATGGACACTACAGCCGTAGACTAATCCTCGTTAGTTATTTTTGGGAGGAAGTTCACATTGTGCAGGGAAACGCGGAAACAGACTTGTGAAAAGGAAACACAGCGACATCTCGAGCGAAGGAGGGACACATCTTCAAGTGTAGAATACTAGAATGGCTGACCCACAGCAGAGACTAGGAAGATGGTATTTTGGGGGGTTCGCAAGTGCAGGTGCAGCGTGTTGCACCCACCCGCTAGATTTATTGAAGGTGAGAGAATAACATTGTCAACAGATGTTCAAATGCTTCTCAAACCGGCAGTTTTTGTATAGTCTACACTTGTACAGAAAATTTAATTCCGTATATTCTGTTTACAGAAAGATTTTATGTTTCTGAAATTGTCCATGTACGCTAATTAAAAAAAATGACCTAAACCATTTGCTACGCGAACATAAGAAAGATACCAATTTTCCACTGTAAGCTGAACCTCTGTCGGAAACGATACAGGTGTTCTTAGATAGGTCAGCACACATTACCATTTAGGTCATTTTAACAGAAACAGCTAGCAGTTCACCATGTTCAGTATTCCTATCACGTGGACCCATATACTTGTAGATGTACATATGAATATGTGAATGACATACAGAATTTTGGACATAAATTCCATGCTGTCAGGTCATTGAAATGACTGTTTGTAATTACTGCATGATAATGCAATATTGACCATGTGCACATGTAAAAAAATGTATGTTAATAGCAATATGTATAACCGCTATCAAACTGAATGTAATTCGTCTTGTATCATTTGTATTTTTTAAATAATCAGAAAACTTGTTTATTTCTGAACTTCAGTTTGGGCTCATTTGTTTACTTAATTTGAGGGGTGAGGGGTCACGGGTATGTGTTCAAATCATACTATCAGAAAAGGGTGGCAAAGGATACTGATAAAATCGTCTTTATTTCAATCATACACCAGGGATTTATCTTGATATGATCTGAGGCCCCAAGTCTGCAGCAAATTCCTGTAAAAGTTCCCAAATTGGAATTACAAATGTCCCAATTTATGTTATATATCCTCACGTACTGTGTTTTCGAGCCCCAAAGATATAGATCTATTCCTGATTACGTGTCTTATAACAATCCCAATACACTAAAATTAGGTCTTACCTTTGAAAACATTTATTTCTGTTAGCACTTGGATATGTTTTTAATTTTATGCTGATTATGCCCCAGCGAGCGAGACGAGTTGACCAGGCACCATCTTGTTACCTTCACATAATTTCGAGCCCCTAACTTCAATCAAGTTAAAAATAGGTGCACAACATGATAAGTTACACACAGCAAGTTTACAAACAGCAGTCGATACATCATCGGTGCAAACGATTGTTCTGATGCAAAATTGTCATCAGGTTAAAGGTTGATTAAAATGTGCATTAGTGAAAAAGTAAGTTTTGAGGTATGTTGTCATTACTTATTGAATATCTTACCGTGTGACGCTTAATTCGTAACACAACTTCAGCAGCTTGTGGTGAACACTTAAGTGGGCTTTGAACTGTCTACCTAGATTACGTCATAAGCGGGTGGTTACGTAGTGTTTAGGGGTAAGGCTTAAAACATGGCGTGAAGGCAGTAATACTTAATTTTATTGCTTTGTAGAAATGACTTTGTATTTCACAGACCAATTTCAGCCAAAGAATGATTTTCCCCCAATTTGCCTGCCAAGAACACTTTGTCTGGAACCCTGGATATATAAGTTTGGTATTTTTGGTTCATGTCATTGGGGAACATATTGTTTTCAAATAGGTCGTTTCAACCACAAGACAGCTCATAGCCTTCCCCCTGTTATACTAGTTCCACCACTGCCATATATCATGTATATGAATTGAATGTCCTTTAACAATGGATAAACAACATATAGACATGACAGGTTTTTTTGTAAAACGCCTTAATGAGGATGCAGACCCCAATTGTAAGCATCTTAGAGGGTATTAAGGGTGTTATGGTGTGTAATGAATGAACTATTTATAGCCTCTGTGGTATGTACAGTATTATGCAATGCAGTGTAACTTAGTGTAATATTTAAGGAGAGATTTTAGGTCTTGCATAGGATTATTCAACTGTTTGTACATTCATGTCAATTAGACAACATTGTTAGGAGGTGTCACACATTTCACAGTTTACTGTTACTGAGCTTAAACACGACCAGGTGTGGGATGGCCATGACACTGTTAGAAGTTAAAAAGATGGAAGACTTAGAAGAAGATGGAGAATGATTTTGTGGAAATAAATGTACCTCTAGTCAAACTATGAACATAAACCAGTGGGAGTTGTTTATCATACAGTAAAACATTGCAGGGAGAATAAACCATGAGGGGCGAGTGCTGTTTTCTCCCTGCAGTGTTTCATTGTACCATAAACAACATCCGCAAGTTGTTTATTTCATATGTAAATTATATTTTATGAGAAAAGAACATTATGTGCAAGCTCTTTAAGGATGTTAATATAATGTACAAGTTTTGAAAACATTTACCTGTATTTAAATAACAATGACTCCCTGAATACAATCCAATCACAGCAATGTTGGACAAGTCCATTTTATGAACATGGGGCTTAAGTTTAGTATTACTGATCGTTCCCTCAATTCTCCCAGCGATTATCTGTACCTTTTCTCCCAATATTGATTGCCATATCAAGCCAACTTTTGGATGCAATCGTTCAGCCATTGAGCTACATCTTTGGGGAACAACTCACTACAAAACAAAAAGCATTGTCCATTGTTAAAATAACAAAATAGATGGCCAATCTGTCAAGCAGCAATATCAACAGTACTTGATTGCTTGCATACAGTTACAAATACAACACGATAATGTCTTGTAGCATTCTTGTACCACCACTACATGGTATACCAGTAGCACATCATAACAGGGTCCTGATTGGGTATACAGTTCAGTGATAGAGTTTTAGTCTACTAGTCCTGATAATGAGAACATATAGCCAAACCATTAGAAAGGGCAAATTTCTACTTGTCCTTATGATATTGGGCAGTTTGACAAGGACTGTAGGACAAGTGCCAATTTCTAACACTGCTGTTTAGTGTAAAACAATAACAAAAACTGTGGTAAACATAAGATGAGTCAAATCTTTAGCTTCAAAGATTAACATTATATGTCTATAAAAACTGCTTAGCGTAAATTAATACATTATAAGTTGTAGCAGTATCACGAGGGGGATAAGTGGTTTTATGCATCCTGTGTTAGGTTTTATACCATGAGCATGTTTACCGACATGAATTAATCTGCCCTTAATTCAGAATTAAAACAAATTCAAAATCGATAGAAAACAGCTGTTCGATTGAGCTGGGGTTAACTTGTGCCATGTCATGTGACTTTCATTGACTCCGAAAATGCTTAAGGCTTTTGGCTTCGAGTGAGTGAGTGAGTGAGTATGGTTTTACGCCGCTTTTAGCAATATTCCACCAATATCACGGTGGGGGACACCAGAAATGGGCTTCACACATTTTACCCATGTCGGGAATTGAACCCGGGTCTTTGGCGTGACGAGTGAACACTTTAACCTCTAGGCTACCCGACCGCCCCCTTTTGGCTTTGAAGCGAGGTATATAGGATGTATTATCCTGCTCAGAAATCCATCTGCAGCCAGTCTTTTTTGTGGCTGGGTCTAACAAATTTATTCTACTGCTAAGAAATGTATTTCCCTCCCAGGCGGGATACATGGTATTTTATCAATTCGTGTGAACCAATCAGATTTCATTATTCTGACATGAAGGTATTTTAATACTGTTTATTGTAATCCTGAAAAAATCTTGTGAAGTCATATACTACTAGACATCAGTGTTTGGTATTTGCCAAATAGGAATTGCAGTAATGAAACGAAAGCAGCACCAGCTACCCCCTACTGGCAGACTGATCTGCATCTGTAACAAGATGATTTCACAGTTTAAATTCAACTTGACAGCTTGTCTGCTATTCACGTCTTTTTGACTGACTAAGCTGAAAAAAATGGCTACTCAGTAGGGCTGGGATGGGTGACTTGGGTACTCGGGTACTCGGGTGGGTATTGAGTAGGTCCCGGGTACCCACAGGACTAGTCATGTGATATAATGTTTAAGGACAGCAACTCACTGTAACTCCATGGTTACACTAAAAGTAACTAATGTTGCATTTCTTTCTGACTATGCACACATTCCTTCAGACTTTTAAATGTTTGAATAATCTTCAGATTGTTTTATGTGTGTATCTAGATAGTTTTTGCCAAGCTCCCGTAAAACAATTCCCGATCAGACATTTTGTACCCAAAGTTTGAGACCTATTGTGGGTACCTGGCTAGAGTCAGGGGGGGGGGGGGGGTCGTCAGATACTTGGGTTGTAAATTTGGACTCATATCAGCCCTACTACTCAGCGTTTTATTTAGATATGATCAGAGGCCGAATATCGGCCTCAAGTCTGAAGGAAATGCTATTGAGTATTCCCAATTTTGAACTAACTATTCCCAATTCATGTTACAAGGTTTTAATATATCTAACAAAAAAATAACTTTATGGCTTTGTAAAAGTAACCTGTATTCACTTATAACAAGACCAGTAAATAGGAACAGGTTTCAGTGCTTCATTTAATATTTTTGCATTAAATGCAATTTCAAAATACCTCTGAATTTAAGAAAATATGAGCTTTTTAGAAAATCCCAATTTTGAACAAAGTAACCATCTTATCCCAATTTGCCTGCCAGGGGCACTTTGTTAATAATAAATCCCTGTGACTGCCTAAAGGCCCCAAATTGTACCTACTACTGACTTGTACCACCCCCATGAGGACCCTCTTGTGGCCGTCAAGAATAGCTCCACATGACCTGTGTCTCACCAGTGGCAGTTAGAACTGTCAAGATAGCCTCACTTGACCTCACAAGTCATTGACCCCCACATGTATTGTGGTGCAGAGGAAGAGATCAATGAGAAAAAGATGGCATTTCCAGATCCAGAGGTTGCATGTTCTTAGAAGCACACACCCATATTCAACCATACTGATGTTGACATATAATACAAGCACCACCTTATTCAACAATACTGATGATGTTGACAAATATGTGAACTCCCTTATTCAACCATACTGATGATGTTGACATATATGTGAACCCCCTTATTCAACCATACTGATGATGTTGACATATATGTGTACCCCCTTATTCAACCATACTGATGATGTTGACATGTGCATCTCCTTATTCAGCCATACCGATGATGTTGACAAATATGTGAACCCCCTTATTCAACCATACTGATGATGTTGACATATATGTGTACCCCCTTATTCAACCATACTGATGATGTTGACATGTGCATCTCCTTATTCAGCCATACCGATGATGTTGACAAATATGTGAACCCCCTTATTCAACCATACTGATGATGTTGACATATATGTGTACCCCCTTATTCAACCATACTGATGATGTTGACATATATGTGTACCCCCTTATTCAACCATACTGATGATGTTGACATGTGCATCTCCTTATTCAGCCATACCGATGATGTTGACAAATATGTGAACCCCCTTATTCAACCATACTGATGATGTTGACATATATGTGTACCCCCTTATTCAACCATACTGATGATGTTGACATGTGCATCTCCTTATTCAGCCATACCGATGATGTTGACAAATATGTGAACCCCCTTATTCAACCATACTGATGATGTTGACATATATGTGTACCCCCTTATTCAACCATACTGATGATGTTGACATATATGTGTACCCCCTTATTCAACCATACTGATGATGTTGACATGTGCATCTCCTTATTCAGCCATACCGATGATGTTGACAAATATGTGAACCCCCTTATTCAACCATACTGATGATGTTGACATATATGTGTACCCCCTTATTCAACCATACTGATGATGTTGACATGTGCATCTCCTTATTCAGCCATACTGATGATGTTGACAAATATGTGAACCTCCTTATTCAACCATACTGATCATGTTGAAAAAACCGATAGTATTCCCATTTACTGGTATTAACCAGTTTTTTACCGGTAAAATTAGGTTTGGACCGGTATTTCATGTGACTGCCAATCCCTGTAGACCGGCAAATAAAGTACCTTATCAATCTTTGTTGTTGAACAAAACCTCAGTGATATTCATATAAGTATATTTTTTCAAATGAAGTCAGCTTGTCTGTTACTATCAGGGGTTTTCCCATGTCTATTTTTTTTGCAAGGAAAAAACATTTCGCTTTGCTTCGAGGTTAAATATATATTTGTAGCGACTTAATCTCGAAATATTAAATTTTCTTTTTAGAAAATTGTGACTGAACTTTGTGTGAATGACATGTAGATCTAACTAAGTAACTTCAGAGATGACATTACATTGAATATGATGTTGAAAGAATTAAAACCATGTAATTTTCTCATGTTTTTTAGTTGTTGTTTTTCAAATTTAGGACTGACAATAATTAGAGGGGACTGGTAATTATTTAATGATACTGATCATGTTAACATGTGTGCACCTCCTTATTTAACCTGTGAAGATCCGGGTAGAAAAGATCTTCAGCAACCCATGCTTGCCGTAAAAGGCGACTATGCTTGTCTTAAAAGGCAACTAATGGGATCAGGTGGTCAGTCTTGCTGACTTGGTTGATGCATGTCATCAATCCCAATTGCGTGGATCGATGCTCATGATATTAATCACTGGATTGTCTGGTCCAGACTCGAATATTTACAGATTGCCGCCATATAGCTGGAATAATGCTGAGTGTGGCGTTAAAAAAACAACCAACCAACCAATCCTTATTTAACCATACTGATGTTGTTGACATATATGTGAACTCCCTTGTTCAACGATACAGATCATGGTGACATATGTACACCCCCTTATTTAACCATACTGATTATAAACTAATTGTTTTATTGTGGGACCTCAGAGGCATCAGATAATGAGGCCTCACAAATGAAAATTGTACACCTAGAAAAGTACAGGTACAACTCTTGACTGGTTAGCATCACATTTGTGTTTGTAGGTTCATCGTCAGACACAACAGAAGGAGCGGGTCGGTCTTGTGAAGATGGCTGTGAGGGTGATCAAGTCAGATGGGGTGTTTGGGCTATACAATGGTCTCTCTGCCTCCGTGCTCAGACAGGTATTATAGCAGTCAATGCCAAAAGCTTTTCAGTCTACTTGCCCGCCCGAACATGGGTCTTAACATCAGTTTCATTAGATTTTAGTGTTATCACTATTTCATAGCTGAGATTATTAGACCGAAAAGAATTTGTTATCACTACTTTGAGCTGTGATTATTACCGGTAGACCAAAAAGAATTTAACTAGACTCGGGCTTTGGACAAGTGGCTAAAGTCGCAGACTGTTTAGATGTATTTCTACAGGAATTTACACATATATGAGGTTGGATATTTAGGGGAATATGCATTCTTACACAAAATTACAATTTTAACATTTAGAATTTAAGCAGATGATATTCAAAGACATATTGGTTAATTAATGACTTAACAGATACTTACTTCACAGTGAATAGTCTTGATGGTGGATGACTTAGTACATGTCCTGTTTTCAGCTGACGTATTCCATGACAAGGTTCGCCCTGTATGAAACAGTGAAGAAGAGACTGGCGGCTGATGGCAAGACGATGCCATTCTATCAGAAAATCTTGGTGGCATCAGTTTCAGGAGCAACAGGGGGTTTTGTGGGGACCCCGGCAGATATGGTCAATGTCAGGTAACAGAATTCTTCAGTACAGCTCCCATATAATGAGATTCTGTTGCCAAGTGACTCAAATTGATTGGTAAATAAGGACAGACCAATTTACTAGTAGTGTTAGTCTTTTCTTGGTCAATATCCTGAGAGACATTAGGCAAAGAGCTGATTGTTAATGTCGTATAAGAGAATGCTCCCAAATGATGAGCTTGTGTCAAAACTTTCTGTGACTATAACTGATTATTCATGTTGAATGAAATAACAATTGAAAAATATTGTCTTGGTTGGTTTAAAGTTGATTTAAAACATTTTCTTAGTACAAAGGCATTAAAAACATTTTATGGTTGATCTTATTTCTAGAATGTATGGCAGGCTCATTTCTAAAGGGGTGGTGGGATAGCCTAGTGGGTAAAGTGTTCGCTCATCGTGCCAGAGGCCCAGGTACATTCCTCACATGGGTACAACGTGTGAAACCCTTTTTCTTGTGTCCCCTGCCTTGATATTGCTGGAATAATGCCTAAAGCGGCATTAAACCACACTCACTCACTCACTCATGAAATAAGGATGCATAAACATCTGGACTTAGAATAAAGGAATGTGTCTAACAATGCAGACTCTATGGAACCAGGTCGGTTGGTTAGTCTGGTCCAAAACTGATTTTATGTTGTTGACTGAAAATGAGGATAAATGCATTATATTGTAAACTTGGTCTGTAACAAAAAGGGGCGGTCGGGTAGCCTTGTGGTGAAAGCGTTCGCTCGTCACGCCGAAACCCGGGTTCGATTCCCGACATGGGTACAAAGTGTTAATCCCATTTCTGGTGTCCCCTGCCGTGATATTGCTGGAATATTGCTAAAAGCGGCGTAAAACCATACTCAACCACTCACTGTAACAAACACGCCATGTGCTTCACGGCTGAAATGTCAGGAGCTGTGTTAAGGAGGCATTGAGGTTCAATGACATGTTATTTCCAATGACAGCAATCAGTTGTTGATTTCCTTATCTTATTTTAGAATGCAGAATGACATCAAACTGCCCCCAGAACAGAGGAGAAAGTAAGTAACATGTTACATCTACTGCAGTATTTTTAACAAATTTTCAGACTATCTTGTTGCAAACATTCATCAAGTTCGATATAGTTTTTGAAATTAGTTTTTATTCATTACAGTTTTGTACACCACATACATGCTAAACTCTATATGATACACATGCGACGTACAATAAAAATAGGTTGGTTTTAAGTTTAAATAATTGAGCTTTTAACTGTTCAAATGGTGACAGGGTGGCTCAGATTATTGTGTTTTCTTATTTTTAGTAATGTTGCAAGAACTGGACATAAAGATTAACATGAGTGTTAGAGTGTGTGCCATACTGTCTTTACACACAAAAGAAGAAAAAGAGTACCATATTCGACGTAATAAGCGCCCCGCTCTAATAAGCACCCACGGCGATATTTGCTAATATATTGGCTAGTGAACAATCCCAGTTAGCACCCCTTCCGAATGATCAATGTACTTATTTATTCATGTATAATACGTGTGTTATATGCATCCTTGATTATGGGAATTTAAATTCTGGAGAAATATATCTGTCGTATATAAAAATTTCAGGCTGTCAGCATAAACCACGAAATTTGCGATCTTTCAACTCTGTTCTTTTTCACCAAAATAATTTCCTAATAAGAGCCCCCTATTTCAAATTTTGAGAGCACCCTGGGCGCTTATTATGTCAAATACGGTAATTGTCTGTTTATTGTCCTTAACTAGGAGGAGTGGTGTCTCGCTGACTTGGTTGATGCATGTCATTGTATCCTAATTTCATAGATCAATGCTCATGATATCAATCACTGTATTGTATGGTCCAGATTTGATTATTTACAGACCGCCGTCATATAGCTGGAATATTGTGCAGCGTTAAACAACACACAAACAAACATGTTCTAAATAGTGAAGTTACTATATATATGGGTACATATATCTGATACATTCTCATTCACTCACTCATAAATCCACTAACTCATTCATTCACAAACCCACTCACAAGCCCATTCAATCAGTCCACCTACCCACTCACCAAAACTGTTATAAGGGCTTATCGGGTTATCTATTAACATTAATATTAAATACAAAGATTCTCCATCTTGACACAATCAGTGTCAATTCTTCTCCTTCCAAATGCCCTGGATCTGCTAACAACTGGACTTTGGTCAGCTGACCCCAGGACGCAAGGGGTCATAGGTTCAACAGCAACACAGGGCCATGTCCAGCTGTCAATCAAACAACAGGACCCACCAAGCAGAAAGTGCATGTGATACAGAATCTGCCATTGTAGGCGACAGCTTCACCCCTGTCAGCCATGTATCAGAGTCATAGATGTTATTCAGGCCAACATTCATGATATTAGAGGAATATGTTTTGAGCATGTAGAAAACCTGAAAGAATACCGGTAAACAAAAATAAAAAATGGGCAAAATACATCCGACATGGTCATAGTTTAAAAACATGAATATATCTTGAAATATAGCAAGTGTACAGATTCATGAAAACTTATGTGGTTAATTTGTTCATGCCTGCTTATTGAAGGCCTTATTAAATTAACTCTGCTCTGGGAATGGTTAACTGGTTCTTGATGAAATTGCCAGGTTGCGGGTCTACCCAATAACAGAGGCTAATAGACAGGTTGTCTATTACCTTGGCTGGTCTGGTAGCTAAAGGACCAACAGATGGGACAGCATGCTAATGTCAGTAAATGGATATTGTCATAGTCAGCTGTTTGAAATGGATACCTGCTTTATGTAGTTGATATGTAATTGGTAAGGCATATATTCATTCTGTGAAACTGTCACATTAGCAGTGTTCCCTCTATTGTTAGAACTAATTATATCACATACTTTTACACAATTTACCAACCAATCAATTGACCTGCCAGAAACCTATGGTTGTTGGTCCTATCCAGGTTCACCCTGATTTTGTTTCTAGGTTTGTTACACCAGACCCATGCTTGTGGGTTCCACCAAATTAATTGTCTAAAATTTGCATCACTTTGGTCATTCCTCTAGGGGTGACATGATACATAGGTGCACCGGTGTGTTGTGAGTTTTCATAGGTGCACCGGTGTGTTGTGAGTTTTCATAGGTGCACCGGTGTGTTGTGAGTTTTCATGCGACAATACAATACATGATAAGTTTTTTTCTGTATCGATATAAGATGAAACACTTGCTAAAATAAATAACTACTCGTTTACCGACCCCAAATATATCAAAATGTGTTGTAATTTACTTTTCAAGTTCACAACTAAAATTGACGCTACGAACATGAATCTATCGATAGCTTTTACTTTGGAACATGCTCTGAAATATTTATAGTCAAGATGTTTTCATGTGATTCTTCACATGCGTATTGTGTTACAATTTAAATAATTGACCTTCACTTTGTGTGAGTTCATTGGAGTATGAACCTTCATACTCCAATGAACTCACACAAAATGAAAGTCAATTCTTATAATTTTTTAATAACAATTTCGTACCTCAAAGGATGCTGGCCAAGATCTAAATACAAATTTATTTAGTACGTGTGACTTCATGTTTACACTGACAGCCATACAACATCCAGCTATACCGTGGAATAAAATAGTGTCCAAGGTAATTTCATGATGTTATCAACGGTAATTGTTGCGTAATCGGAAGGTAGCAATTCATGTACCTCTTCACCGGAACTACGGGAATCCCCTCGTTCTTGGTGCTGACAGTCCGGGATGAGCGGGAGGTACAATGTCAGTGTCCTTATACCTATTACCTTAGTTCCTCCAACAAGTGCAAAGAGTGATCTTCGTTTAACAGCTTTTGTTCCCACTCTGTGTTGCCGGTCAACCCACTCTATTTGTCACTTAAATACGAGACAAAGTGGTTCAATCCCTGACCTCATCATACCAAAAGACGTAAAAAGATGGTACTTGTTACGCTGCCTGGCATAAGGGTATAAAACTTGTCATCTCGGAGTCAGTATTCTGTGTCTGAGTGGGGTATACATGTTAAACTGCTGCATTGTATTTCAGTGGGCTAGCACTATGAAACAGGCATTATTACAGGGATTACCTGTAGTATGGGGATTCTGAGATAGGCCCCACATACCATGCTTGTCGGTAGAGCTGTTTACTGTCATCTGGTGATTACAGTGTGATTGTGTGATTGTTCATTGCTCATCTACTGGGTTGCCAGACCCAGGCTTCATTGGTTCCACACCGCTGTGATATGGGTGTAAGTATTAATGACTGCAAGAAAAGTCACACACATGATTCCGATTAAAGAAAAGATGTAGTGAGTTTGTATTCACTGAGTGTTTGTGTTTCAGCTATAAGCATGCTATAGACGGACTGTATCGTGTGTTTCGGGATGAGGGGGTCATGAAACTGTTCTCAGGGGCATCCATGGCCAGTTCCAGGGCCATCTTTGTTACTGTCGGGCAGGTAAGAGGATCTTCATCACTTCATCTTATCAAAGAACATAATAAGAGAATTTGTTCCTAAGCTTTAGCAGATCACAGCTCTGAAGTTTTAACTTGTGAACATTTTATTATTACTGGTCAAATCAGTCATAACCTGGTAATCGAGTTGAAGGTCAATAATAGCTGGATCAAATGAGATGGATGTGCTGATGTTCATCCCAAAAGGTCAGCTGGTCAGCCAAGAATCAGTATTGTTTTGTAGCAAAGATTACATAACTAGGCTCTGCTTGCAAAAGTCAAAACCTTGAAGCAAATATTGATGTATATGTTAGAAATTGAATATGTCAGTCTGTAACAGACCTCTGAAGATCCGGGGTAGAATAGGCCTTCAGCAACCCATGCTTGCAGCTATGCTTGTCGTAAGAGGCGACTAACTGGATCGGGTGGTCAGACTTGCTGACTTGGTTGATGCATGTCATTGTATTCCAATTGCTTATTATGTCAATCACTGGATTGGTTGGTCCAGACTCGATTATTTTACAGATAGCCGTCATATAGCTGGAATATTACTGAGTACAACAAATAAACAAAATAAACAAACAGTCTGTGACTTTAGTCCATTAGTCTTTTCGGTCTAGTCAGCTAAGCTAATTTTATTCAATTTAAAATCACTAACATACTGAAAATAATGTTAAAAGCTATCTTTGGGCTAGTAGACTCAGAAGTTTTGGCACAGACTGATATGTAGCTAGTGACAAGATATTATCGACTTTCAACAACCAGCTTCTTGCTAACAGTAAGAGAATGTACAAGAACAATACAAAAACTGGTTGTCCATACTGTCATGTCATGAGATTCAAGTTACTAGCTCAACAATATATACATACCCACAACTGAGTCTATTGTGTCTTGTTTCAGCTGGCCTGCTACGATCAGATTAAAGGGATACTTTTAAACACTTCAGTGTTTGAAGACAACCTCATCTTACATTTCACATGTAGTGTTATGGCAGTAAGTATACATCTGTCCTTCAATAGTGCTGTTGTGTTGTTGTAGCAAGGGACTCCGCTGCTAGACCTGATTCTACATTTGTCTTTGATTTTGAAGTTCAAATATTGACATCATGTATTGAAGAAAGTCACAATACTTCCACTTGGGTTAGAATGTTTCCAGCAACCCATGATGGCGACTAAATGAACCGGATGGTCAGACTTGCTGACTTGCTTGATTGTCTGTCATCAAACCCTGACAGTGGATAGTTGCTCACAATATCAATCACTGTCTGGTCCAGACTTGATTATTCACTTAGTCGTATAGCTGGAATATTGCTTAGTGCATTGTTAAAACAAAGACATAATTTGAAATAATACATTTATTAACAATGTACATGATTTTTCTTCAGGGTACAATAGCAACGTTTCTGACTCAGCCTCTGGATGTGATGAAGACGAGGATGATGAATGCTAAGCCAGGCCAATACTCTGTGAGTTGATCACAGACTGTTCAGGGCTAGACACAGCCTCTAGTCTGCTAATTCTAGGCTTGCGAAAATCCTTAAATCCTTCTCATTTTCTCCCCACATGTAGTTATTTAACATAAACAAAAACCGGTAATGTGAACAGAGTTTGGGATTAGTTTGCTTCAGTCATGGTGTCTAGCCTGTTGTGTACCACTCATAATTCCATCTTATTGAGACCTTCATTTTCAAATTTAGTATCCTGTGTCTCATACTTGAAAAAGCTGAGAACTTTCACATTTTAGAATATTTTTGGTCATTTAGGATCAGTTGGAGATAAGAAACAAACTGTAAAATTCAAATGGCCTAACTTATCTGGACTTAAAATGTCTCTAATACATTGTATCAAACACCCTGTTTATGACACCCTGTTTAAACGTTGTGCCGTGAGGTCCCGGAGTGGAATGTGTGCCCAACACACTGTTGCCAGGCGTGGCAACTAAATTGGGGGAACCTGTAGGGGTTTCTGGGTTAGAATTGGTCCCTAGCAACCTATGCTGGTCTTAGGAGGAGATTTAGTGAATTGAGAGAGGGTGGGTGACTTGATTGAATGATTGTGTCATCATTCCCAGACAGTGTTGATTGTAATGTTGCTCATGATATCAATAACTGGATTGTCTGATTATTTACACACACCCATCACACCTGGAATATTGCTGAGTAAACAGCAAACACACATACTTGAATGTGGCGTATTTTACTTACAGAGTTTATTAGCCTGTGCACTGGATATAGGAAAGGTTGGACCTCTAGGATTTTTTAAGGTAAGAAATATTTGAAATAACATCTTTTTTTTGTATGTTCCACATACAGAAGATGGAAATAAATGACATTTACATGTTTCACAACTCCCAATCTCATTAAAATCAGATCTTAGTTCTCGCTACCGCTAAAAAAAGATCTGAGGACATCCCATTAGGGGTCACGGCAGAACGACCTTTCATCCGACCAATCAGAGCGTCGCTTACCAGATCATGAAAGTGACAGTCGGAATGTGATTTCTAATCATGCAGCCTCAAAAACGTTAAAACGGGGTATTCTGAACGATAGTTACGGGCTTAACGACTGAATCTATACAATCTAGACCATATATTAGCCATTCTTGAACTTTCTTTTGTTCAGGTTTCAAATTTTTAAGCGAGACTTTGTCAAAATATGTTTCGAAGCGTAGTCGCCAATTTGAAATTAGTGCCGTAAAGCACGAGTAAGCTGCCTTCTGATTGGCTAATGTCAACTTCTTGTCAGTAATTCCATTGGTCGGTTAGAGTTTGCGAAAGGTCGGTCTGACGTGACCCGTAATGGGATGTCCTCAGATCTTTGTTTAGTGGCAGCGAGAACTAAGATCTGATTTTAATGAGATTGCACAACTCCGGGAGTGGATTCCATTTCTGTTGTGAATCATAAACATGCAAAGATGCTAACTTAAAGATGAGATGTTGATATTATTGGAAGAATTTATCAGGGTCTAAAATGCTTAAAATGATAATGAGTTCCTCAAAGATGATAACAGGCCTTATTTCCATTGCCCAATAATGATAATACAAGTGTAAATCAAAACATTTGTGGCCTCATAGCAGTTTATTTGTGTAGTGTGAGGTGTCAACATGTGTATGATCTCTTGGAGGACATGACATCAAGTTACAGACTAATAGTATTATCTGCAAAAATTGTAAGCCAGGATTAAACCTAGGTCCATCAATTTGACCCAGAGTCAAAACTTATGAGCAAACAGTGGAAACATGTGGCCTCAAACCCACCACAGAAGTTCAAGTGGGTGGCGTCAGTTGGCAAAGTCATGGCTTCAGTTTTCTGGGACAGTAGGGTGATAGTCATGATTGACTCTCTGCGAAGAGTCAGAGTATCAGTGGGGAATACTATGCCACAACTGTCACTTAAGAGAAGCTGTCATCAAGGACACTTTGTTCAGGTGTGCTACTGCTTCAGGACAATGTTTATGTGCCAAATCACAAATGGCAGTATCTGCAACTACAGTGAGTGAGTGAGTGAGTATGGTTTTACTCCGCTTTTAGCAATATTCCAGCAATATCCATTGGGGGACACCAGAAATGGGCTTCACACATTGTACCCATGTCGGGAATCGAACCCGGGTCTTCGGCGTGACGCTTTAACCACTGGGCTACCGACCGCCCCTGCAGCTACAGATTGTGGCTTTGAATTTCTTCCCCATGTCCTTTAATCCTGACTGAGCATTCTCGAGCTCTGACTTGTATATCTACTACCCAAAACTCGATTACACCTGTGTGGTATAGTTTTTACCAGTCACCATGAGTGACTGCTGTTGAAGTCTGTTGAGAGGAACACAAGGAAGACTTCTATGTACAGCCTTGATAACAAGGTTGAAGGAGAATATACTGACAAATAATGTGTGAACAGTTCTCTATGTGAGGCCACCATGTTTTGATTTCCCCTCATAAAGGCAAGCTGTGAAAGGTTAACACTTCCTCAGTAAGCAAGGATCAAATTGCTGTGGGCAAGTGCCTCTCATCCTCTGTAACCTGTGTATGTCATTTGTTCCAGGGCTTCATCCCAGCATTCGTGAGACTAGGACCCCATACTGTACTCACCTTCATCTTCTTTGAGCAGCTGAGGCAGAACTTTGGGGAAATAAAGGAGTGATGCCATTTTCCTGGAGCAGGTGCTTGTCAAGAGAGGGAAATCTCAGGGTCACCTCCTCAGTTTTAATTAGGTTGTCTTGTTTTACAACTTTTAACTGATGCACTTATGGCCAGACCAGTTTTGTTTCTTGATTTCGGGATTTGAAGCTGAACATGCCATGGCCTGTTATTCAAAAGAAACAGACAACAGGATAAGGGTAGACTGGAAGTTGTTTGCAAAGACAATAGTGTAGGATAATCAAAGTGAATAACATAAGAATTTGTGATACAGTAAACTATGTTTATAACGAACACGCTAATAACGAACTGACGGATATAGCGAACTTACTTTTTTGTCCTGACTATTTGCTGCAGTTATGCTGTATATATGCTTATAATGGACTACGGTTATAGCGAACTATAATTAGTGGTCCCTTTGAGTTCGTTATATCCGTAGTCTACTGTAGTATGTTTGTAGATTAGAAGGATGCTTGTTTTATCTTCGTGACAAAATATTGGAGTAAAGGTTGCATTGGGTTTAAAGTATGAAGATTACACGGCAGACAAACGTGATGGTAACTCCTCAGTTCAACAAGAAACAAAAGTTGGTCCGGCCCAAATGCCTTTTCACTGTGCAGCAATATGTCAGTTCTAATCATGTGCCCATAGAAGAATATTGTTGTCAAGATAATTAGCAGACCCTTGATATCGGACAGCTTAAAGCTTTTGTTGGAATTTGACTGCCACCGATGAATTTTCCAATGCCTACTACAGGAAAATTATTGACATCAGAAATTATCCTTCTATGTTCTTTGGAACATGTCACGAAAAGGACAAGGGTACGAAATAGAAAAAATTCACAAAAATGTTTGTGGTTACACTTTCTCATAAAGTATGAATAAAATTAACATTAAACTTGAGATATACCTTCTCAAGGATGAGGCCCTGCCTTTAAAATGTTTAGGTCAAAATGAGCAAAAGGTCAAGGTCAGCATACCTCATTGTCAGTTTCTCAAACATCCACAGGTATAACACTTTGTTTGCATGTATCTCTACATGTCCTACCGCATCTAATGTTGGTGCTATGTCTATCAAAGTTCAAGGTCATCTTTGAGGGCATTGTGAAACATGGCTGTGCATCATTTATTGCCAGTTACTGTTGCACTTTGACTTGTACAAGCCTGAGATGTGTGTAATTGTTGGATCTTATGGAGTTGTCTTGATTAAAGTCAGGGTTTGGAAGTAATGTTTTAGGACTGGAAGTACATGGTGGTTAATTACAATCTCATAAAATCAGATCTTAGTTCTCGCTATCGCTAAACAAAGATCTGAGGTCATCCCATTACGGGTCATGTCAGAACAACCTTTCATCTGACCAATTAAAGCTTCACTTACCAGATCATGAAATTGACATGAACGGGGGAGGCGTTGCATAGTACGTGGGAAGCACTGCCATACAATCGCAATCATATATTAGATATTAGATATTCAGGAGTGTTCGTTTGTTCAGTTTTCAAAATTATAATCGAGAACTGTGTCAACATATTTTTCAAGCATAGTCTGAAATGAAAGTTGCCAGGTTGAAACCAGTGCCGTAAAGCTCGAGAAAGCTGCTTCCTGATTGGCTGATGTCGACTTCTTGTTAGTCGTTTCAGTCGTTGGTCAAAGTTCGCAAAAGGTGGTTCTGACGGGACCCGTAATGGAATGTCCTCAGAACTTTGTTTAGCGGCAGGGAGAACTTAGATCTGATTTTAATGAGATTGTGGTTCATTAAGACTTTTTGTTTTTGAGAGTACATGCAAACACCTTTAGTTTACGATATGACACTTAAACTATGATACATTTGTTGTCTTAGTGGTGCAATTATTGCAATGCATCGATACTACCATGTATCATAACACCTTAAAAGAAGACCGTTTTAAACCTGTTACTAACCAGTCAGCAATGGTTAGGTGTAGAAAGTAGTGCTATTTCATACCTTGATTTGTTATGGTTACATGATGAATGTATGATTGAAGAATATTATGCATGATTTTAATAATAAAACAATGTGTATGGATTTGTATAGGATGCCTGAATACCTTTACACTGAACATCATGCCTTTCATACACCCTTTTCGCTGAGGGCTCTTGCAATATGTTGCAGCTAGACATGTGGGATTGGGAGCTAGTGTGCAAGTTAACCCCCCCCCCCTTATCAACCCAACACATGCGTCCCACTTATTCAAGTTTTGGCCCAACTCTGGCGTGTTAGACATTGCTATATGCCTGCTGATCATGCATAAACATTCTAGCATATTTAGTTTATATGGTTGAACCAATTTTACTCTTACAATTCATGACGAAGTTTTCAAACTAGTGTTTTCACATTGTGAAACTGTTCATGTATTTGTGATGTTTGAATATTTAAGATTAGATAAATAATCTTGTTTTAACACTCTACTACCCAGAGTTCCATGCGGCCAGCCTAGTACCTCTGCCACAGGCCAGTGACGTGACTATTCGTCACATCTTACACAGTCCATTTAAGATATTGCATAAATATTTCATCGGTATAATTTTTTTATGAGTCTACACATTTAGATAAACATATGTCCTAGAATGGTTAACTTTCATTGAGAAGATATCCTAAAATGTGAAAAACTATTTCCATTTGTGTATTGATCCATTGTTTACATTGGTTGTACGGCTCCACATGCTGTCATTGGAGCCCTAGCAAGCTAGTGATATGGTCACTTTGATGTACAAAGCTATATTCTCATGCACCTCACTGTTGCAGTTGTAGTAGCATGTCTATATAATTATGCAAAACAATATGTAAAGTGCAGCAAAAGGCTTGCATTAAGCCTGTCTGTTGTTATTTCAGAACGCAAACTAGTCTGTGGCAGTGGTGCAATGCTAAGTCATCACTGCGCCGGCGTGTGGTTTTAGCACTATGTGATTTTTAACGCTATGTTGATATGCCATTGTTATTGCTTAAACAAAATTAATGAAAGTTGTTGATGTTTTTGTTAAATTGTACAGTGAAGTAAGAATATATTGAAAGGTCTTTACAGTCTAACCATTGATTTTACAGGTTTTCATGAACACTGATTTCTTCCATGTTTCTGTGTTATAGATAAACCTTGAATTCTTGTATCTTGTACAATCTTACTTTGTATCCAGTGGTGTTGAAGGGGTGCTCTAAGAGTTGACTAGATAAGAGAGTGAGATTTCAAGTTCTATAATGACGGCCAGTATGTATGTAATCATCAAATCTGTGCCACACAAAGCCACTGGCTGATGAGTAACATTCAAAACACTGGGGACAGATGCCACACAATGAGGCAGTGCGTGTACTGACTCGAGTCAGACTGCCAGCTAGTCCTAGTGTAGTTCCCCCTTTAGTTGTAGTGATCCTATGGCTACAAGTCCCATTCTTTAACATAGATTTACGATTGTTTGTTGGCTCTTATGACTGGCATAGGGTACTGAGATCCATTTAGCCCTCTATAAGTGTCCATACATGTGATTAAGGTGACTAGATAGGGCCTAGATATTGACCAGTGAGGTTAATGGACAAAGTTTGTCAGTATGGCAGACCTGAGGCAGGATATGTTTGATTATAATCCAAGGGGTGGTGTTACCGCTGAGTTCAACCAATCAGATGATACGATAAAAATACAAATGTGCTCATCTAGCAGGAAGAAACTCTGTATATAGATGTGATCCCCTCTTGCTCAAAAACCTTTGTATAACTTTCCCCAAAAGTTTATTTGATTGTACTGAAAGACCATAGTATACATAAGAATCACTTTGTCCCCATGTCTAAACACTTTTTTCAGAAAGTGTTTTTGAATCAGAAAATGAATAACAAGTTGTCTTTATACAGTAATTGTTATACATCTTCATACAAATTGAGTCATCATTGCAAAGGGATGTAACTCTTAATCACCTTTATTTTTCTCAGATTATTTTTCTCTTGTCTGATGGGTTTAAGTGTGGGGAGAAAATGTTTGGCACTTTTTTTATATTTTGGGTCAGTAATTTGTTTAGAAAGAATACACCATAACAGCACCCTCTTTTTGTATTGAATATGAAGCATGTCGTTGTATCACCAGTAGTTTTTTATTATACTGGTATTTTGCTACACAAAGAAATCCTGGTGCATCTCTTGAAGCAGAATGATGCAGAAATAGATTTTAACCGAGTGCCAGTTTTTATGTATTTATTTGTGCTTTCTGTAGGTCTTTTAGCTTTATTTTCATAGAAATGTTGTCTCAAAATAGGTTCTTTCATAAGCTAGAAATTAGTGGTCATTGTTTGTTCAAATGTCAACATTCCGTTAGCTCACTGTATCGTTTGTTAGTTTGTATGTACAATATATATATGTATATATATAGCTAGTCACCATGCGTTTGTCCTAAAGTTGTCTTCATTGTCTATATTAAATGTAGTAAGTTTGAGGTGTAATTACTGAAATGTTTAGTCTTTTGGGTTTCGCAACTTGTCCTGGAAATTTGTAAGTGGGAATTGAACCTCATGAGTGAAATATTCTTAGCTAACTTATCAATGCTACGATTTATGTACAGAGTGAAGGTTAATGATGTCTGATTTAAGAGAAGCCATATGCTATTATGATGTTTTCTTTGTTATTGGAACAAGTAAATTGCACAATTTTGCAAACAGTGAATTTGTTTAGATAGGGCTTATCAAATCACCAAGCTCTTAGGACTTTCCATGCTGTTTTGATGAAATTAATGTTCAACTATACATGTAATCATGGCAAGGGTCCGTTTGAATACCAAATACACCAAATTATTGAAATTATATTAATTTTACGTGACGATCATAGGGCACTAGAACAGTGATTGTATGACAGGGTGTGGTACAGTGTATATTCTTATACAGTGCCTAGGTGTGGTATATTATGATATAGTTCCCTGAAAGTATGCTTGGCATACGTCTCTACAGGATTCTATGTAGTCATTGAAACAAAGATGCCTATTTGTGTTATCACCACTCCATCCCCTTTGATTCATAGAGAATCATAATGAATCATCACTAGAAAGTACCCATGTCACATGGCTTGATCTCCATCGTGTATGGACATTGCAACATGTAACCGTGTACACTCCCCACCCATCGCCAGTCTTTATTGATCTACGCAGTATTGAAACCAGGTGGAGAATGATGTTGTAGGTAACTTAGGGTACATTTGCTAGCAATTTGTGGAAGAGTGTGGTGTGTATGGGATGTTACAAGCTGAACGAGTTCATAGGCGGATCCAGAGGGGTTCCAGGGGATCCGGACATCACCCCTTTTGAAAACCAAAAGTATGTGGTAGACAATACCCCATCCACTGAGAGAGGATTTTGATATTGTGGACCCCTCCCTTTTACAAAATGCTGGATCCACCCTTGGACTTTGTCATCGTTAGAGTTTGTGGTGTGTACAGGAATGTTTATCTCATATATTCCTGCAGCTTTGTTGCTCATGTGTTTATACTTACACATTTACGCAAAGAATTCATATTGTTTAAGGATGTTTGTGTCAGGTTACATCTATCTTATAGCCCTCCTGAGAGCTAATTGAGCCAAGGTGAAGAAGTGACATCATATCAAACAATGTAATACAATGTCAAAGCTGGTTTTGATACAAGACAGCTACCGACCAATTGGACATCTGGTTTAACAAAGGCAACAATAATGTTCTTATCCCACATTAAGAAGACATGTAAAACATTGTTGCAAGTAGGATCATATGAATATGAACTAATGCATTTCTTGTAAGAAAAACAACATACACCAAATCATATGAATACTTTTTATGAAAATGTCTCCAATAACACAAAATTGATTGTACTTTACTACATCATCATATTATGCCTTGATTTAATGTTCCTCAAATATACATAAACGTCATAATTCATTGTAGTGATGCCATCCAGATTACTTATTAATTATGTGTAGTGGTCTCATGGTCACATCTAGGTAGTTTGAATCCTCAAACGTTTTGAAATCCAACAACACTGTAAATCCTGAAGATGCATACGGAAGTGCTGATTGTTTAATGTGGCATCATTATGCCTCAATGTAACCTAACACCACAATCATTTTTATGAGATTTTCTTCCAGGTTTTAAAAAAAAAACAAGACACCGAGCAATTTAGTTTTTAGATTTGTTTTAACAAACTGTTTGAATCTTCTGTGTACAGTAGCTGTCTATGGAGGTGATTCACACAAATCAGCAGTGTTAGGACTGCCTTGTATCGGGTATATTTTAACATGTATAGAAAGAAGGGAACACAATTAGCTATTGTCACAATTATCATTTTGGGAACAATGAATGATAAGGAGGGTGTTAGGCCACCTGGGATATAGATCCTATTACTAATGTATTATGGATGAAGGTGATGTGTTTATATATTGGTAGTGATAGAAGGAAAGTTGAAACATTGGCATGACCGCCATGTGCCAGAGATGACCGGAGGTTGTTTTGGGTGTTGTGAAACATCTTACACTAACGTGTGTGTTTACTGATCTGAAGGATCTGTACTTAAAACACAAGTAAAGTATTTCCATCAAATTTCAATTTGTTTCCATCAGTATTATTTCCTGATGTACTGATTGTCCTTGATGATACAAATTATGGATATGACAATATGAAATGGTAATTGATCTTTTCTCATTTTCAGACATAAGTATCATAGTTTCACAAAAATGTTGTGCTTCTATATCATTTCATTAAATATTTGCTACTCATGAATATGCATTTCCTAGTGTTAGGAAATTATTATCTTTTTTCTCTCGTTCCTGGACATTTGGGGCTTGTTGGTAGTTAGCTCAAGCAACAGTTGTGGCCTTTCATATTGTACATAGTGTGAAGAAGACCATGGAGTGGGAACATAGGGTTCACATAGAGTCACTGCCATCATCCTCAGTTATCAAGGGTATTATGTTACAATTCTATTATATTATGTACCCAGGACCCATTCACCACCACAAGTCCATTTCAGAGGTGACACCACCGTATCTCCATGGTTTTACCTTGACTTACAAAAGTGGTGGTCCAGGGGACCCCCAATTATTAATCTTAGCAAAACGAGGGTCATGTAGGCAATGAAATGTTGTTGTGTACTGTACGTTTTGATAATTAGTTTAGAGCCTGGAATGAATCAGTGATCATGTGATTGTGGACTGTGGTCATGATTGATGGATGAAATAACAGACACCAATAAATGCTCTTGATGCGCTGTAGGTACAATGAATATTATTGTGAGTCCTGAAGGATGCAGTTTATTTTTTTCTGCATCTTCTCTACATTTGAGCAAACTGGACATACATTTGTCGGCCGCATAAAACCCTGCATCTCTCTTATCACAAACTTAACTCATGAACTTGAAATCAACTAGTCAAAATGCCTCTTCCCAACGCATTGAAAATGTGGCGCTTGATAGAAGAATCAGAAGACAGCAAAAATGAACTTTCTGTTCAAAATGATGTTTTCCTGAGTACTAAGACAGGGAGGAAAGTCCTTATGCAAGCTGTATTTGAGACAGCACGCAACAGTCAAGTTGAGTACTGGTATTAGTGATTTGCTTCTTGTTTTAATCATGAAGTACTGATAGGTATTGGACGTCTATTTTTAGTGCCGTTTCAATCAAATACCAACTCGAAACAGATATGGTGGCAGTTGGGTCCAAGCAACATGGAGGTACATGTATAATAACCTTGATAAACAAGGATTTGTTATGATCTCATATGGAAAACTATATTGTTTAGGCAACATTGTTTTTATATATTTGTTGCTCTTGTATAATATGAGACTTAACTAGTGGTACTCCATGTAGTACTGTTTGTAATGCAACTATGTAAGTGGTTATTTAAGGTTCATAGGAATGAATCCTTTTTTTTATGCTGTGTGATACATCACTTGTTTAATCTGTGATTGTTTTCATTCCAATGCAGTCATAATAATCATATTCATGATAATCTGTATACGTGATTGTTCTGTTGATGCCATTATAGACATTTCTAGGCCATGATGACTGTGCAGTTTGATAGTGTGTGGCAGAATTATAGCAGATAATTGACTTGCTAATACCTTGGAAAGTGGTTTATATTACAAAAATATGACAAATAAAATAAAATATATTTCAAGTACACTGTGTTGTTTTAATTGTAACATGATCCTAAAAACTAACACACATTCCGAGTTGTCTGTTGAACTCGGACTCTACCTGGGGGACATAGAGTGGTGGCATAGTTGAAATTTGCTGTGCAGAGTTGCTCCCCTTTTCCATGCCAGGAACATGTGACCAAGGGTAGGAATCCCAGATTCACCCTGATTATGATTCTTAAAGTTTGTCAGCTCCATAGCTGTACTCATGGGCTTTGTTCTCAGTGACGCTTGCTTAACATAACCTAATTAGCTATGTCAAAAGCTATGTGGAACAGTTGTGTTTTTTATGTTGATGTGGAAGCTTCTTTCGTCCTGATTGAAATATGAAGACTGTTGCCAAATACATGGTCTTCTGGTTCAGTACTTAGTCCAGTAAGTCTGCACTGTGAATGGACTGGAGAGAACTAGATTAATGGGTCAAGGCATCATAGACTATGAGAGTAGAGTCTTGGATTCACCTGTTTGTCTGTTTAACGAGTGTCTTAAACTAAAACAATAAACGTGTTTGAAAACTTGAACTGGCCTTTACTGTTAATATGATGATGAAGTGTCATGGATGAAATAACTTAGATTAATATTTCTGTGTATTACAATGTAACATGTTCCAGCATATTATATCTCCATTCTTACATCATATACCCAAGACCCATTCACAATTGTTTCAACTTTGATCAACTAGATGACTAGCTTTCCACACATCTTTTCCACATGAATGTGGGTTACTTTGATGGCTATTTAATGCAATGAGTTATCTGAATCGTACTCAGTTCAAAGCTGCGGTACAAATGGGTCCGGGGTATATCATAACAGAAAGTCAGATGGACTCTCACACAAATAAGTTGATAGTCATGTGCATCTCATTCGTCCTCATGTTTTGGCTTCTAACTACATGGTCTAGACTGACAATATCTGAAGCATACTAAGCCTAATGGAAAAAGAAACTGATATGGACTGATTACAGTGCTCCTTGTATTCATCTTCCCAAGGCAAGGCAGTTACCTAACTATAAAATTCAACTTTCCACCAATGCCGAAGTAGGCTGGAACTCCATACCTCTCTACTGTTTATCACAGCTGCAATTATTTTATTGTTGTACCTCTTAATAGATATTGTTTTCCGTATCAACAGTCTGCAACACAACAAATTGAGATTTAGCATAGTGTTGTTTATATGGAATACTGGCGTTCAGTCACGGACCAGAGATTTAGCATAGTGTTGTTTATATGGAATACTGGCATTCAGTCACGGACCAGAGATTACGCTTAGTTGGTCAAATGGAATACTTGCATTCAGTCATGGACCAGAGATTTAGCTTAGTGTTGCTCATATGGGATACTGGCATTCAGTCACAGACCAGAGATTTAGTATTGTGTTGCTCATATGGAATACTGGCATTCAGTCACGGACCAGAGATTTAGCATAGTGTTGTTTATATGGAATACTGGCATTCAGTCACGGACCAGAGATTTAGCATAGTGTTGTTTATATGGAATACTGGCATTCAGTCACGGACCAGAGATTACGCTTAGTTGGTCAAATGGAATACTTGCATTCAGTCACGGACCAGAGATTTAGCTTAGTGTTGCTCATATGGGATACTGGCGTTCTGTCACAGACCAGAAATTTAGCATAGTGTTGCTCCCATGTCATACTGGCATTCAGTCACAGACCAGAAATTTAGCATAGTGTTGCTCAAATGGCTTAACTAAGAGTTGCGAACATGTCATTCTGGTGTTTAGTCACAGACCAGTGTGATACAGAGATTCAGGCCAGCATGAGGGCTATGAGCATCAGGGTCCCAATACTGTGTATCCTGTCGTAGGCCTTCAGCAGTCTCACCCCTGCACCCAGGGCATCGATCTCAGCATCATGGGTGTGGTCAAACTCACCCACGTGGGAGGGGCCTACCAACCTGTAATAACAATTGATCAGGGTTAAACAAACATGCACCATACGGTTGTGTTGTAATTGTTTGGTCATGTGACAACAAAAAAGAATATATGTTCACATCTTGGGAGTGAAATACTTAATCGTCATAGTGTAGTGTTCTAGATCATATAATTTTCCACAAATGTACACACAGAATTATATATCCCATAAGAATACAAATTAATACTTGACATTTAGTAAGCATGGCTATGTTGTCATTGCTGCTGTTACATAGCAACGTATTCAATAAATCTAAATGATTAATTTGAAGTTTGAATTGTATCCTACCACAGACAGTATTACAACTGGCTTATACAGTTACACGTACCTTCTAATTATCTCGCAACCAGCGAACCCAGCCATCTCAGATATAAACTTAGCTTGGTAGATTTCAACGTCTTCTGTAACGCTTGTCATGTGTTTAAAATATTCGTCAACTGTTGGGAATAATAAATGATAAGTTTAATTTACTGACATAATAGTCCAGAAACACATACTGTATTCGACCTAATAAGCGGCCAGCTCTAATAAGCGCCCACAGCTATATTTGCTGATATATTGGCTAGTGAACAAGCCCAATTAACATCCCTTCCGATTGATCAATGTACACAAGACTTATGTATTCGGTATAATACGCACACACGTGTGTTATATGCACCCTTATATCCGGGCAATTAAATTCTGGAAAAATATATTTGTCATACATAAACATTTCAGGCTGTCAGCATATACCACGAAATTTATCTTTCAACAATGTTTTTTTCACCAAAATAATATTCTAATAAGAGCCCCCTATTTCTAATTTTGAGAGCGCCTTGGGCGCTTATTACGTCGAATGCGGTACTCATTATATTCCGAAATGGCAATGCTTAAACTTACATTCAACTGATACATGCCAGAAATAATCTTACAATGAAATTGTTTTTATTGAAGTTGATGTTGCTTTTTTCCAAAGTCTGACCATCTGATCCTTATCAGAATAAATATAACATTAGGACATTCCTACCAAAACAACCCACCCATTTCAGTAGCTGCGATCCGCGATGGGGTCCTACAGTCAAGACATGACCTTACATCATGACTGTAGGACCCCCTTGCGGCTCATGGTTCATTTCAGGGGTTGGGGCTCACCTGTTTTGTTGCACATCTCGACGACCCTGTAAGCGAAGACCCTGCGGTTGTCGTTGTCTTCGGGGCAGAGGATGTGGCAGTAGTACGTGAAGATGTAGTTGGCCACGAGGAGTCCAAGGTCGAGGGAACACGGTCCCACGTAGCTGCACCCAGCGTTAGTGATCTGTCGCAAGTCATGGCAACAATAAGCAACATATTCATGGTAAATCACGCATAGTCTCGACTGGGAGGTCGTGCATGCAACGAACAATATGAGCGCCGAAACACAGTCAAGGTCCATAGATCAATTCCATTACAATTAATCAGTTTGATCAGAGACTGGTTCTATCATAAACTACACCATCATGGGGTTTCCCGGCGGTCACAAAACACGAACTATACGTTTACACAGACACAACATCTCTTCATATATCTATGACTATACACCAACATTGCGACCATTCAACTTCGTAATCCTACGATGAAAAATATACGTCAATTATTCATCCAAGTCGTGTACATTCTGATTAGGAGTGAATGTGTTTATAACTTCACTTGCGTGTCATTTCAGAATAACATATGAACATTTTAGTTAGGTGTAAACTGTCAGATGGAAGCGGGCATCTTTGCAATAATAGTCGTTCCCTAACGTTTATTCCATTTTTTCTTTCTAAAATCTGACCCGTGAAGATTCCGGGGTACAATAGATCTTCAGCAACCCATGCTTGTCGTAAAGGGCGACTATGCTTGTCGTAAAAGGCGACTAACAGGATCGGGTCGTCAGGCTCGCTGACTTGGTTGATGCATGTCGTCGATCCCAATTGCGTGGATCGATGCTCATGATATTAATCATTGGATTGTCTGGTCCAGACTCGATTATTTACAGACCATCGTCATATAGCTGGAATATTGCTGAGTGTGGCGTTAAACAACAAACCTACCAACCAACCAACCAACCAACTTTCTTAAATCTAACTTCTAGATAACTGTAACTGCAGGTCCAACACACCCATTTGTCCATAGCATGTCACTGCAACTCCAATCTCATTAAAATCAAATCTTAGTTCTCGCTACCGCTTTTTTAACTAAGATTTGATTTGAATGAGATTGCAGCATTTCATCTAACCATAAAAAAATGTCAATCACTCTACAGTTTACAAAGTACTATACATTTATTTGTCGCTATATAAACGACCAGTTAATATCCAGAGTAAAAGCAGAGCAGCTACAAACTTATTCAAACCAGGGAACAGGACCGGAAGTAAGATCTATTGACCGGAAGTAAAAGGAGGACGCTTCTTCTCTCACCTTGGCATCTTCGTCTTTGACCATGATGGAGCCGGTGTGGAGATCCCCGTGAACCAGAGCCTCCTTCTTCTCCAGGAAGACCCTCTTCATCTCGGCGGCCGCCCGGAGCACCTCCTGGTCCCCGTAAAGCCAATCAAGCCTGGCCTTCACCGCGTCGGAACACTGGTGACTGGGGTCACCGGGAGTGAAGGGTGACGTGAACAAAAGCTGCTCGCGTATCGTTAACGTCGTCGCATTTCTGAAGCCAAGCGAGTGTGTTCATTGTTCTTTCGTGAAGGAGTTCATCATCACAATAGCTGTGTATGTGCGGTCAACTTGCCATTTTGATTGCATCAACTCCAGTAAATTGATATAAAGTCAAACGGATTTGGAATTCAGACCTATTCTGTTATTATTATTGTCTGCAGCTATCCTGCCGTGATACTTTGGAATCAGACTTGTACAATAAATATAGAACACTGTGACGTGAGGACCTTTAACCACATGGCTATCCCACTCCGGAACAAAGACGTACATTGTCTTAAACCATATATGGAAATATTGGAGTTTGATTTAAGAGTTTTCAATGTTTGTGTACACCTTGAGTCGCTACTTCATGTGATGTAAGGTAATACCATGAAGAAGAAAAGTATATATATTCTTGTAAATGTGCACATACGAAAGACAAAGATCAACGTCCACCTACTGAAACTCCTTATCCAGCTGCTTGATGGCGTCCGCCCCTATGTTGGCGACGTGGGTGTCTCTGTGTATGACGGCCACGTCTCTCGCCAGTTTGAGGGCGGCGTCTTCGTCGAGATGCCCGCTGATGAGTGAGTTGCGGTAGATGACGTAGTCACGGAGGTCCTCTATACACACTGGTATTAGAAACATACACAATTTTACTCTTAAACTGTTAAAGCTTTGCAATTAAAAGAATCGAATGACGTAATTTGAGGATTATTTTTCGTTTGGAGCTGGTGCTGCATAACGATTTTTGTACTTGTTAATATAGTTCAATGAAAATATTCACGAAAATACTTCAGCACTACTTACATATTTTGGATTCCGGATCATAGAAGACGGGTTTCACTGCACTTCCAGGTGCCAGGCTGTCGAATTTGGTGAGAGCATTAAATTCTAACTGAGCGTTGTCTCTGTGTGGTTCTTTCTGTTCATAATACAATGCAAAGGTTAAAACATATGCATCACCGGAACAGCAAATTGACGTTATACTAACATGAAACTTGTTTTAGGACACTAGACGTAAAGTTCGTATTTTGTAAGTATGTCGTTACGAAATATATTCTTTACTTAATGACTTTTTGAGTATTAGGTTCGTAATTTAATCTATAGAAAATTATATTACATTTTGTAGTGTAACGTAATTGGGGCTTTAACTGTTTAATTAAATTATTCGTAATATAACATGACAGACTGTTTCAAATATAATCAATACTGTTTCTTATCTTACCGCATCCATTGGTGTAGCACACTGTACGACGATGCTGCTGCTGTCACTGCCGCCAAAGTAGACCCTGAAGACGTTGCTTCTGTCCTCACTTTCTATTTTCAGCTTAGAAATGTCACCCGCCCACTGAAAATATGTGGAGATTGATTAACTTGCGACAAGAGTCTCATACTCGCGCTGAAATATTCATTTAAAGTTGTAGGTTGCTATTCTTCTCACGATACAAGTCGTCAAATCCGGAGGCAGTTTATTTCATTTCCGGTGAATATCCAAGACCTGCACAATCTAAATAAAGCAGAACACCACGAGAGTGTATGTGCGAGACAGATGGGGTTTTACACGATAACTATTGTGGCAGCACGTCAATTCGCTGTGAGGAGCTCCATCCGGCGTGTCAGAATCCCGTGGGTTCGAATCCCAGCTTTGCCATGATAATGATTCAGCACATGTCCTATATAACTGAAGCACTGTTCACAGCCGCATCCATTATGTCACTCATGTCACGATCGTCCATTTGAATGTGGGAATCACTCATTGAAAGCTGGCCCAAAACGTTTGGTGTTTCCCATCCTAAACTGTGCGGCCAAAATGTTCCAAACTGAAAGTGGTTTAAGCCGCTTTCAGCATTGCAGCACACAGCACTCACTTTGCACCATGTGGCGACTCGAGTGAGTAAATTGCTCTATGTCACACAAGTGAACTTTTCGGGGCGCGAAATGTTTATAGCTTTACTTAATGTAGAAGAGCCTGGAAAGGAAGTCCCAAGTTAGATAACTTGTTCCCAAACCATTTAAATCAGAATTAGATATGCTCAAACTGAAAAAAACCCTTAATTTAGCGGGGAATCGAAATCTATTCCCTCCCACAATTGAAATTAAAATTTCGTAAGCGGCGTAAAACCATACTCACTCACTCATATGGATACAGTGTGTGAATTTCATTCCTGCGTACCCTACTGTGAAGTGTCTTGAATATTGTGAAAAGCGGCATACCAACACCTACCCACTTATTAACGTGTCCTGATGCACGTGTTCATCAGACTTGACGATGGAGGACACAGATCAGTTCTATTCCTCGAAGACAAAATTTACCTACTTTTGAGTAAGAGGTGAGGTAGGTAAAATGGGGTTTATCGTCGCGTTGACATGACAACCCGCTCTCCGGACAGACGCGCTATCCGCTAGACCACAGAGGAGGTATACAGGTGAAAGAATTCAACATAAAAACTGTGGTAAATGAATCTTTAGTTGTCTGTGATGACACCTGGTGGCCTGGTGTTATTAATGGTTTCCTGGTACATCACTCCAAAGTCTTGAATTGAGATCTTTACTAGAGTGTATGTCATACAGACAAAACGAAATGAATATCAGAACTGCGGTATATACCGAGCGAGCGGGAAACAAATACATGCATTCCATTACCAATTTTTGTACAGTCATTAAGGTGCACACTGTGGGTGAAGATAAGCGAAAAGACATGTATAGATTACTATACGAGCCTTCGTCAGATACCGTTTTTATTACGAGTATATCCCAAAATGTATCTGTCGAGCGAGACGTATCTAACGTTTTCGAATTGTTAGTTGTAATGACACGTCACGGGGACGAGGGTAGTGATATATTTATTATTGCACATTATCTAAGTTCAACGCTGCAAAAAGACGCTGTTGGTACACCATTCGTAGCTCGCGATTCAACATATAGAGTAATACATATCCATATGAAGCATATATGTAATAATAATAGATTATCATACCAGAATGTATGTTATACGGATTTTACGAAACGAGAGTCAGAATTCTTGTACTTCCCAAGCGGGAGCGATGGTAATAGGTGAATAATCTTACAGGAGTTTCGTAAAATCAGTATGCGCTGAGAAATCAACGTGCAGCCTGTTTTCTTCGTGGCGGGGCATAAGTGATTTAACTGTCCCTCTCAGAAATGTATTTCCCTTGCAGGCGGGATACATAGTATTTTATCCATATGACGTGGACCAATAAGATCTCTTCATTCTGACATGGAGGTATAATAGAACGAACTGTGAAACTGTAGCACTGATCAAGACACTGTTGTATTTCTGTCATCTCACAGAATGATGCTTGGTGTTGGTTAGGTTCAGATGTGTGTCAGGCAATGTCGTGTTGAATGTGGATGATACAACCTTATTAGTTTCTGTTACAGTAAATGGGCGTCAGCATGTTGCCGACAATCCTACGACAGTTACGGTTATAGCAGAACCTCTGTAAAACGGGATACTTGCTGAAGGAGTGCAGTGGAGTGGGTCACTATGGTGGGTGGTTTAGTGTCAAGGAGCGACAGACACATGAGCGAGCGACAGGTCACGAGGGACTGAACACGAGCTGCTGAACTCCCTTTAGCCCTTGGCACACGATCAGAATAGCCATGTGCATGAGTATGTACATGCATAACCTGATAGTAGAGTCACAAAGGTATATCCTACATGTATGCAACAGTGCATCCTTGCAAACTCCCCTTTAACTAAAATGCACTTATCACGACAGAAATCTTAGAGTACAATTGTCGAATGACGTCAATAATCTTTAGCTATGACGTAGATTCTAGTGTGACGTCATTCCGACCTTGCATCACGAAACGATTCAAATGACGTCAACAATGCGGTGCGGATGACGTCAACAATACACTGGTGCGAGTGAAGTGATATTAGCACTAGTACACATATAAAGAATACTAAACGAGGTCCCGTGTAATATCAATTTTATGAAACGGGTATATAGTTCTGGTATTTGACGAGTGAAAGCGAGTCCGACACGATTTTCATGGACTTGGTATTACACGGGAGCGAGTTTAGTATTTTATTTCTTGCTTGTCGTTAATAACTGATTTAGAATTTCACTGTCGTGTGTAAATAGGCAGGCATCTACGCGATCCACAGCATAATTTAATTTAGTCTAACTTAACAGAATAACACTTCAAACAGGTCAAAACTTGATACTTATTAATTTCATACCATACAACGGCGAATTCAGGGGTTGATTTAACAAAAGCTATCGTAGCGCTGAGGTTATACATTACTCCCATATATATACGTGGCGGTCAGGTAGCCTAGTGGTTAAAGCGTTCGCTCGTCAAGCCGAAGACCCGCGTTCTAAACGCGACATGGGTACAATGTGTGAAGCCCATTTCTGGTGCCCCCCGCCGTGATATTGCTGGAATATTGCTAAAAGCGGCGAAAAACCATACTCACTCACCATAGACGTACTCTTGAGTGTTGTGCGACGACCGCCTTGTAGAACGGGACCCTGCATCACAATGTTTACAATCTCGTCACAATACCCTATGACGTAATCTGTGTAATCTTGTAAGCAAGATCCACAATACCATGTGACGTCATCGAGTGTGCATAAGCTCCTCTCAACGAACTATCATCTCTACGCGCAATGTCGTTGGATAAGACCACGGATGTTGAGAGTTTTCAGTATTTGTTCGTGAAACTTGTTCCCGCAGTACATGAGCACGCACTATGGTATTACACAATGTATTATACAGCTGTATGTTTATTAAACGAGTGATCTCTTCACGGGCAACGATTTAAATGAACTCGGTTATTTTTAACTCTAATAATGTGTAGACGTCATATTTTTCTCCGACACGGTGCACATAGAACACTATAGAAGACAATGGAGGGCTGTGACATGAAATATTGTGTAGATTGTTTAATCTTTAGTTTTCCATTTGTTGATGGGATATTAACAAGAAAGAAAACGTTTCAAAGCAATACATATCGATTTTAAGAGAATGAGACCCATGAAGTTCCGGGGTAGAATAGGTCTTCAGCAACCCGTGCTCGCCGTAAAAGGGGACAATGCTTGTCGTTAGAGGCGACGATCGGGATCGGGTGGTCAGGCTCGCTGACTTGGTTGTCATCGTATCCCAATTGCGTGGATCGATGCTCATGATATCAATCACTGTTCCAGACTCGATTATTTACAAACCGCCGTCATATAGCTGGGATATTGCAGGGTGCGGCATTAAGTTTAACCAACAAACATACACACTAAAAAAGGATGAAGAAAAGACCACATTCGTTATCTTCATCCACATTTTGTTCTGAATAACAAATAATCAATTTGTTGAGGCCTTAAGAAACAGTTGACGAGACTGACCACAATAGATACTGGCTTCAATGACTTTATACCAGCTCATATATCACAGATATCACCCGGTATGTGGGCGTGTTCAATGGCGGCGAGTTGATCGTGCCATGTGCAGCTGCCGGACCACGCTACGACACACACTGCGGTACACAATCACTCTCATACATCAGATTTGCCAACAGCTGTCTCTCGAATACCACCAAACATTCACTGATTCGCGTTACTGACAACAAACACTTTCATCAAATAAAATGTTAACAACCAACAAACGATGTCATGCTGGAGCTCATAAAACGAGAATGATTAAATTCCAAGTTAATTAAAATTTCTGAAACATGGTCATAGTATGCAGCACAAACTGATACCCTCATGGTTTTGAACAGTGATGCGGTGAATTTGTAGACACCGCCAACTCGTAGACGCAATTAACAGTGAATTAAATTCGTAGACAAACCGGTATTTCGCATCAGTGAACATCTACACGACCAATCCAAGAGGAAAGACAAGAAGTGAAGCGGAACCACACATATTAAATAACAGTCACACATGATCAAACGGATTGTACAACCGAGATCGGATAAACTAGCTGTAAACAGATCGAATGAATTCCACTTTTCGTTTTTCTTTTCGACTGTTAATGTGCCTTCAATGCACTGCTGGCTCAAGCCAGCTGCCAACCATTTCTGTCCTGTAATGTACATATAAATTACAAGGATGTCTAAAACAGGTGTATACCGTAGATTCAAATGAATATATTTCGGGTGTTTAGCCCAACACATAAGTGGTTAACAGGATGTTCCACAAACTCATACCTGTAATTGTTCCAAATGTGAATATTTCGTGACAACTTTCAGCACATTGTCTTGTATCTGGGATGAATCACCCGACGTATTGGAATGAGCCATTCTGTACAGCGAAGACGTCCTACTGAACTAGCAAATCAAACACGGTTTGCATTTAAATCCGTCAAAATCGTGAGCCACACATCCAATTTAAATGTCCGCATGAGGCGATCCCTTAGGGCGATATCATTGTCGAGTACGTCCTGTTGTTTGTCGTCATATATTCGTGTGCCAGTGTTTGTGACAGATTTAAGACTCCATTTACAGCAGGTTCGTTGTTGTTTTATGGGAGGTATTAAAATGGGTAAACAAAGCGGAGTGACCCAGTTTGGGGGCGCAGATTGGATAAGGGAGGTAACTCGCCAAATAGTCTAGTTTACAATGACCGTCACATGTGCGATGTGCGTTGTGCGTTCGATCCATATACGACACATGAAGTAACATTAATATTTTTTTAGCCATGATTTTGTATATGATGTATGTATTGTGATATCAGCTATCTAGTTTAGAAATCACAAGGTCATCTTGTCTTTGTAAAAATCGGTACAAAATTCCGCGTGTGAAGCCTAGACTATATATGCAGCAAGGGAGCAGTGCAAAAGTTCAATGTCACATGGCTGGATGGATTAAAAGGCCTGCATGTTTTCCACCCAACAAAATTTATTTTTGTCACAATAAGAACTTGAAATATCATGAAAACGAATGGCATCGCCCATCGTTGTAAGCACGTTGATCTACATTTGAACTCAAAGATCTACGCAGAGAGTCTATCTTTGTATGGTCTACCTGCTATACCCAAAGACGTACATAGACACGCCCGTGCCCTACCGGACTAACAACTGTATATGAATAATATATAGGGGGTTGTCGTCTTTATTATTTAGGGTAGGTGTGGGCGGGGCGTTAAAATGTTGTTTTTATTATTGAACATTTGAACTTCTTTCCAAGTGTTCAGAGGGCTCAAAGACAAGTATAAACAAACGGGTCCACTGGCGATACTGTTTCAGACATCTTACCTGTTAACTGAGGCCTGGGCCCAAGGCACTTCGTCACTTGGATATAATGTGAGCGCGCACGCATGCACGCACAAACACACAGACACACAGACACACTGGATCCGCCTCGGGAGTGTATGGGCACTTTATAGATCAAGGCTATCTTTTGTATGACGTTGCCCTGCATGTCAACTATACATTGATCTTGACCAGTGGGATCAGATGATCAGGCTCGTATCGTATGATCGTATCCCAATTGCGTAGATCGATGCTCATAATATCAATCACTGAATTGTCTGGTCCAGACTCGATTATTTACAGACCGCCGTTATATAGCTGGAATATTCCTGAGTGCGGCGTTAAACAACAACAACAACAGCAACAACAACAACAACAACAAAGTGATCTTAAAAAAGGGTACCACCGCACTGCCCTGGTATCAGAATTGGGTCAGATTATTTAATTTGCTCGGTTTACGGATATTATTTTCAAAACCATATACGATAGGTGAACGAACTAAAACAACAAGATCAGTGTATTTTTAAATGAAAAAAATAAGGTCCACAGAGTGAAACAAAAACAATACACAAAAAATGCTGCTTAGTGCACCGTGGCATGGAAAGTAAAAGAGTAGCTTGACATTGCATCGTGATCTATGGGTCGTTTTGTTACTGAAACAGTCGCGGTGGTAACACGGACATCGAAAATATATGCAAACACATGAACACGCACGCACACTGACACACACACACACACAGACACACCCACAGTGACAGACGCACACATACACACACACACACACAGAGGTACACAGACAAACACACACATACACACACAAACCCACACATGCACACACAGACACACAGACACACAGACACACTTTTCAAAATCCGTGATCCGCCTTGGGAATGTACGGGCATTTTATAGTTCAAGCATATCTATGCCCAAAATGAATGAATGAGTTTGGTTAACACATCCTTTACCAGTATATGTTAAATTGGTTTGTCAGCTTACTGTATGAAGAAAGCCAGAAGTGATGCAAGGCTTAGACGTTTACCAATTAGCTGAAACGAGAACAGGTATGGTTCTGACAAATATAATCAGGGAGAGCAGGGATGTAATGTTTCTGTCACGACTAAGGGACGCAACTCTGCACATCAAATTGCGGCGCTTTATGCGACTGGACAACCGGTGCAACTCCTTCGCCAAGATGGACATGTCTAAACACTTGAATTAATTCCACATGAACTAACAACAGCAACAGAGAAACATGAAGCACGTGTTAAAACGTTTGTTCTTTATACAATATAGTGACAGAAAATACCGAATACTACATATATAGTCCCTGTCAGCTTGTATATGACATCCCATCTTCCCGAGGCAAGAGAGTTAACTGACTTTAAAAGTCCAGTTTCCACCCTTGCCGAACTAGGCTGGAATTACTGGGCTCGATCGTAGCGCCACCATGCCTCTCCTAAGGACCAATCAGATACCACTTCTTGTATCACTTGCGTTTGCTTCACACAAAATGGTTGCGCCCGGTCAGGACGATCTGATCGATAATCAATATCTATATTGTGATAAAAAGGGGCTTACATCGCGAAATGCATCAAATCACGTGATCACCTTGATAAAAAACATTTGGAAAATATCTGCTGCCAACGAGTTGGTGGTGCACATGCTAGCAAATCCTGCAATCGACCGAAATCTGCACGACAGTTTACGAACCGGATTTCAATTTCGGTGCGCGATTTTGATTGGACTATGCATAGACTCGTTAGTCGAGCCAAAATGTAACTCCATAATACCAGCCTAGTTCGGCAAGGGTGGAAACTGGACTTTTATAGTCAGTTAACTCTCTTGCCTCGGGAAGATGATGACATCCCTGAGATGATTGTCCTTGCATCGTTAAAGGGCATACATTCTGTATGTTACATGCATGTAGGAAGGAGATTCAGGCCAGCATGAGAGCTATAACCATGAGGGTGCCGATGCTGTGTATCCTGTCGTGGGCCTTCAGCAGTCTCACCCCCGCACCCAGGGCGTCAACCTCTGCCTGGGGGGTAGCGTCGAACTCCGCCACGTGAGCTGCGCCTATCAACCTGGGAAGAATAACATAGTTCTATAATTTGTACAGAAGCCAATACGAGGGTTACCGTTAATGAATTGATCTTAGCAACCCATGGTTGGCGTGAGGCGACTAACGGGATCGGGTGATCAGGCTAGTTGACTTGGTTGATGCATGCCATCGTAGATCTGGGCTCTTGATGGCATTCACTGGATTGTCTAGTTCCGACTCGATTGTAACACACTTCCTTCATATGGCGGGAATATTGTTGAGTGTGGCGTTAAACAACCAACAAACAAAGACATACCTTCTAACGATCTCGCAGCCAGCAAATCCCGCCAACTCCGACATGAAGTCGGCATGGTAGGTCTCCTTGTCTCCGGTAACGCTCGTCATGTGCTTGAAATATTCAGCAACTGTATGAACATGGCAACGATATCCGTAAAGCGAGGAGCTACTGCATAATGTCTCAGCAATTAAGTGATTTACATCTTTGAAGAGGTCTGATGACCATGTCCAGTCTAGGTGGTCAGTCATACGTTCCCTGTTGCCCGTTACCAGGGCTAGCATTACAGTGTACCTGCTGGGTTGATTACTCAGAACATTACAGGTACAGTAAACTACGGTTATAACGAATTTAAAGGGACCCCTAATTTTAGTTCGTAATAACCGTAGTTCGTTATAAGCATATATACAGCATATATACAAGAAATGGCCGGGACTAAAAAATAAGTTCGTTATATCAGTCAGTTCGTTATAAGCGTGTTCGTTATAAACGTAGTTTACTGTAATACACAAGTAGGTTTTAAGTTTCCTTTATTAAAAATATGTCAAATGACCTTGAACTAGCACCCCTTTAAACTGTCATCATCTAAGGCAAGTAAGTAAATGGGATGTTTCGTTTTTCAGCTATATCAGAGTGATCCACAAAGTTGGAGCATTGAACAGACAGGGCTGAGTTATATAATGTGTTAGTACTGTAAGGAGCCTTTATGGTAAGATGGCACACTGTTGAGGGAATGTGAATGCATGTTATTTAACACCGCAGCCACAACACGGCGGCCTGTAATAATCAAGTTTGGATCAGACACGTCAGTGACGGAACCATGCTGTGACTGATCCAGCGAAGGACGATGACACACAAAAAGTTTTTCCTTGGGTTCCTATTGTTAAAAACATCACCTGTCTTGTTGCAGATCTCAACCACCCGGTAAGCAAACACCCTGCGGTTGTCGTTGTCGTCAGGCTGCAGTAGGTGACAGTAGTAGTTGAAGATATAGTTGGCCACGAGGACGCCAACGTCAAAGGAGCAGGGCCCCACGTAGCTGAACTCACTGTCAAACACCTAATAAAGCCAGGTATGTTATATATCAGTATACATCTATATTCTCATGGAAATATCAATTGCGCTTGGATTGTTGCTGAAGTAAAATGAGAGGGTGAATGTTGTTTAACGCCGCATTCAGTAATATTCCAGCTATATGACGAGGACTAAATAATGGAATCAGCACCAGACAAGTTCAGTATTTCAACAGTGCAAGTTGGGTATTATGAGCGACGAGCGACGGCGACCGGGTAGGTTAACACGCGACCGGGTAGGTTAACACGCAATCAACCAAGTCTACGTTGCTGGTGACCAAATGAAACCCATTGGGAATATAATATGAATTACATGAAACGGAAACTATAGAAAAAAGCTGAAACCTGGTGAGGGCACGGTTCGATTCACAACATGAGTACAATATGTCAAGCCCATTTTTGGTGTTCCCCGACCCGTGAAAATACGGTAGAGAACAGGTCTTCAGCAACCGATGCTTGCCGTATGAGAGGCGACTTTGCTTGCCGTATGAGGAGACTATGCTTGCCGTATGAGGCGACCATGCTTGCCGTATGAGGCGACCATGCTTGCCGTATGAGGCGACTATGCTTGCCGTATGAGGCGACTATGCTTGTGGTAATACCCCGGTAGGTAAAATATAATACACAAGAAGAGGAGCCCCGCATGCAGAGACCCAGGTTACAATTGGTCTTCAGCAACCCATGCTTGTTGTTAGAAGCGACTAACGGGATCGGTTGGCTGATGCATGTCATCGTATCCCGATTGCGTGGATCGAAGCTCATGATATCAATCACTGGATTCTGTGACTTGCTGAGTGCGGCACAAAAAACAAACAAACACTTAGACTGCCTCACCTTGGCGTCTTCGTCTTTGACCATGATGGAGCCGGTGTGGAGATCCCCGTGAACCAGAGCCTCCTTCTTCTCCAGGAAGATCCTCTTCATCTCGGCAGCCGCCCGGAGCACCTCCTGGTCCCCATAAACCCAGTCCAGCCTGGCCTTCAAGGACGGGGAGCATCTGTTGGTAGGGTCATCTGGCGAGAAGGGACCCGTAAATATATACCTCTCGGTCAGGTCCATCATTTCAGGGTTCCTGAAACAATTCATGCTAATTTTTATTCTTTGGAAGGAATACACAGCCAAATCAAACCTATCAACGTTGCCCGTTGTAGTTTATAGTGAGCGAAAAATGTTCGTGTGAGTGAGTGAATGAGTGAGTGAGTGAGTGAGTGAGTGAGTGAGTGAGTGAGTGAGTGAGTGAGCACTTAAAGCACTAGACATACGCCCTTAACCCTAGCAAATCATCGTTCGTCAAAAAGAGAATCATTCAGTTACTCCATTCAAGTATTGTGCCATATACACATATATAGCACGTGTCGTCAGATAGGGCAAAACCTACTGAAACTCCTTATCCAGCTGTTTGATGGCGTCCTCCCCTATGTTGGCGACGTGGGTGTCTCTGTGTATCACGGCCACGTCTCTCGCCAGTTTAAGGGCGGCTTCGTCGTCGAGATGGCCGCTAATGAGGGAGCTGCGGTAGATGACGTAGTCACGGAGGTCCTCCATACACACTGGCACGGTAAATAAATGGTATAAAACAATAAAATGTAATGAAGATTTTAACGTCAAGGGACAGTGTTAGTCGTATCCCGAATTATGACACGACGTTGATTGCAAACAGGTAACAACAAATACATAGGAACATACACCCCCGTTAACTCATTCATATTAATGTGTATAGGTATGTACATAATAATATCCTGTCCTTAACATCTGCCTTACGTTTTCATCCACGAGCTACCTAATATCGTCTTCGACTATAAGCTTGGAAGTTTTCGTCCAATACTATTTAGACAACCAGTCTTGACCATGTTTCAGTCGAACCTTCGGTAATGGTCAGTTATATATCTTCAAACCCAGTTGAAAACGTCAGACCGACCTTGCGCAAACTTTGACTGACCAATGGAAGGCAGCTTTCTCGTGCTTTACGGCACTAATTTCAAATTGGCGACTACGCTTCGAAACATATTTTGACAAATTCTCGATTACAAATTTGAAACCTGAACAAAAAAACAGCATTCTGGAATGGCTAATAGATGGTCTTGATTGTAAGGGATTCGTCGTTAAACCCGTAACTATCGTTCGGAATACCCCATGTTAAAGTTTTCGAGGTTGCATGATCAGAAATCACATTCCGACTGTCACTTTCATAATCTGGTAAGCGACGCTCTGATTGGTATGATTAAAGGTCGTTCTGGCGTGACCCTAATGGGATGTCTACAGATCTTTGTTTAGCGGTAGCGAGAACCAGGGTCTGAATTTAATAAGATTGGTTCAAACAGTGTTTTAAAACTAAATCAAATAAACATGACGAAACACCATATAAATTCTCACCTATTTACAAAAGGAAAAGCAACACAGGTTTCTTTTTGTGCTAAAATGACTGTACAACATTCTCCCGTACAACACCATCGTCCCGAGGCAAGGGAGTCAACTCACTATAAAAGTCAAGTTTCCACCCTTGCCGAACTTGGTTGGAATTTCTTGGCTCGATCGTAGCGTCACCAGTGGCTATTACGAGTTATGTCCCTTCTATGCCTCTCCTATTGACCAATCAGATTCCACCTCTCATATCACTTGTAGTTGCTTCAAACAAAATGGCGGCACCCAGTCAAGATCTATAGTGTGATAAAAAGAGTCTTATATCGCGAAGTGCATCAATCACGTGAGCACCTTGATTAAAAACATGAAAAGAACAGGTAAATATCTGTTGACGTCTAGTTGGCGTGCACATGTTTTGCAAATCCTACAATCGTCCGCAATCTGCACGACAGTTTATGAACCGGATGTCGATTTCGTTACGCGATTTTGATTGGACTCTGCATAAACCCGATAGTCCAGCCAAAATATAACTCCATAATACCAGCCTAGTTCAGCAAGTGCGGAAACTGGAATTTTAAAGTCAGTGAACTCCCTTGCCTCAGGAAGAGTGAGTGAGTGAGTGTGTTGGGTTTAACGCCGCTTTTAACAGTATTCCAGTAAAATCACGGCGTGTCAGCTTAATGTGGGAGGAAAGCCCGAAGTGATGCAGGTCTCAGACGTTTACCACTTCGGTGAAACCCACGAGCACGGGTATGGTGCTGACAGACCTAGAAACATAATCGGGGTGAACCGGGATTCGAACCCACAATCATAGGTTTCTGCGTGTCCAGGGGACGCAACTCTGCACAGCGAATCGCGGCGCCTTAGACGACTGGGCCACCCGTGCCCCCGCCTCAGGAAGAAGGTACAGCACAGCCAGATACCATCAGAGGCACAGGAGGTAGCAGGATTCTGTTTACTTGGTGGTCTACTTACTGACTCTCAAGGAACTGTCGTAGAAAATTGGTTTTGGGACACTCCCTGGGGAAATACTGTGAAACTTGAACTGAGCGTTGTATTCAAGTTCCCCCCTTTCTTCATAGAGCGGGAAATCTTTCCCCAAACACTGCAAAAGTCAAAAACGGTTTGAAAGACAATAACACTTTCAAGAACGTCATTTCTAATAAACATTTTGGAGAAAAGGATAAGTAACCGAAACACTACAAGATGAAATAGCCGTTGTATTCAATTTCAATTCAATTTAATATTTTATTCAATACGTATAGGCCACAGGATTTTTGTACAGAATATAATAATACATGCAGGCTGTGAAACATTATAATAAGGATAATAAGTTTTTTTTCAACATGAGCATTACAAATGTATTTAGCTAACTTAACTACAGTGTTAGGCTCTTTCGATGATAAAAGGAGGTTGAATTTGTGATAGTTTGGATGGAGATTGAACTTGGTTTTAATATAAGTTTGTCTTAAGTTAGATGCTGAACAGATGGAAGATACACACACCATGACAATGTCATGCAGCATGCACGTTGACCTCAGATACAACCGGAAGTTGCGTGTTAACTCACTTTGATATAGGGTGGTGCGTGTTTCAATACAACACTGTTGTTTGGATCCTCACTCGGGTAAACTCGGAACACCTCGTTCAGGTTTCCGTCACCGATCTCCTCTACTTTCACACTGGATGTATCCTTTGCCCACTGCAATGCCGACCTGATCATAGTATTTTATTGCAAAAACATATTAACATAGTAAAACAACTTAACTATCACGTGTTTCGTTCAATACAACGGATTCATATAATGAACCGTCCTCAACCATGTAATATATTGTGTCTCCATTCTAGTTTGATAAATGCCTTGAACAGAGTCACTAAAATGTCTTTTTATGGAGCCCTACTCGAATGGCACGACACTATAAATAGCCATCCAATGAAATATTAATCCCATTCATGAGCACGGGAATGGAGGTAATGACGTCACTTCAGAAGCGAAAATATTGTGGTGCATGGGTATATATGGATATATGGATGGATATATAATTCCCTGGATAATCGAGGATGATCAAAGCTGAAAAACCAAATGGTGAGAGGGAATTTAAAAACTCTCATGGAGGGTTAACCGTTACATAATTAGTGTAAAACGGCCACTGCCTGCACACGGTCCAACTCGTCAGTACGTGGAGGCACTGGGGTAGCATGTTGGTCAAAGCGTTCGCTCGTCACGCCGAAGGTCCGGGTTTGATTCCCCTCGTGGGTACAATGCGTGAAAGCGGTGAAACCCATTTCTGGTTTGCCACGTCGTGATATTGCTGGTATGTTGCTAAAAACGTCGTAAAGCCATGCTCACTCACTCACTCACCCACTCGTTATAAGTGAGATGTCGCTTTGTATAGATCCCATGTTAGGAAATGACTATCACGACGTGTGTGTGTGATATGTGAGAGCGATGCAGTGACCCGCCGTATCATGTCTTATCACAACACATGACTGGCAAAAATGACAACTGGCCTAGTAAATAATACAGATACAATCTGACTGCCGTTTCCGAAAGAAACAAAACGAAGACCGAAAACGATTTTGAAAGATAATTTGGGATAACGAACTTTTCGTTTATGATCCAAAATCCTTGTTTACTTTAATGAAATAGTGTACACAGTTTGGGTGACAGTGAGTGAGTATGGTTTTACGCCGCTTTTAGCAATACTCCTGCAATATCCAGCGATCCAGAAATTGGCTGCAGACATTGTACCCATGTCGGCAATCGAACCCGGGTCTTCGGCGTGACGCGCGAACGCTTTAACCACTAGGCTACCCCACCGACCCAGTTTGGGTGGTAATTGAACAAGGCAGATGCAGCTGATAAAAGAAATTAAGATGTGTAGCCAATTGTAGAAGCTAACGTTACTGGCAGATATTTCTAACGAGTCACTTGAAGCGAAAGGTGACATTTAGATATAAATGGTAATAACGAATGGATGGTTAGGGTAACCACAGGTGACATATGTTCATCTGAAAGGGTTAACAGTCGTGTTGACCTACTTGCAGCTCAGCCAAGTGAGAATGTTTCTTCAGGGCTTGTAATACCTTCCCCTGGATGTCAGTATCCGACACATCTACTTCGTTGTCTGCCATTGCCACACCACAGTACAATACACTATATTATTTCTCACTGTTCTCTCCTTCACGAACAGGTCAGAGGATAAATGTCAAACAGGGTCACAGCATGTTGCTGTGACTGCAGGCCGAGGATACGTCGAAACACGGAACTGAAAAGTAACAGCTAAATACTAGCGTATGGTAATCGAATACATAGGTCCGCCTTAAGGTTTGCGTTCACAATATTTAGTCAGTAATGTACACACGATGAGAGATGGCCATGACCCGACACAGATAACTGCCTACTAGACATGTGGTAATATCTGGCCTCGCATAACAACAGTGGAACCCATCACAGATATGAAGGCGAGTCGCGGAAATATAGAGTTATGCCCCTTGGATAAATCTGCTCAATTTCTATTGACGAACCGTCAGTTAATAATTTTAACTCAGAAAAATAGTTTTATGAATGATTTTTTTATGCTAAGCTTCACATTTCACTATTCACTACACATCATAGTTTTTTCAGGTGACACATACCGTTCTTATGGCGGCCCCGTTCTATTTGATACATTCATTTGTTTTTTGTACACACAATGTATAATTAATTACCCCACGTGTAAACACACACGCAACGTATAATTACCCCATGTGTAAACATACACACACTGTATAATTACTCCATGTGTAAACATACACACACTGTATAAATAGCCCACGTGGTAAACACAAACACACACTATACATAATTACCCCACGTGTAAACATACACACACACAATGTATAATTACTTCATGTTTAAACATACTCATACTGTATAAGTACCCCACTTGGTAAACACATGTAAATATATAATTACCCCACGTGTAAACATACACAAAATGTTCCAATTGCCCCGCTAGTAAACATACACACAATGTTTGATTACCCCACGTGTAAACATACACACAATGTATAATGACCCCACGTGTAAACACACAATGTGTAATTACCCCACGTGTAAACATACACACAATATAGTATTACCCTCACGTGTAAACATACACAGAATATATAATTACCCCGCGTGTAAACATACGTACAACATATAATTACCTTATGTGTGAACATACGCACAATAAATACAGAACTTTTTGTCTGATATAAATTTATGAAGGTTTCCAGCATTGATACGAACATGCCTCGTCAATCAAACGTATTTTAGATAAAAACGGAAGGAAAGTTTACAGTTATCAATGTAGGTTTTATTTTATGCTCATCGATGCTGTCACTTGTTCAGCCTGACATCGGTGTCAATTGAGATTTTAAATTGTCATCGTGCCAATGACAATTGACATTGGCAGTTCGATCAATTGTTACATCAATGCTGGTCGTGTAAGCATTGTACGCTAACTCTCTCTCTCTCTCTGTGTGTGTGTGTGTGTGTGTGTGTGTGTGTGTGTGTGTGTGTGTGTGTGTGTGTGTGTGTGTGTGTGTGTGTGTGACCCAGTATAATGACCCCAAGTGGCCGACTAGTCCTTGTTTATTCCCTCAATGCCGAACGCCTTGTTGCTCTCGCAGTGTGGGCACGGGCGTTACCATGTTGAAACTCGTGGTTGCTGCGACGTGCCAAATGAGGTATGGCGTGTGGTCTGAAGACTTGATCAAAGTACCTAGCTGCTGTGACACCATTGCCTCTTCCATGTCCTGGAAGACCAAAGGAACGACCCTCTGTGCAAGACCAATTCCACTCCACACCATGATGCTCGGACCTACCCACGAGTCTCTCTCAACAACACAAGCATCCGAATAACATTCCCCACGACTCTCTCTCTCTCTCTGCCATCTGCTGTTGAGACTCTTCTCCATTGCTGGGGCCGCCAATGCTGGTGTTGTGTTGCCCTCTGAAGACGGTCCCGGCGATGACGTGGTGTCAGAATGGGTCCTCGGTGTGGACTGTGACAGTGGAGGTGTCTGCTCGTCAATCGTCAACGCACGGTGTCCGCACTAATGTGTCGCTGGTGTGTCCCCATGGTCTGTCGAGCAGTTTCCGCAGCAGTAACAAAGCGATCTTGAAGATGCTGTCGCGCAATCTGACGATCCTGACGTCGGGTTGTGACTCTTGGTCTTCCACTATGTGGTCGGTCATCTGTAGTGTTGGTGGTCTGGTACCGTTGCTGGAGCCTGTATATTGTCCTTACGTGGATTTGAAATGCATTGGCTACTTGCCGTGCGGTTTGTCCAGCTTGCAATCGTCCAAGGGCTTGGTGTCGCTGATTTCTTGTCAATCTCGGTATGTGGTAGCAATTCAATAACGAATGAATGTTATCCGATCTGGGTGGTTTTTATAGGGCAAGATTGGGGGAACGCATGTGCATTTCTATTTGCACGAAACTCGGGTTACGTGCATCGGGTTACCATGGCCGTTGCCGTGATGCGTTTTGGCGATCAGTTTTATTGTCAAATGTAATTTTTGCGGACAAGGTAATGTTAAATTTTAGAAACTTTGACAAAAATTACCCAGATGACAATGTTACTTGGGGTGACGTTTCTTTTGCGGTTCAGTATATATGTTGAGCGAATACAGTTTGTTAAAATCTTTGTGCCTGGACCGATATCTAATATCGACAGTCATCAGAGGCATTTTAAAATCGCTGAAGTCATGTGCGACAGTGAACTAGAAGGTTCGTGGAACTTAGAGAAAAACAGCCCAACGGCACTGTAGCTCACCTAGCTATGAAGTCAACAAATTAGAATGCCAATATAACGCAAAACGTCAACGCCAGAGAATAATCAATCTAGAATATCTGCAGACACAGATTCCATTGGGCGTAAAAGGGATTGGCAAGTGTTCGCGAAATGAGTAAGCATGTCCTGCTCTACCGGTAACACCCACCACCCATGCAATTTGCATAAAACAAAGGCTTCCGATTAACAAAGGCTTGCTTTTAACACTGATATTCAAATGTTTCTGAAACCTGGTGAGAACTAATTGATGACAATGAAGCATTAAACACGTAACAACAAGTCCACTGCGTGTATCATCTTGATGTTGGAGATTTTCATTAAATATACACTGGCCAAAAAAAGAAACGCATAACAGAATAATCAGTGTTTCATTACATGTTTAATGAAATAGGATTACACAATAAATAATGAAGATACAACAACCAAATTTTACACAGGATGAGACACACGTTTTTTACACTACAAACAGTCTTTTAATATTCCAAGGGACGTCTGTGTCTGTGATGGCACTGTGCCAAAATCAGTACCGGGTGTTACCACCACGAGCATCGACCACAGCTCTGCGCCGCCTGGGCATGGACTGTATGAGTCGTCGAATCTGGCGTTGTGGAATCCTTCTCCACTCATCCTGCAATGCATGGTTCAGCTGTTGAAGCGTCTGTGGTTGAGGTTGTCGGCGTCGTACACGTCTGTCTAGCAGATTTCACAAATGTTCAATGGGGTTTAGATCAGGCGATTTGGAGAGCCATTGCAGCACAGTAACATTGTTGTGGGCAAGATAATCCATGGTAACACGTGCAGTATGCGGTCTTGCGTTGTCTTGCTGACAAATCTCTCTTCTGACGTCAATGGCGGGAATAAGATGACGTTGAAGGATTTCATCACGGTAGCGTACAGCAGTTAAATTTCCCTGCACGTGCACCAGATCTGTACTATCATTCACGGATATGCCTGCCCACATCATGACACTTCCACCGCCGTATCGGTCGACTTCATGAATACAGTGTCGATTGTAGCGTTCATTTCTCCGTCTGTAGACACACATGCTACCATCATGGCGATACAGCATGAACCGCGACTCATCACCGAACCATATCCTTCTCTGGTGCACTAGGGTCAATGGTCGAACATTTCTGCTCCATTGCAGACGTGCACGACGATGATGTTGCCGCAGAACGGGCGCTGTATATGGTCTCATTGGCCGTATCCCATGCTGTCTCAGACGACTCTACGAAGACCAGAAACATTGTTAGCTGTGTATGCTGCACTGATTGTCAGGTTGCGAAGATGCAACACCCAGAAGAAGCGGTCCTGCGCAGTGACCCTGGGTCTTCCACTTCTCGGTCGATCTCTTGTAGAGTTGTGGAGTCTGTAGCGCTGCCACAGACGAGAAATGGTACTCTGCCTCACGGTAAAGTGCCTGGCTATTGATGTCTGACTTCCTCCAGCATCAAGACGTCCAATGGCACTGTTTCTACAGTCTTCATTCAGTCTTGGCATCATGAGGGTCACGTATACAGAACATCGGAGAGTGATTCGCAGCAGGACTGCCAAATTTTTATACCCATCGGTATAAAGGTTAAGTAGCCGTATTTGCACGTGCAGTATTCTTACAGCTTTTTCTCCATGCAACTTCTCCCAGTTTGGCTTCAAGATGCTGTATTTTGGCGACAAGTCACCAAATGTTGTGTTCGGTTGCAATAAATTAGTGTAAGGTCAATATTCACAGTTAGCAATGACATTTATATTGAGTTCAAGCTTTCATCTTTAATAACAGTCAAGTTTGAAAAACAGATTTCAGCTATGCGTTTCTTTTTTTGGCCAGTATACTTCTGAATATTCTGAGAAAAAGAAAGAAAAGTTGTTTTTGCCACCTTGTTTACGCCTACATATAGTTAAGAGGTTTTTCATGTTGCCTTAAATCCTCTCATAGTAATTCTCATGTACGAAAGGTTCAGCTTTTTATACCTAGTTCTTACCGCCTCCGTGGTCTAATGGTAGAGCAGAAGGGGTTCGAACCCCAGCCGCGTCATACCAAAAGACGTTAAAAGATGGTACTTGTTGTTACCCTGTCTGGCGCTCGGCATTAAGGGGTTAAAACAAGGACTGGTCGGCTCGGAGTCAGTATACTGTGTCTGAGTGGGGTATTCATGTTAAACTGCGGCATGGTATCTCAGTGAGCTATCACTATAAATCGGCATCAGTCCGGACTAGTACAAGCAGCCACACAATCACACACACGTACATGCACGCCGCTATATAAGTGCAATAATCTTGGACGCGACGTTAAACCCCATTTCACCTCACCTATACCTAGTTCTTGAAAATAAATATTTGTGAATTTTGATTTATTTATATATTTAACCAAAAATTAATATTAAAAGCCTAATGATCAGTATACAGTATGATGTCATTATGATAAGAAACATCGGCATCGTCAGTCCAGCAGTTTTTAGAGACATCTACAAACCAAAGACGGTATTTAGCGATAATTAAAGAGCGTCAAAACACATTAAAGCGTTAAAATTTGAAATATTGCACAAAACTTCATTAAATGTCGATGAATGAGTTGAGCATGACTACTTACTATACATATTCCAATTTCAACACATTCTCAAAACTAATAAGCAACGGGCATGGAAGCCGTGTCGGCCATACTGAAAGTTGCATTTGAACCTCTTGAGAAAATTCATTATTTTTGGGAGCAAGTCTGTGAAATTTCTGCTTCATTAGTCCAGTGGTTTCGGGGAAGATGTTTTACAGAGCCGGGATCAGTTTGCTAACTTAAGTATTGATTTGATGAAAACTATGTTCAACCAGAGAGGTTTCCATTCAAGGGAGATAATGCATGCAGTGTTATGGGCAAATAATATCTTGTCGCTTTGATACCAACATACTAATTAGTTTGGGTCACAGAGATGGTTTTAGTTTTCATTCCGACTTTCACATCTTTGTGCAGTAGAAGTTTCAGGTTGAATTGCTTATTTCCAAGGCAGTCAATGAAGTAGGGCATGATATGGTAGCGTAGACAAACGGAGTACATTTTAAAGTAAATTTCAATGTAAATTTTACATAAGGAAAAACATGTTATATTAATTTTCTGGTGGTTTGAAATGAAACAAGAAAACATTGATGCAGAGCATCAAAGTTCCCCGCCATATGTGAAGCCTCACAAACGCATAATTATGATGTTACTGAAAGGCATGAAGGAGCATAATTATATAAACCACAAATAACACAACGCTGTTGTGGAATTTTAAAAAATTGATTTTGAGTATTGGGCAATACAGTTGATACATGTGCATAGGGTAGGTCTATTTAAAAATAGTTTCTTGTTTAACGCCGCACTCAGCAGTATTCCAGCCATATGACGGCGTGAGTCTGGACCAGATAATCCAGTGATTGACACCATGATCATCGAACTACGCAATTGGAATATGATGTTATGCATCGACCAAATCGGCGAGCCTGACTACCCAATCCTGTTCGTCGCCTCTTATGGCAAGCATGGGTTTATTTAAAAGGTAGATCGAAGGAAATGGAAGCAATTTCTGGCACAAATGTAAACATGTTGAAATAGTATCAAAACTGCCAAGAACATTGGCAGATGCACATACTCAAATAATAGATCACATTCTTTTTACACTTGGCATTTGGTTATAATAATGTCAATGAAAATACAAATGGCTCCATATGGCAAAAAAGTCATACTAGATGAGGTCTTTTTGTCACAACCACAGATGCACATACTCAAAACATTATCACGTAGTTGGAGAGCATTTCAATACCGGAACTAATCAATAACGGAGATTCCTGGTCTCTTGTTCTACGTTTTTGGGTCAGTTTCTTTTTTGTATTTCTTTCTTTCAAAGATGGTTGAGTTATGTTACTTGGTCTTTTTCTATGTACTGTTGTTTTTTTTTTATCCAGTGTCAGTAACTGTTGTGGAATGTGGTTTACTTGTAACAATTGCTGGTTTGAGTTCATATGATGATGATTAGTTGGTTTGTCGTTTAACGCCACACTCAGCAATATTCCAGCTATATGACGGCGTTCTGTAAATAATCGAGTCTGGACCAGACAATCCAGTGATTAATATCATGAGCATCGATCCACGCAATTGGGATCGATGCCATGCATCAACCAAAGCCTGACCACCCGATCCCGTTAGTCGCCTCTAACGACAAGAATAGTCGCCTGATATATTGTTAAGATGTAACATAACAATTCATCCATACTACTAAACAGAAGTAAAACTGCTTGTCCATTCGGATCAGTCGGACCCAAACCATTCCGCTGATGAGACTCAAATAATGCAAACGAATCAAAATCCGTAAAAATTGCAATAGAGACATCATTAAAAGCTACCAAAAGTGACTTGGATATTATTACTTGTTGAAATGATTCTATGAAATTTGTTTTCCCTGCTTCAATATTTGGAGCACCTGTGACGGGGCCATAAAACTGATTATGACCTAAATACCCCTCATAGCCTTCGGTGTTAACTATGTGACTGTAGAGAGATGTGCCTTCATCCAACAGATTATCGAGGTCAGTGGAACACGGTACAGACGCAAATAGATTTGAGCCATGGGACACAAAATATATGATAGCGACCAGAGCTACGGCTGTACATTGAATTCCATTAAACGGTTGAAAAACACTTAAGCCTTGATTCGCCGACACACTACTTCGATTTTGCTTTGACTTAGCTACCAAACGTTCCACATGTGGCTATGTGCGGTGCACTTATTAAAAAAACCACGGGGGACTGTTCTTCTTTTGTGTGCACCGTGAAAATCAGAAAATTAGTCCTTGAGGAAAAAAGGACATCGGATTACACATGAATGGTTTAATAATGTCAGCTTATGACCAGAAACGGTCAGACGCATCAATTAACTACATAAAGACGATTTTGAAGTATCTCTTATTGCTGGAAACGAATAGCATCAACATTCCACGTACATGATTTGTAAGTTTTGTTTCCGTAAATGCGTGGCTTGAAATTTCAAATAAACCAACATGGCGACATACATGCTACAAAATTAACGTTTCCCGTATAATTCCCCGCCTTCAGACGTTTTGGGACTATCTGCCCTTGGGTAGAGGTGAAGCAAACTCCATGCCAGCGCGTGACACCTTCGTTACACTCTCGAAGCTCCTCGCAGCGATAGCCCGTTCGCGGAGTTCTATCGCTGCCACCAGTCAAAACTCCCTACTGTGATATGTGGCCCCAACCATGCTTGGAGTTGAACTTGCAACCGTAATACCGTTACAAACAAGTGATGACTGTCGTGACGCCGAATACACTTACCCCTGCTAAATTACTTTCTTTGTTTGTCAATTTGATTTTCTATTTAATTAAAACTACCATGTTATTGATATAGTAAGAAGGTAAGGGAGAAGTTGGTTGATTTTCCGTTAGTCTGCAATCTCGAACCAATCTGATTGTACAAACAACAAAGTAAATTCATCTGGAAAACATGGTCAGTCGTAAACCTTTTCAAAATTCACTATGATGGCATTCCCAAAGACATGAACAAAAGTATGAACGTGACTACATTTAGGGTTAGAGTCCAAATTTCAAGATTCTTGTAATGGCCGCGCTCACACTGGTGGCAGCGATGTTACCGAGAGTGTAACGAAGGTGTCACGCGCTGGGAAGGAGCTTTGGTTGGGGAGAATAAAAATGGCGGTAAGAAAACGACGTCCGCGTCTAGTTGTCCGTGGTATCATGAAATAGTTCACAGGAATAATTATAGTAGAAGAGAGGTCCCACAACGCAACGATACCATGATCGAATGCATCGTGTACATATCTGTGACTAAAGTCGCCTACTCTTTACTTGTTTGCCGGGCACAACGTGCTACCGTTGGGAACAGCTGTAGTCGGGGGCTTTTATTGACCAGCTAGGTAGGAACAATGTATCACATCGTGAACAACCGGGATTTAACTTCCATGTAGTTAATATTATAAGGCGTACCTACATCGTCGTAATATACCAGTTCAATACGTAATAAAACTACATTGAAGCTACAAGCAGTGCAAGTAATGGTTATGTATATTGATGTCCTCATCCCACGGTGTCAGTAGTACAATAGAACATACGTCACACAGCTGTTTGAGGTATTGTCACAGATATAGTTATTTATTAAATATATAAATAAAGTGGCAAACTTTATTTTTCTAGGTCTGAAGTAATCTCTGATAAGAGCAGAATTCATTGTCCGAAGTCAAATACCAAATTGACTTAACGTATACTGGAAACAGTAAAACCTTAGACTTCTGGGTTGTCCAGCTATATCACATATTTCTGTAAATAATCGAGTCTGATAAATCTGTGCAAGTCAAACATTTTAATCCTGAATTCTGCTTTGTCCAGACTCGACTCTTTTACAGCTTCTGAAAGTCAGTTTGCTGAGTCATTCTTTAGAAGGTTTTCTCAGTAAATTGAGTGTAGGCATATGAAGGCTCATTCGATGATAAATGAATTATTGTAAACTATAAATATCAATACTATTTTTACAGAAAACATTTGGCCTTTTTCCCAGCTTTAGCTACTGTGCTATCCATATAGGCCCTGCGTGATAAGTTGATGCAAGCACAAGCGGTATTTCGTTTATATATCTATATTTCAAGGGTGTCAATAACATCCTATTATATACATAATATCAACTTTGGTTAAATAACGTAAGAGTCGTACCAGGTACGTATAAGTTAACGTGTTCGTTTCACAAAAGTGTCACAACACTTGCAGGGACATATACGAGGATAACTCCTCATCAGCAACATTATAAAAAGTCATCGACCCCAGGTGTCCTTTGCTTCAAGTCTTGTCGTTCATGTCATATACTTCAAGTCTTGTCCTTCATGTCATATACTTCAAGTCTTGTCCTTCATGTCATATACTTCAAGTCTTGTCCTTCATGTCATATACTTCAAGTCTTGTACTTCATGTCATCTACTTCAAGTCTTGTACTTCATGTCATCTACTTCAAGTCTTGTCGTTCATGTCATATACTTCAAGTCTTGTCCTTCATGTCATATACTTCAAGTCTTGTCCTTCATGTCATATACTTCAAGTCTTGTCCTTCATGTCATATACTTCAAGTCTTGTACTTCATGTCATATACTTCAAGTCTTGTCCTTCATGTCATATACTTCAAGTCTTGTACTTCATGTCATATACTTCAAGTCTTGTCCCTCATGTCATATACTTCAAGTCTTGTCCCTCATGTCATATACTTCAAGTCTTGTACTTCATGTCATATACTTCAAGTCTTGTCCTTCATGTCATATACTTCAAGTCTTGTCTTTCATGTCATATACTTCAAGTCTTGTCCCTCATGTCATATACTTCAAGTCTTGTCCTTCATGTCATATACTTCAAGTCTTGTCCTTCATGTCATATACTTCAAGTCTTGTCCTTCATGTCATATACTTCAAGTCTTGTCCTTCATGTCATATACTTCAAGTCTTGTCCTTCATGTCATATACTTCAAGTCTTGTCCTTCATGTCATATACTTCAAGTCTTGTCCTTCATGTCATATACTTCAAGTCTTGTCCCTCATGTCATCTACTTCAAGTCTTGTCCTTCATGTCATATACTTCAAGTCTTGTCCCTCATGTCATATACTTCAAGTCTTGTCCTTCATGTCATCTACTTCAAGTCTCGTACTTCATGTCATCTACTTCAAGTCTTGTCCTTCATGTCATATACTTCAAGTCTTGTCCTTCATGTCATATACTTCAAGTCTTGTCCTTCATGTCATATACTTCAAGTCTTGTCCCTCATGTCATATACTTCAAGTCTTGTCCTTCATGTCATATACTTCAAGTCTTGTACTTCATGTCATCTACTTCAAGTCTTGTCCTTCATGTCATATACTTCAAGTCTTGTCCTTCATGTCATATACTTCAAGTCTTGTCCCTCATGTCATATACTTCAAGTCTTGTACTTCATGTCATCTACTTCAAGTCTCGTACTTCATGTCATCTACTTCAAGTCTTGTCCTTCATGTCATATACTTCAAGTCTTGTCCTTCATGTCATATACTTCAAGTCTTGTACTTCATGTCATCTACTTCAAGTCTTGTCCTTCATGTCATATACTTCAAGTCTTGTCTTTCATGTCATATACTTCAAGTCTTGTCCTTCATGTCATATACTTCAAGTCCCGTGTGAAGTTTAAAGGGGAAGTTTTAACGGAGTCTGTTCCCTGATGTAGGTACTGTTTGACGTGACTCCCCCTGCAGGCGGTAGACTGTTGGTTTCCGATAACCATGCACAGTGAGATTGTTGAGGAGAAAGTGCATCGCTCTCATACCACCATTCCGTGCATAGTGGAAACTGACGGATACATTGCTTGCAACGTTGTGACGACTCTGAAATGTAAAGCCTCTTCTTTGGCACTGAGGGTTTATACATGGGCAATGAGGAGGAAATTCATCAGGAAAGTAACTACTGACACATAGATTGAACATGACACCAAACGTCTCAAGCAGTGTGTTTGTTTAACGCCGCACTTAGCAAAATTCCAGCTATATAACGGTGGTCTGTAAATAATCAAATCTGGACCAGACAATCCAGTCATTGACATCATGTGCATCGATCCACGCAATTAGGATACAATGACATGCATCAAGCAAGTCAGCGAGCCTGACCACCCGATCCCGTTAGTCGCCTCTCACAAGCACAGTCGCCTTTAAGGCAAGCATGGGTTGCTGAAGACCTATTCTACCCCGGATCTTGCAATATGGTATGGCATACAACACAAAGGCTATATGCTTTTGTTTGTTTGTTTGTTGTTTAACGCCGCACACAGCAATATTCCAGCTATATAACGGTGGTCTGTAAATAATCAAATCTGGACCAGACAATCCAGTTATCGACATCATTAGCATCGATCCGTATATTTATATACAGGGTGAATTATTCAGTTTTATAATTCAGTTGATCTGAAAATTCGTGGACGGTTTAAATGGGTTTGTTTGTTGTTTCAGCCATATTCAAGCTATATGGAGGTTAGCACCTACCGCCTTACCAGTAGCACCAGCCACTCATACAAAAATGCATAAAAAAGTGTTTAATGACAGACGCCGCACAGCAGTCCACCTGCCATGCCAGTGCGGGCTGTAACCAAGCCAGACACTCAAGTGATGGATGGACCAGAAATTCCCGTGACACAATAGCGCATTTACTGATTTTGTTGAAACTAAAGACTATACGTCAATTTTGAGTTAGTCTTCTGTTTACATGTGCAGGAATTCTGCTGCTTATCAGTAAAGAAAAACGTTTAAAAAAGAAAGGACATTCCGAAAAACAAAATATGTGTTGCTTCCTGGTTTCGGTTACATATCCAGCGACAGTATATATGGATAGACTTTTCCTTGATGACAGGGATGAAACATGATGGAGAACGGATTCAGAGTTGTGTTTTGTTTTCTAGCCATGTTTAAACATGTATCAGGGAGAATGATATCTAAACTGCCAGATACAAAAGTTTACACCCACACATTGATTATTCGATGGTTATGTATTTGATATTGGTATCATAGTTGTGTTTTTGGACCTTAGGTTTGCGGTGTTTCGGTGACTGTTTTCAGCTGAGTAACGTTTTGACAACACGTCCAACTTGTCGGTCAAATCGAAATTTTCAAGTTCATACTTTCCTATGCCCGGCTGTTTATATTATACCGTCACTGGATGTGACATCGGCACATCAGGAAATAATTCATCCTCATTGTTATGATACATTTGAAGGGATGGACAACAGTGATATCACTTCAACTCAATCATCTCGATACCGCGAAACTCCGCTAATCCGGAATTTTTAGATTTCTAATGAAATCACCCTGATTCACCAATTATGTTTCTGTATTTATGACACTCCAGACTCCGTTAGTCTGGAACCTGCCTGACAGAGTCCGGACTAACGAGATTTCACTCTAAGGAGACTCCTAACCGACACTGTGGTTTAATATCGACACTCAGCATGTGTCGAACTACGGATAACTGAAAACATATATCGATGTTTATGATTGTTGGTGTTCAATGCTGCACTCGGCAATATTGAAGACTGTAATCAATCGTGTCTGGTTCAGGCAAACCAGTGGTTGACATTGTGAGCAGCGACCCACGCCATCGAGAAACGATAACATACAATCACCCAAGCACCAAACCTGACCCCCCGATCCATTACGTCGCCTTCGTACCTAGGGGCCAATCCTTAACCGGAAACCGGGTCTTCGATCAACCATAGAATTTTAATTTAATTAGCCTCACTGTATATTCCCCAAATTTATGAAAAGCATCTCTCAATTCCTCACCCAGAATGGTTGTCTTTGTATCACCCAGTTAGGAGTGTCCTCTGTGATTCCAACCAGGTACAAGAAAACCGAAGACCAGTGGAACACGAAGTATCCATTTTGATCGACACTGTAAGATGGATGGACGCCGAGGGAGTTCAAGCATCTCCCTACAGCAGCGTCCTCTGCTCCCTGCATTGTACATTCCGGTGATTTATTTACATTTTGAACAAATTTCCTGAGAACATTTTTGCTCATCACATATCCTCCCCCACCACTGTGGTAGTGTAGACGCTTCCCCTCGAGTTTACACCCATAATACACTGGTGCATCCGGGTCTTTGGTCCTCAGGAAATGACGTAAGTTGTCCACAATGATGAATGTGTCATCATCAGCTTTTAAGAACCAATCGGCTTTGTCCGAATAGAACTTGTCAATGTATTGTAAAGCAGCGATAACCTTCTTGATTAGGTTCTTCCTTTTTTCTGGTATGCCTAATCCTATTGTTGGGAACTGACGGTCCGTGACGGAACTGAAATACAGCGTTATATCACAGTCACCTCCCCATGTTTCTTTGACAGCAAGAGTTCTGTTCTTCAAATTCTTTGGTTGGGTAAGTATCCAACACAATATCCGTTGTCCTGGAAACAACAGTGTTATATTACGTACTGTCAACAAATTGAAAGCATAATCACATTAAAAGTAACGTACACCATCTGAATGTTTCATTTTCTGAACTAGCTTTTGCACAGGTATGAATGGAAAGGATGTAACTGGTTTTGGTTTCAGACTGCGAAAACGATGCGATAAAGACTTGCTTTATGTATCAGACTGTGTATCTTGTACATCTTGTTTGTGGTTTATAGTATGTCACCTCGCATGCCAGGAGGGGATGTCCCAGGTTCCTCGGTGAGAAGCGTGTGTTTCAAGCCATCCTGCATATCTCGTGGAAATAATCCACCCTTCCATTTTGAGGTATTCATCTTGATGAGAACCAAAGTCAGAACAACAAGGATGCCCGTTACCATGCCAACGTAGAAAGTCCAAGATGTTTTCATGCTCGAGTTCTCTACAAAACCAAAATTTGGTGTGTATATTATGAAGAAAAGGGAGATGCCCCGAGTTTAAGTCTCAATGGTACGATTCTACACAATGGAACCATCTTCAATAGGAAGCCTATTCAATTAACACCAACAGTCTAATTCACTATCGCCAAGTACAGAACATTTAGTTAGTTGGAAGGAAGATATTGAGCGACATTGTGTTATTTTCGCGAACTTCTGGTGAGGTGAGGAGAAACGTGTGTGCGTGTGTGTCTGTGTCTGTGTCTGTCTGAATGTGTGTGTGTGTGTGTGTGTGTGTGTGTGTGTGTGTGTGTGTGTGTGTGTGTGTGTGTGTGTGTGTGTGTGTGTGTGTGTGTGTGTGTGTGTTTGGCTGCTTCTACTTGTCCGGACTGATGCCGATTTATAGTGCTAGCACACTGAGATACCATTCCGCAGTTTACCACAAATACCCCACAGACACAGTATACTGACTCGGAGCCGACCAGTCCTTGTTTTGGGTACTTAACCTGGTATCATCACTATTTAATAGTGATTCATATACACATGCTCGTGATAAAGTCGGAATGGTATAAGTTCTTATGATTATGGAAATAGTTTTGTCGCTGTATTTATATTCTTTACAACTATTCTCTTTCATTGTGAATGTAAATTTACTTCTTGTGCCTGAATTCCCCGGCCACGGGTGAGAACCCCACATTCGACACGATTATCACAGTGGTAATAATTAATTTCTTTCTACATTAAACTGACACGCCATGATATACACTAGTGATAGAATTGTTAAAAATAGTCTCAATCCAAACTAATTAACACACTCATAAAATGGACATAACATTCGGTAAGGTGTTCGGTGTGTCTGCTTGTACTGGAGCGGACTATTGCCAATTTTATAGTGCTTCACTTGGAAATATCCAACTTAGGCAAAGCATACTGATTCTGGGCCGACCAGTCCTCGTTTTATCCGCTTCATGCAGGACCCGTGAAGATTCCGGAGTAGAATAGGTCTTCAGCAACCCATGCTTGCCGTAAAAGGTGACTATGCTTGTCGTAAAAGGCGACTAACGGGATCGGGTGGTCAGGCTCGATGACTTGGTTGATGCATGTCATCTATCCCAATGGCGTGGATCGATGCTCATGACTTTAATCATTGGATTGTCTGGTCCAAACTCGATTATTTACAGACCGCCGTCACATAGCTGGAATATTGCTGAGTGCGGCGTAAAACAACAAACCAACCAACCAACCAACTTCATGCCGACCACCAGGCAGGGTAACAACACGTACAAAATCATTTGATGTCTTTTGCTATGTTGCGGCCGGGGATCGAACCACATACCTTCCACTGTCCTGGTAGACGCGCTATCTACTGCACCAGGTTGGCAGCCCTTGCCTCGTAATTCAATAACGGCGTTCACCCTGACCTTAGATGCACTAGCTCAACGTTTACTAGCTTTACACCCTGCCCTGGCGATTATCTATCAAACGTTTTGAATTATTATCTGTACCCAATTCTCTTACTTTGTGACTGTATCGCACTAACCAAAAATAATCACCATTGATAAATTGGAGTTACAGTAATCTACGGTTATAACGAACACGCTTATAACGAACTGACCGATATAACGAACTTATTTTTAGTCCCGGCCATTTGTTGTATATATGCTGTTTTACGAACTAAGGTTATAACGAACTAAAATTAGTGGTCCCTTTGAGTTCGTTATAACCGTAGTTTACTGTAATTTGATAAGACACACAAAATCAAAATTTAACCGATTCATAAAACATTTCATGTCAAAGAATCAATACATATGTGTGATGGTGGAATGACTTAACAATCTTACTCCAGACAGAACAGTACTTCCTCAAGTAACTCATCAAGTAACCAGGGTTTGTGTCTTGGCTAATTGTGTGTCATTGTGAATCACTGGTCATGTGTGTAATGGTGAATCGTTGGCTAATTGTGGCTCACAGTAAATCGTTAGCTAATGGTGTGTCATCGTGGATCATTTGTTAATTGTGTGTCGTCGTGAATCCTTGGTCAATTGTGCATCATCGTAAATCGTTGGTTAATTGTGCATCATTGTAAATCGTTGGTTAATTGTGTGCCATCGTGAATCTTTGGTTAATTGTGCATCATTGTAAATCGTTGGTTAATTGTGTGCCATCGTGAATCCTTGGTTAATTGTGCGTCATCGTGAATCGTTAGTAAATTGTGCGTCATCGTGAATCGTTGGTTGATTCTGTGTCATTGTGCATCATCGGCCAAATGTGTGTCATCTTGAATCGTTGGCTAATTGTGTTTCACCGTGAATCGTTGGCTAATTGTGTCTCATAGTAAATCGTTAGCTAATGGTGTGTCATCGTGGTTCATTTGTTAATTGTGTGTCATCGTGAATCCTTGGCTAATTGTGTGATACCGTGAATCGTTAGTAAATTGTGCGTCATCTTGAATCGTTGCTCAATTGTGTGTCATCGTACATCATCAGCCAAATGTGTGTCATTGTGAATCGTTGGCTAACTAAATGTAACCTTGAATCGTTGCGAGTTACGATTATCATTTTGACATTTACTGAAGCATTGTAGTATTTATATACTAATTTATGGTTGCACTGAGGTTAGAAATGTGTATGTTGTGGATCAATGTATTGATCAATCGATTCCTTCTTGTGAAGTACAATGTGATTTAACACGAATATTAGGATATAGTTTCATAATGACGTTTACACTCACTGACACTCACACACATTTAGGAACTTAACGAGCAAGTGTATGTGGAATACATATAGTGGGAACACGTGTTACAGATACACAACCATCAATATTTGAAACAACTGAAATGTGTAAAAGAACAATCTTACCTTTCACATCAAATTAGGATTTGACACAAACCACAAAGAACGCATCCTCCAATACACAATGGTAAACAAGTGAAAATACTTGTTTTGTACCCGCAAAACGCACATACATTTCCCTGAGTTTGTATTTGACTCGCTGTAACCAACCTCATGCGCTAATGCATGATCAACTTCCCATGTCAGCGTGTTTGATTACTAATATGCGGAACAACCTTCGACGTGGCAACAGGTTTCAGATAATTGTAATGCGATCGGGAGCTTGTAGCGCATGACATGGTCGATGCTCCGGTGTTTGTTCTGAACAAATATGTACTATACTGTTCTTCTAAAACACACACACACACACACACACACACACACACACACACACACACACACACACACACACACACACACACACACACACACACACACACACACACGTGGCTGCATAAGTGCAATAATCTTGGACGCGACGTTAAACCCCATTTCCCCTCACCCCACCAGATGTTCGCGAAAATGACACAATGTCGCTCAATGTCTTCCTTCCAACTAACTAAATGTTCAGTACTTGGCGATAGTGAATTAGACTGTTGGTGTTAATTGAATATGCTTCATATTGAAGATAGTTCCATTGTGTAGAATCGTACCATTGAGACTTAAACTGGGGGCATCTCCTTTTTCTTCATAATATACACACCAAATATTGGTTTTGTAGAGATCTCAAGCACACACACACACACACACACACACACACACACACACACACACACACACACACACACACACACACACACACACACACACACACACACACACACACACACACACACCTCCCTCTGGATGGTTCTGTTATTGAGAATTTCGTACAATAACCAATAACTGGAAGGCGAATTTAAACATCTAATGTTAAAAACCGGCTCGATGGATCAGCCCATGTCGTCACCGATTATCTCCGACGAGAAGCTATACGAACGTTGGACTGGCCTGTTAAGTCCCCTTATATGCTCCAATAGAGCATCTGTGTTATGTTTTCGGGCGGAGAGTGTACGTCCCAGACCCACCAACGTGGTCCAGCGTGGGGTACCTTATCAGAAGAACAATCTAGAATTTATAACAAAATATTGTCCACGCATTGGGTTAGGAATTATAAGACTAACCTATGCAGTATAGCTGTTATATCCTGAATTGGATCGGATATCGTTATATGGACCACACGGACAATGTTTCCTCTTCATAGCTCTTGTGGATTCCATAACATGTCGTGTACCATTCATCTGATTAGAGGATGAAGAATAGTTCAATAGTAAACTACGACCGACTGTGTGTATGATACCGACCGGACATATCAATACAACCATCTGCTGAGTGTTGAACACACTTGATGAGTGACACACGACAGAATGGTTCGAGCCACTGCGTGTCAAACAACAAGTACTGATTAATAAACAGAAAAGCACATTTAGAGACTTAATTCAGACCCGAAAGGCATTTGGAGATACTGAGTGTTCAAGCAACAGATTGCGAATCAGCAAAACTGTTCCAACTACAGAGTGCATGACAATAAGACAGCTCCCATCTAGAGTGCTTAACAACAAGACAGATCCAACTGTAGGGTGCTTAACAACAAGACAGATCCAACTGTAGGATGCTTAACAACAAGACAGTTCCAACTACAGAGTGCATGACAACAAGACAGGTCCCATTTAAGAGTGCTTAACAACAAGACAAATCCAACCACAGAGTGCTTAACAACAAGACAGATCCCACTACAGAGTGCTTAACAACAAGACAGTTGCGACTACAGAGTGCTTAACAACAAGACAGTTCCAACTAAAGAGTGCATGACAACAAGAAGGCTCCAACTACAGTGCTTATCAACAAGACAGTTCCCACTACAGAGTGCTTAACAACAAGACAGTTCCAACTACAGAGTGCTTAACAACAAGACAGTTCCAACTACAGAGTGCTTAACAACAAGACAGTTCCAACTACAGAGTGTTTAACAACAAGACAGTTCCAACTACAGAGCGCTTAACAACAAGACAGTTCCAACTACAGAGTGCTTAACGACAAGACAGTTCCAACTACAGAGCTTTAACAACAAGACAGTTCGAACTACACAGAGTGTTTAACAACAACACAGTTCCGACTACAGAGTGCTTAACAACAAGACAGTTCCAACTAAAGAGTGCATGACAACAAGAAGGTTCCAACTACAGTGCTTATCAACAAGACAGTTCCCACTACAGAGTGCTTAACAACGAGACAGTTCCCACTACAGAGTGCTTAACAACAAGACAGTTCCCACTACAGAGTGCTTAATAACAAGAAGGCTCCAACTACAGTGCTTATCAACAAGACAGTTCCCACTACAGAGTGCTTAACAACAAGACAGTTCCAACTACAGAGTGCTTAACAACAAGACAGTTCCCACTACAGAGTGCATACAACAAGTCAGTTCCCACTACAGAGTGCTTAACAACAAGACAGTTCCCACTACAGAGTGCTTAACGACAAGACTATTCCAACTACAGAGTGCTTAACGACAAGACAGTTCAAGATACAAGTGCTTAACACGACGGTTCAAACGACAGTGTGCTTAACAAGCATTGTATTATAGCATGGTACCTAAAAATAGCTGTACAGTAGATACGCTTAATACATGCACCACCGTTTTGGACACATGTTGACGATGACGTATCAGGAACATGGAGGCTGTTAAGTCGGACATGCTGGAGATCCTATGTACTAGTGTATCACAACAGCTCAACATGACTGTATATGCTGCTCGAGGCGTTACTCTTGGTCTGACACTTGTCCTCCTTAGTTACAACTTCAAGCTCCATCTGATGAACAGCGAGGAAGGTTGCGCACCAAACAGACCCTTTGTCGTGCAAAGACGAGACACGGACGAAACACAACACAGTGGAAAGTGTACGTATTATACGCATAATGATGGAATTAAATTCAATATGAAAATACATAACATATTAAAGATGTGTCTTGTTGTACCCAGTAAAAATCAAAGTAAGCAAACGAATTTTTGTTTCTAATTGTTCATTATATTGGCGAATAGTCTTTTCTTTTGGGGTGCATGTGACATGTATTAAACAGATGTCCTCTTTTGTAGCCATTTCATTATTTCGTAGGGGCACATGGGTGGTCCAGTCGTCTAAGGTGCCGCTATTCGCTGTGCAGAGTTGCGTCCCTTGGGCACGCCAGAAACCTATGATTGTGGGTTCGAATCCCGGTTCGCCCCGATAATGTTTCTAGGTTTGTCAGCACCATACCCGTGCTCGTTGGTTTCACCGAAGTGGTAAACGTCTGAGACCTGCATCACTTCGGGCTTTCCTCCCACATTAAGCTGACACTCCGCGATATAACTGGAATACTGTTAAAAGCAGCGTTAAACCCAACTCACTCACTCATTATTTCCTTCCATATATATACACCTGTACAAAGTATACATGAAAACATAATCATAGTTACTCCAAACTTTGTTAATAGTGTTTGTTTTGGTGAAAATATAGGTGTCCTGTTGTGAGAAGCTGTACTAAACCTTGTCCGTTGTTTATACGGAAATATCCGCAGGGAATAGACATAATCCCTGAAGTTTCAGGTATTATACATATTCCCTGATTTAACAACACTTTTTTTTTAGACATATTCCGGAAACTATTTCTTTCATGGTCGTTAGAAGAATTATTCTCTCTAGTACCAGTGTAACATTGTTAAAGAGTTTATTAAAAAAGAAAAGATTTTTAAAAACAACAACATATGCACATGTTTGTTACCTGGTTGATGGTCAACTAGCCAACACTGTAATCAAATCAACTTTAGTATAGGCGTGACTGTCTCCTTTATGCTTAATACTATGAAGAACACTTGTTGTTGTAACTACACATGGTCATTGCTGTCACCACAGCGTACAAACGTGATTCCACTTTGATGTTCACTAAGTTAACTGTGAAAAGTCTAAACATATAGAACACACTGGTTGATGTGTTTTATTCATTGTTAAATTATTCTTTACAGTGTCAATATAACAAATGTAAAATGCGTTAAAACAAGCTATACACGTTGTTGTGGCGATATTCAAGGTATAAAATTTCTGACAGTATATACTCCCTCACATTTCCAAAATGGGATTTAAGGAGGATTTTTCTAAAAACCTGTACAAGCGCTATGGTGAAAACAAACGTGTACTGATACCTAAAAGTATGGCAAAAATATAGGCGAAATATTAGAAGCCACAGGCACATCCAAGAAGACCTCCATAACAGATGCAGCAAGCTGAACGATGGTGAATCGCAGTAAACGTGATTTGTCAGCAGTGACAGTTATCCATCATGATAATCTGTAACTTACCTTCATTAACATAAGGAAGAGAATACATGGATGTCAATCTCTTATTATGAGGAACACAACGTCACCTGATGAAGGAGTAAGCATATACTCCGAAACGTTGTGTTTCTCATGATAAAGCATTTGACATCCATATATTCTCTTCCTTATGTGTATCCCTTTTTAAAATGCCTTTCAAAGACCTTTAACATTTTTCCCAAATGCACCATCGAAATACCGTTTCTTGTTTGTTTCATTTTTAGCCACCAAACATGAGTGCATACTGTCTTTGTCCCAGTAGTTTACTCCTCACACATCATTCTTCTTTCCCAGTACAGTGCGATAGATTAACCGCTGTAGACGATATATTGATACCTTTGTGATATGTACCCTTTTCTCACCCAGCTCCTCGGCTATTGTGCTGGATACTCACACAACCAAAACATCTCAAAAACAGAACTGCTTCAGTGAAAGAAACATGGGGACGTGAATGTGATATAACACTGTTCTTCAGCTCTTTAAATGACTCTACATTCCCTACGATCGGACTTGGGTTTGAAGAAAAACGTAGAAATCTAATCAAGAAAACAATGGGTGCATTGCGCTACATTTTCAAAAACTACTTACACCGAGCTGATTGGTTCCTCAAAGCTGACGACGATACGTACGTCGTTGTAGACAACCTACGTCACTTCCTGAAAGACAAGGACCCGGATGAGCATGTTTACTATGGCTCCAAATTTCGTTTAGAAGATTTCACGTATCACAGTGGAGGAGCAGGTTATGTGATGAGCAGGAAGATGATAAGGAACATAGCACTTCACAGTAAGGGCACACAAGAGTGCGAAGAGACCGGTCCTGAGGATGTTCGGATGGGGATGTGTGTGAAGGCCCTTGGAGGTGTGACGGGTAATAGTACCGACAACAATAACCTGGAAGTCTTTCACTGGTCATCTGCTGATTATTTTATCCGAGGACAAACGGACACGACACCCTCTTGGGTACGCTTGCGTCAGCCATTTTGGGTAGGTGGTTCATCCTTTGTTGTGTCTGCTCAAACACACACCGTCATTTAGCTGGAATATTGCCGAAAGTCAAACATATACCACCGAGTTGTCAGCTTTTACAGCTTTTTAACATTTCGAATGAAAGTTATCATTTTGTATTTTGGATTACCTGAACTAGTCACGTGACACCCCAACGTGTCTACACTGGAGTTATATTTTTAGCAGGGTGCTGGTGTATTTTCAATATAAGATGACAAAAGTAAAGTTTGCTAATTAATTTGGGATTAACATTTCATCCCTTCATTCATCTCGGTTTTCTCTCAAAAAAACACAAAGTGCATACATAAATCACGTACACTGGGACAGTTGTACATACATTAACTGTTAGAAATAAGTTCAGTCATCAAATAGAAAGCATACTCTTCTAACCGGCCGATAAACGTGCGTGTTTTGATACATACATATTTTCTTTTATATTTCAGAAGTCTAACAATAAACTGAGCGAAGTGTCAGTATCGTTTCATTACATGATGCAGGGGGACATGCGAGCCCTGCATTACCTTCTGAACAACCTCAACGTACATGGATACCACAAACCTGGCACAAGCAGGTAGCACTTAGGAGTTTTCATGTTTGGTTCTCTGTTCTCCTCAGAAACAGACAGAGGTCGTAGTTAGGAGTTTTCATGTTTGGTTCTCTGTTCTCCTCAGAAACAGACAGAGGTCGTACTTAGGAGTTTTCATGTTTGGTTCTCTGTTCTCCTCAGAAACAGACAGAGGAAGTACTTAGGAGTGGTCATGTTTGTGTCTCTGTCATGTTGGCTGTTCTCCTCAGAAACAGACAGGAGTTGAACGTAAGAATGGTCATGGTTGTGTATCCGCTCAGTGCAGAAACGGGCCTTTGTGCCTCCCGTGTGCGGCCATAAACTTTGCCAGGTCGTCGTTGGAGGCTCAAAGGAGGCAGAATGGTTGCCTAGGTCGTTCCAAGGTGGTACACAGGAGGTTCAGACATCGCCATGGACGCCATGGTCGCCGTGAAGTTTTGAAAATGTTCAAAACAGACGCACAAAGGTCACCGAGGAGGTTGGTTGCTCAAAGTCGGCTCAAAGGATGTAGAAGGGAGGCACAGTGGTTGCCCAATCGTCGCCTGGTAATAGATGCGTTCTGCTGCAGATTGTCCCGTCAATCTGGGCAATGCTTCTACCTCCCTTGTGCCTCCTTTGGGCGACCAACAGGGTGCATTGAACGATGACTGTGGCGACCGCCGTGCCTCCTTAAGGCGACCACGGCAACCATGCCTCTTTTCTGCCTCCTTTGAGATACCCGTTGTGCCTCCTCAATCTGCCTATAAAAAGAGGGCTTGTACTTGCAGTGTTTCATTGTGGCAGCAGACGCTGAGCAACGTGACACAAAAAAGACTCAAGACTCAATAGACATAAGACATCTGTTCTCCTTAGAAACAGAAAGAGGTAGCACACAGGAGCGGCCATGTTTGTATTTCTGTCAAGTAGTCTGTTCCCTTCAGGAGTTGAACTTAAAAATGGCCATGCTTGTGTATCCGCTGTTCAGAAACGAAAACGGATAGCCCTTTAGGAATTATTGTCATAATTGTTTCTCTGTCAAAAGAAAAAAAGAAGACTGTCCAAACAAAATGAAAGCAACACACCAAGAACTTTAATCCACAGATCGCTAAAGTTACGAGTGATGTATTGACATTAGGTGTTCGAGAAACGCGTGTTTCGCACATATAACGTGGCAGGGGAAGACTACTAGACAAGGTACTGTACGCAGCTTTACGGCATTTGGTGTTCACATGTAGATATGTATGATATAAAGATTCGAACCATGGACATTTTGCCTGAAAAATAAACGTGCTAAACAATGTCTTGCCTAACAATGAAAACATTGCAGATACAATAATACACAATTACATCTTGTATTTTCATATGGCAACTTTTTGGGTCTCTTTGGATTGAAATAGATATCTCATTAAACGGTTTAATGAATTTGTTTCGTTACAGTTTTGTTGTTTATGAATGATACCGTCCTGGCTATTTGATCTAACATCTGCCACAAAGTGCCTGTCAGGTTGGCATGGAATGCGAATAACAGATGGTCGTACTTATTTCAAAAGAATCAATACTGATTTGATCTATGCTTGTGAAACACAGCCTTAATTGAACAAAACTTGGGGCTCAATAATGCTTATTGTCAGAATATCATTATCAACATGTGTGTGCATCACTGATTAACCATGCAGTGTTCCGACTCGAATAGACGGGTTAAAGGTAGTCATTGATCGTTCATTTCATCGAACGATTTTGATGTAGGCTTTGTGACACGGGGCACGATGTTTACTCGAATGCTGTGTTGTTTTCCCATGCATACAGGTCACATGTGGAGAAAGACAATTCCAAGTTGACGTATTCGGTCACCTGGTGCGTATAGTCTTCCAGGTTTTTGATTTGTTTCGATGGCTTATAAGCCGGGGGATGTCACCCCTAATTTGTGTGTATTTGTACAAAACAACCTTAGCGCTATAACGATCGTAAGCCCATGTTAAGGTATTTAACATTAGCGCTAAGATCGCTTTGTACAACGACACCCAGGTCTTACTTTGGAATCCTAAAAATGATATTTACTGTCAATAGTTTCTTTTCGTTTTAAATTAACTCCTGTCCCACTTAAGGTTTGGCCGACACAGAGTTCAATTTCCTTTATGCGACATATACAACAAGCACACCGATTAACTGCCTGTCCATCGTTAGTCTTTACAATAGGCTAGCTAATACTTAGGACTCGGATACACGTTAATACATGCACTGTGCCTGCTGCTGAATTCATCCAGCCTATTCCTACTTTGTACCTGTGGTAGAATTCATTGAGCCCATTATTAAATTGTACCCAGAATGTCACAAGGGCTTAGGATAACTCGGAAGTCTTGATTTTATAATTGGCATTTTTCAAGGCCTCGTGTGGGTTTCAGTCAAAAGGACAAAGGAAGAAGAATTCGGTGTTTATTCCTAGAAAAAGAAACAATACATTTTTAATAAATAGCGCCCATACCGATGTAATGCATATAGCTCGTACGATAAACACAGACACACATTTGAATCTAGATAGAAAACTTTAAGTTACACATTTTCTTTCCCCATCCTGAGTAACTTGTGGTATGGTCATTCTATCCATAAACAGCTGAACTGACGACCTATTGTTTTTGCTGGACTATTATCAGGGGGCTAGGTACAGGGGTGGAGAGTTTGATAACTTATGTTTGTTTGTTTGTTGTTTAACGCCGCACTCAGCAATATTACAGTTTTACGACGGCGGTCTGTAAATAATCGAGTCTGGACCATACAATCCAGTGACTGACATCATGAGCATCTTGGGATATGATAACATGTAATAACCAATAACCAAGCCTAACCACCTGATTCCGTTAGTCGTCTCTTACGACTAGCATAGTTGCCTTTTACGGTAAGCATGGGTTGCTGATGACCTATTCTACCTAGGATCTTCAGGGGTCGATTTACAGCATCTCTGCACAGCACAGCACAGCACAGCACAGCACAGCGAATGTCGGAGCCTTGGACAATTGGGCCACCCACGATCACAGGGTCGAGTGGACTTCAGTGGAGGCATGGTCATACATAAGTACAGGTGGACGTGTCATCGGTCATACAAGCATGGCAAGAGAATTTCATTGTGTTATAAGAAACCAAATGCCAAATAAATGGCTTTTCATGTGAATAAGATCCAAAGGCCAAATGTCAGAACCAATGACAGACCCTATCATTTAATATCATTATTACGGGAAAAACTGTGTTTTTTATTTTCTAGTTATTATACTGGGCGTTCAATAACACCGCTAAACCCAACACTTTACAATGGGAGAAAACGGGGCATAATCGGCGACATTTGCGTCATCAGATTTTCTAAAATAAAGATGCTAACGGTATTTCATTAACACAGTCGTTTAATTCCATGTATCATGTGTACGGTTTCTTGACAAAAGTGAGCTGACGCGAAAATATCACTGTCAAAATTGGGGTGTGTGTCATTGTTTACATTTCACCGATGTGACGACCACTTTCGAGTCTCGAAACAGCTTAAAGAATGTTTTCCTTCACTAAGAGTAACAATGGACGTTATTCTCGTGACGTATACATTGCCAGGGCATTCATGAAAAGGCTAAGAAAAAATTATAACCACCCGTTCTAGCATTTTTCTATATTAAATACATGTCGTGTCCGCCATGTTTGTTCGTCTAGTGGAGGCGGCCATTGTCTAGTCATTGCCTAGGTCAGTGTAGCGCCAGCGCAGCATACCAAGGGAACCAGGCTGTCACACGACCAGTACATCCTGGCATGCTTAGGGGCGCAACACCAATGCCACCGGCAATGTCCCTTCTGTCGTACAGTTGTAGCGGCCATAAAATTTCCGAGTCCCGTGATGGAATTCGAACCACGGACCTTCTGATCCGAGGTCGGACGCCTTGTCAACATGACCAAAGAGGTTAACCCCGTCAGCAAGCTGACAAGGTAAGGATGTCATCTGTGGGATTACTCCACGCCCTGCTACACAGTAATCATTTCTATTGTGTCTATGTACGCGAATGTGCAACACTTCTGTCGCTTGCGTTTGATTTCTTGACATGCTTGATAATTTATTACATGCGGGTACAGTGCCACACGAGCCCAGTGATTACAACCACCGTTCCCAAGTTTATTCGGTTTGTAGGACAAGAAGTAGCAAACTGGTTCTACCATACGGCCCAACTCCAAACAGAAACCTATGCAAATAAATAAAGATATTTCTACTCAGGAATAGTTGTAGCAGCCAGTAAAGCTAAGCATTCATTTCAACGAAACAGTCTCATGGATCCCATCTTTAGCGAAGAAATGCAGAATAGTAGATGACTAGACAGACAACGTGTTGTAATATCGTGGTTTGTGTTGGTGGAATTTGTGCCTTGACATTTTAAGGTTGTTTCGTCCCCAAATTCCAACATAAGAATCATATTTTTAATTGAGAATATACTCCATGGCCATTGTAGAAGAGGAATTGAATATTCGAAATCCCAGTACAGCATACGTTTCTTGAAAAACAAGTGAAGTGATCTTGAGAAATAAGATTTTATTCAAAGCAGTATAAATGCCATTTCCTCTTCAGTTGAGATATAATTGAGAATAACTTGAAGACCTATTTCATATTGAAATGCGATCATGGCTCTTGGACAAAACATTGCATCAAATCCAAGCTGGGTAGGTGTTCCTTTCATTACTGAACTATTGTAGTTGCTTCTAGTTATGGGGGCAGTGAGGTAGCCTAGTGGTTAAAGCGTTCGCTCGTCAGGCCGAAGGCCCGGGTTCGATTCCCAAAATGGGTACAATGTGCGTATCACATTTCGGGTGTCCACCTCCGTGATATTGCGGCTACAGTTTCATCCCTCCACCCATGACAAAGGCGGCTTTACCCAGCAGTTCCACCCGGTCACCTCTCAGCTTGACCACAATCTCTCCCACCTAGTGCAGAACATTGTCTCGCTGGAAGAAATCAGAGATTGTTATGAAATAAATTTGTCCCAGGTCGTAGGACCATAAGTATCAATGAGTGAGCGCGCTGGGTTTAAGAACACTTTCAGCAGTATTTCTGTCACGGCGTGTCTGTTTGAGGGAAATCCCAAAATGACGCAGGTTGAAGACGTTTATCACGTCAGTGAAGCCGATATAGTGCTTGGGAAAACAGATACATGTATGCCTTATCGGGTGTCCTTTTATTTCTTTTGAGTAGTTATTTACTGAGTTCACAATTTAGACTTCGTGTTTCAACCTGGAATGATCTCATAACATCATAAACATGAAATAACAAAATGTCAACCAACCATTCAAGATGACCTGCAACATGAATTAACTTTCATTTCACTGAGACAAACTTACTAAAAAAAATCATTCTTTCCTAACGGTTGTGTCCAGTAATGCGCTAGAACTGTCTGCGCAGATCCGGTAACAGGGTCATGTTAGAAATGAAATGTATTCGAAATCCTGGCACTGCATACATTTCTTTAAGAAAAAACACTTACAGTGATCATTAGAAATAAGATTTTATTGAAAGCAACACAAAAAGGCCTTTTCCCCCTCAGTGAAGGTATTCTTGACAACAAGCACCTGTTTCGTAATGATAAGCGACTATGACACTGGAAAAGCATTGCATCATTGCCAAGCTGGTCCTTTTATTACTGAACTATTATAGACTGTCCAGCTGCTTCTAGTTATTGTGGCTACAGTTTCATCACTCCATCCATGACAAAGGCGGCTTTACCCAGCAGTTCCACCCGGTCACCTCTCAACTTGACCACAATCTCCCCACCTCGTGCAGAACACTGTCTGGCTGGAAGAAATCAGAGATTGTTTTGAAACAATTTGTTTCAGTCATCACAGCTACGCGACATGACAGGCGTAACGACTTCTGTGCTTGTAACAGCTCGCTCAATTTAACCCCGTGTATACGAGTTTACAGATCGTTTAACATAAACTTGGCTACATATGCAGTGCCATGGGTTATCTAATTGATAAGTCGTCCCAGGTCGTAGGACCAAAATTAATGTGTCAATGAGTTAGCGCGCTTGGTGTCAGCAGTATTTGCCACTGCGTGTAATCTTGAGGGAAATTCCAAAATGACGCAAGTTGAAGACGTTTAATCATGTTATTCTTGGGAGAAATAAATACATATATGCATCACCGGTTGTAATTCTGTTTCTTTGGAATAGTATAGATGAAATAACAAACATGTCACAACCATTCAATATGACAAATAACATGAAGGAGCTTTACTTACGCTGAGACAACACTTACTAAAGAAATCATTCTTTCCTAACTGTTGTGCCCAGTAATGCGCTAGAACTGTCTGCGCAGATCCGGTAACAGGGTCTTCCGGTATATTTGCCCAAGGTGCAAAGAAACGAGATACAAAGTCGTAGGGGGCGCCACC